CAGACTGAACGAACCAACCAATCCTTAGAGCTCTACCTTCGAATCTTCACTTCTTATCAGCAGAACGATTGGTCGAAGCTGCTTGCTCGAGCTAGCTTCGCCTACAACAACACCCATCATTCTGCGATAAATAAGACACCATTTTATGCGAACTATGGGTACCACCCTCGTTGGGCTGAAGAGATAAAGGCTAGCGAGGTCGAAGTGCCCGCTGCTACGGTGGTGGTAAAAGACTTGACTGAAATACACAAAGATTGTATCGAAGGAATTGAGAAAGCTAATGAGAAGTACGCCGAAGGATACAATAGGAAACACCGGACCACGCCGAACTTCGCAGAAGGAGACCTAGTGATGCTGTCGTTAGAGAATATTAAGACGAAGAGACCAATGAAGAAGTTAGATGTTAAACAAAGTGGGCCGTACAAGGTAGTACGGCAGGTAGGTTCTCATGCTTGTAAATTGGAATTACCAGGAACGATGGCAGGTATCCATGATGTATTCCATGTCTCCTTGCTCCGTCCTTATCACCCTCCAATATTTCCTGGTCAGCAAGCTGAGCCACCTGGCCCAGTAGAAGTAGACAATGTGGGAGAGTCTTGGGAGGTAAAGGATATTGTAGACTCTAGAGTAAATAAGAGATCAGGAAAGTTAGAGTACTTGGTGGAGTGGTTAGGTTACGAAGGAACAGACGACTCAGTATCATGGGAACCAGTGGAGAACGTCGATGGAGCTGATGACATATTGGCGAAGTTCCACGAACTTCACCCTACTAAGCCGAAGGAAGGGCGCCTGCGAAGGGCTAGGAGATAGAACGTACTGCATACAACATAGGATTACAGCTACGTACCGCTCACTTGTCCTTACTCTTACCCTTACCTTTTCCTTTTCCTTTCTCCTTCGATCTACTCGGTCCCGCGGGATTGGTATGGAGGCTACCGATGACCGAAGGTAGATCGAGAGTCTCAGACGGGAACGCAGTAGAGAGAGAAGCATTCCATGCCCGATTCATAGCCCCAAAGAAGTCACCGAAGTCCTGGACATCTCGAGCAGCTTGCATGCTCGGAGTCCTCCACAGAGAACGTATGGTCCGTAGACACTCGAAGGGAAGACTGAGGAGGTCGAGAGCAGTCTGGGCGGAAGCTGGGACACGAGAACTACTACGGCGACCTAACCAGTCAAGGGACGGTGGTGGCTCATACGCCATAGGAGTGACTAGGAAGGGGGTGTCGAACAGTCTTCGGCGAACATCGGCTATCTCAGTAAGGCTTCGGCGAGAGACGTCCGCTAACCTTGTCCTTGCTTCGTCGTCCAGAGCCTCAGTGTTGACTACATCTACTAACGCCGCAGTGAGATTGTTTAAAGCGTTAGCTTGACGAGAAGAGAAGTCAAGCAGGAGAGATGTATCATTTCGGGCGGCCTCGAGCTGAGTAGTGAGACCGAGGACGAGAGAACGATAAGTGGCGAATTCCTTTTCGTCCTCAGGAATACGGACGTCCAGGGAGATACGAGGGTGGACGAGGGACAACCGGGGAGCAGAGGGACCAGCACGCTGAGTATCTTCACCTTCCACATCACCATCATTGAAGGCAACCTCCTTCTCTTTAGATTTCCCTTTTGATTTCTTTAAAGAAGACTTCGGTGTCTTCTGGGAAGCAGAGGGAGGGGTGACGGGAGGGGCCGCCGAAGTGGCCGGAGGAACAGAAGGACGCCGACTTCGGGTGCTGTGAGCCGGAGGAGAAGCTACCACTGGAGAGGACGGACGTGGCGCCGAAGGACGAGAGGCCGAAGGACGGGAGGCCAAAGGAGCAGAGGCCGAAGGACGGCGAGAAGACGAAGGAGGAACAGCCGGGAGACGTGATGGGCCGGCCACAGGAGCGAAGGGCGACGGCGACGGAGGCGACGGGCGGAGGTCCGGCGAAGTACGGCGAACCGACCGGAGAGACGAAGGCGGTACCCGCGAACGGGGGACAGACGCTGGAGTCTGGGGAGGGGGGAGAGGAGAAGCGTCGAAGGGACGGGGCGGGATGTCCCGGGCAGAGGAAACGGGACAGAAGGAGCAGGGGCCAGACGTGCATGAAGCACAACGGAGGGCCTTGTTGTGTGGCCTGACTGCCTTGAGGCAGGGCCAGTTTGGACGATTATACGTGATAATCTCACGTCTACTAATTAGCAGGAGTAACTTCGGCGTAGTACGAATAGGTGGACTCACCGGCAACGATCACACGCTTCGTCAACACCAACCGCGATCCAACGACCAGGCTCGGACTTCATCTTCTCCCACAAGTACTCTTCTTCCCGCAGTGATCTCTTCACCCGTTTGGGCGAAGGCTCCCCTCTGGGAGAAGGGGGGGGGGCAGCGACGGGGGCGGCGGCAGCAGGACCGGCAGCGGCAGCAGGAGCGATGGCGGCGGCAGGGCGGGCGGCGGCAGCAGCGGCGGCAGCGGCGATGGCGTTGGGGGGGGGGAGAACCCCGGAAGAGGAAGAAGAAGAGGAAGAAGAAGAAGAGGAAGAAGAAGAAGAGGAGAGGGAACGGCGTCGTTTCTGGCCCACAATTTGAGCAGGGGGAGGGGCAGGAGCGGCTGCGAGTTAGCAATGTCTTGAAGAGCTAAAGAACAGATAAACAAGGCCAAGTTCGGCGAAGGTGTGAGAGGTTGGACGAAGAACTCACGCTCAGGACTATCTACGTTGTTGTCCTCTACACTAACCGCCACCATATCATCATCCGAGTGTTCCTCTAACTCGGTTTCACCCTCCGACACGATTCTATCATCCTCATCACTATAATCACCCCCTTTTCCTTCGAAGTCTGACTGATCGTCCGACTCCGAACCACTGAGCGACTCCTGGTCGGAGGAGGACGGAGACTCACCAGGACGAAAGGCGGGCGTCCTGCGGCGAGGGCTGGCGGCAGGAGGGGAAGCAGAGCGAGAACCAGGAGGAGGAGAACCAGAGGGAGAACCAGCGGGAGGACCGGCGGGAGGAGAAGCGGAGCGAGGAGGCGGGACATCGCCAGACGGCTCCCCCAAAGAGAGGGTGCCGAGGCCGAGGGAGGAGACTTGGCGAGATCTGTCGCCGAAGGAAACTGAACATCAGCCAAGTCCGGCGAAGTGAGGTAAGTGTCGAGGAATAACTCACGAGCAGACGACACCATACCACCAAAGTTCCTCATGGCGGCGAAAGGGTTAGAGGTGGGAGTAGGAGGGGCCATGACGTTAAAAATACTTAAAGAAATAAAAGATGATTCAAGGTAACAAATCTGTTTTCTAGGTAAGAGAGATAGAAAGTTTTGAAAGCAGATGGGAAAAAGAGAGAAGCTCGACGAACTGCTCAGTATTTAGTATAATCAAACCTAAACCCTCGTCGTCAACATGCAGCAAACTTCGCGTTTCATCAACAAAAGGCATCGCAGGGACGATCAAAATTCCCACGCTATAGTGTCTCATCTCAATATAAACGAGGGTTACTTCGACAAACAACGGTGTTGTTCGGCTGCCATTCAGGAAACGTGTCTCACCTACAAAAGACACAGGGCTTCTTACGGCAAACCTCGACGAAGTTAGGGGAGTCTCATTGTCGGGTTTTGGAGTGAAAGGAGGCCCAACTACGAAGTGCGGCGCAAAGAGCAGAAGGGTGAAGGATGGTCATGGGGAGGGAGAGAATGGGGGTACTACGCTGCTAAGTTCTCTTGACACGACAGAGGTGTAATCGCTCACGAGGACGTTCGCGGCTAAAGAAGGGGGCGACTGTCACGAACTACGTCGCGACACCTCGATTACTCCACCAACAATGACCCTCCTTTGGCCATCAAAACCCCATCACGCCTTAACCTCTTTACTCTACACGTAACTCAGGACTTCTGACACCAAGTACGGCGAAGTTAGACGGAGTTAGGCTAAGTAGGAACAATGGGAGCAGAAGTACGGCGAAGTTAGACGGAGTTAGGCTAAGTAGGGACAATGGGAGCAGAAGTGCGTCGATGTTAGGCGGAGTTAGTCTAAGTAGGGACAATGGGAGCAGAAGTACGGCGAAGTTAGACGGAGTTAGGCTAAGTAGGGACAATGGGAGCAGAAGTGCGGCGATGTTAGGCGGAGTTAGTCGAAGGAGGAAGAGGATGGCCGAGGGCTCGGGGAAGTTGGACGAAGTGCGTTGAAGTACGTCAAAGCGCGAGAGGGTTGGATGAACGTCTAGGAGGAGTAGATAATATTAGCTGAGAAGATCGCTGAAGTTCTTCAGCGATCCTTGATTGTTGTCAGTAGTGAAAGACAGATAGAGATAGCTATAAATCAAGATACATCGCCATCAGTAGAACAAAACCCTAGTTAGAGTAACTACGCCGAAGTACGCCGTAGTTACACCCCTTTCGACGTCTGCGCCCTCCTGGTTGGGTGAGACATCGACTCAGAGCGTGAAGTTAGCCGAGGTTCGTCGACCGTCGGTCTATTAAGAAATAGTTGTTCGACGGCCGTGACACCGCCCCTGGTTGGACGTCCGCGATGGGCCGTACTTTCTTGACATCATACATTCGTTCATCCTCTTGGCATCGATCCTTTTGGATTCGGGGACTTATGAAGCCGACGTCGGGACGACGTCTACCGAAGGGGGGGTGTAATGTCAGGATCACGGGTACCTGGTTACGGGAGTGTAGTAGTCGTACTTCTTTTACATTACCATGTCCTCTCCTACTACCCCTATTCCGTTTTCTCACACCACATGATACTTTTCCTCGATCCCCGTGTCTCATATCGATCTCCGTCTTACTTCGCTCTTCTACCCCATGTCCATTTCCGTCTTTACTCCGTTACATCGGTATCACCCCGTTCCCCTTTTCTATATAGATGCAGTCTATTTCCATAGTCCCCTTGTCGAATGTATTTTGTGTTCTTTAGTATTATCTTTTGCCACTCGATCTCAATAACCTTTCAGGTCTATTAGATCTTCTACATCAATAGGTTTGTGCCCTACGAGGCCTCTACAGCCATAGCACAAGTGACGCAGACTATCTACAACGTCTGGTCCTGACAACGAGCCTCATACCATCCAATTGTCCACAGGAGAGCTGCTAGATCATCCACGGTACCTGAGAGTGGACCCTTGAAGACATGTTCATATGACAACAACCTTAAGGCTAGGAGATTGTTGCGCTTCTGAGGGGTGAGAGGCCATTGTTTATGAGAGCAAATGTCTTCCAGATTGTCAGGACCAGACGTTGAAAATAGTCTGCGTCTAAGAGCTATGGCTATAGGGCCTCGTAGGGAACAAACCTAGTGATGTAGTTTATAGTCAAGTGATGTAGTGGATCGAAGAGACTATAAGTCGATGAGATTGAGTGGCAAAAGAATTGCTAAGTGACAAGAAAATACATTCGACAAGACATCTACGAAAAAGGGGTGTTTCTATATACTAAAAAGGGAGCGGAGTGATACCAAATCTACGGAGTAAATGTGGAAAGCGATATGGGGTGTAAGAGCGAAGGAAGACGGAGATAGATGAGGGACACGGAGATGAAGAAAAAGTATAGCATGGTAAAGAAGTAACGATTAGGTAGGACAGGAGAACGGAGGACGCCGTAGCGGGATTAGTGAGACGGGGACGGGAACGGGTAGGTGGAGTACGACTTCTGCGTACGACTCTTGAGGAACCCGTCTATAGGTACCCGTGATCCTGACACAGATGCTGTAGCTCTCCAGCGTACAATGGGTTGTCATCCAAACTTTCTTTGAGTTGTTCTTTGGAAGAGGGGCACTCACTATACCCCTGTTTGTCAGCATCAGAGTTGTCAATAATCTCTCTTTCAAGAGGTTAGGCTCCGGTTTTTGCAACTGATTTTGCCAAGCTGATGAAGGCCGTCAAGGTGTCAGGATCTTTGTTGACAGATTCAGCCCACTGTAATATCTCCTCAACAGCAGACTGCCGGGCCTGATAGTCTCTTCGATCATTTTTGTCTTTAAAAAGTTGTGCAAGACCCAATATGATTGCACCTGATTGAAGTTTTTCATAGCCCGGTAATTGAGAATATGGTGGATAAATGTACTCAGATATTGGATTCATTTGCTCCCTATAGCTCAGGAGCGTCATTCTTATCCTAGATGCCGTTTTCATCAATTCATCATGGTGAAACTCGTGTAATTTTACAGACGTCTCCATCATTTGGCCCAGGTGTTGTATGTAAGACAATAACCTCTCCAGATGCCCCAGGTTACGATGAGTCAATCCCAGGACCTCTAATGTACTCCCTATCATGCTGCCGTGGAAGGACATGAGTGGCTCTCTCTCTAGCGCATTGATGAGGTAGTTGGCTATGTCTCCCCTCAATGCCACCAGGTCAGAAGTTTCTTCCTCCGTGTCAGGTAAGACTGACTGAGACATGGTGATGTATTGAAGGCGATCAACACTGGTGGCAGCCATGTTGGTATAAGTTACTTAATACTTAAGATAGACTAAACTTTTCAGGTTTGCAAGATTGTTCTACAACCAGACCTGTACTGATGGAGGACTATGGCGTAGCGAATAAGTGGGTGGAAAAACTTTTTCCATGTCAGGTTTGATATACTGGTTGTAGGACGCCTTCCACGGGGCGGTGTGGGTCAAAATGGTCAACCCGCGTCATCGTCTTACCCGTTCGGGTGTTGACTTCTATGGTTTGGCCTTCCTATTAATGAGGGGAGGATATTCTCACACTTTGGATGTTCCATGACATCATGTTTAGATTCTCATATCCTACCAACTCCGGCCTGAGGTGGTTTGTCTACGAAGGCATTCTTTTCCCTGGTCAATCGAGAAGTAGTCTCAATCACATGAGTCGTACTAGTACATTCTCCCCTGCTGGTTTTCGCCAACGATCAGTCAATGTCTCCGTGAAATGGATGCATAATCTACATCTATCAATTCCAAATATGTTCGTTAGATCCTCCATTGATGCCATTGTCCGTGATATTAGGGATATGAGGTGAAGTGTCAAGATTGGCCAGGTCTGAGGTGAAATGGGGGGTCTTGAGTGAGGGCAAGATGATATAATTTATACAGATTGAACAGAAGAAATTGACCGCTGATATTGGATCAAAATATCCGCTCCTTTAGCTCCACCCTCCAAGACACTGCTCAGAATTCCTAACACGTCAGATGGCCCTCGAAACTCAGTTGCCGTGCCCGATGGTCCCAAACTTCCCCCGGAAGTTGATTGCACATGAACCGGCGGACGTGAAGCTTGACTGTTTGCATCTGAGAGTGCTGCAGCCATTAAAAGCATCCGACATGGATCATATGTCCTTGCAAACTCTGCAGTGAGCGAGGCCACTATGGCTGCTTCAGGCTGCCCCTGATCCAGGGCCAGTGCTTCGGGCCAACGTTGGGAATTCACCTTGGGATCGTAAGAGGGAAAATTATACGTTCTCTTACCATCTTTCATGACAAAGGTCCCAAGTACCGGTGGAACCTGTGACAGATCCATCAACACATGTGCCAGCTCTGGTGACTGGAAGGCTTCTCTGAGGCTCAACAATTCCTGAAGTTGACATAGTGCATCCAGGTTTCGGAACACCTCTCTCGATAATGTGTCTTGGTGTCGTTCAGTTAGTTCTCGGAGTTGTTCCCTCCCTGCAACGTGAACTTCTGACTGTCTTGCACCATTTTTGTTGCTCCATAGTTCTCTGAGTGACCTCAGAGTATTAGTAGCATATGACATGGATGCCCGACTGTTCGTTTTGCTTCCTCCATGGACACGATCCCAAGAAGTACCGAGGGATTTCCGATGAGATTCTGCCCATTGGAAAAAGACGGGTAGACTTGCAGAATTTTCGCTCAGCTTGTTAGCCAATTCGATGAGCGGACCTATGATTGTTTCTCGAGCTTGCTGCTTAGCACTCCCCTCCACGGATGCCGGTAGTAGACTACGCAGGGCATAAAGTATATTATCACGATCCATATGTTCGTGGCTCGGACATTCTGACGCGTCTCTGAGACCATCCTGGCCCAGACCGGTATACCCAGTCTTGAGTTTAGCATACTCCGTTAATATGTCGCCAATGATTCGAGCGGTATAGAACAAATTCTCCACCTCTTGAACGACTTGGAAGCAGGTCCGAAGGGCGAATTCAAGACGATCAAGTTCAGAGCTATATTTTTGGATACGGAGAGGATTCCGGCTCAGCTCGAGTAACCAACGAGTCCTAGTGTCCTCGTCCCTAACTGGGTCCCCCAATGGAGGTTTTGAGCTCGAGCTTGAATATTCGTCATCTTCGTCTATTCGTGCCACGTACAGTGGTAATTCCAAAGTTTCTGTGCTTGACGAGTCATTGGTCGAGGCGACAGTGGCCGCTTCTCCGGTAGATATACCACCGTTCTCACAAGTCTGTCGAAAAAAGTCGAGTGCCTCACGGAGACTCGGATAAAATGACCCTGATGGATCATAGGAAGGTGGAGAAGGAGAATCGGCAGGAGGTGGGGCATTCGTATCGTTGGGGGTGACAATTGCCTGTGCTCCCGTCCCCGACATGTCGAAGGTGGATAGTCGAAATTCAGTTCTGTGTGACGGATAGGATTAAGTGGTTGGTGGCGTTGAAGTTGACTGAATAACGATTGTTGGTGTAACGTCTTCCTGTCAGTTTTCTTATACCTCATACGAACCATGCCTTCCAAAGCGACATTGCCCGTTAGGCTATGTCTTCCAAAGTAAAGAGACAACTAATCGTCATACCCTAACCGTTCTCCGCTCCGCAAACCCCGGATATGATCATGGAGAAGTGGAGGTAGAAGGCGAAAGCGGTGTTGATATCTTCGGACGAAGCACCTACCATTTTGTTTTTATCCCTCTGAACTTGAATATCATCCATGGAAGAAAGGAGATGTACTTGGTCAAGCGGTGCCGTTGGACGCACTCCCATCTTTTTGGAAGGACGTTGTGAAGTGGAGGTCGGAGTTGGAGAGGAGCTACCTTACCTTACATAGTGGAGGTTAAGAGTATGTGAGTTTTCAGCGGAAGGTGAATGCAGTTAGAGTAGCTCGGGGATGACAGTTGGTCGGAGGATGGAAGGTGAGAACCAGGGGGGATGGTACGGGATTTATGATCGTTGGAGTGAGTGAGCTATGAGTACTGACGGACTTGATGGGGTATCAATAGGTGAGAAACGATCAGAGAGAGGCCGTGGGGTTTGATGCGACCGCAGAAAGACGTAGAGATGCGGCTTTGTCTCGGCCGGGGCCGTGTCGGTATGCGTGACTGTTTCCTATCTAGCTATGTCTTGTTGAGAGAAAAGAGAAGAGTGAAATCCGAAAGTCAACAAAGCTTCCAAGGGCAAAATATCGATCAGGTTCAACCATCAAACCCACGTGCTACTGACTGAAAATTCATCACCTTCACCACGTTCTCCCCCTTCCCTTTTCCCCATACTTTTCTCTTCCTTCCTTCCTTCCTTCCCTCTACCCCACCAAACCCTCCCTGTAACGACCTGTAGCCATACCGAGAGCACAGTCTCTTGGCACAGCTTTCATCTGTGTATGGCCACTCACACTTCCTCCCACCACGTCTACCGGTAGACGGACCGATCGTCCGACCAGTTGACGATCATGAAGGGTTGATGACTTTGTCAACATTTCTCTATCTTTCCTCCTTTGTATCTCATAACACGACTCCATCTCTCCCACCTTTCTCTTTCTCATCCCTCACGAGCCACCGATCAATTAATCATTCCCTTCTCAAAACCCCCACGACCTCCCCCTCGCAAACGCCGTCATACTACCCCGTGCAAACTCCTTTGACACCCTCAAACCTGCTCACTCCGACTTTAGATGATAGTTTCACACGCCGACGCACGTTCGTCTTGTATCCCCCTCCTATCTCTCTCCTTACCCTCTCATTCTCTGACTCTTGGCCGTCCTACCCCTCGTCAGCTCTAACGCGTCAAGAAAAAGGACGTTTGATACGCTATCGAAGAAAGTACTCCGACAGTTTGAACAGATATATATCACTCCACTGAGCCATCTAGTCGATACTTCATCTCCTCATAAATATCAAGATGACGACCCAAATAAACGCTGTACGACCTCCCTTGTCGCGTGGAAATTCTCTCAGTACCCCAGCTCTCAGTCCATCAGCCTCTACCGATGTCTCTCCCATTCTCTCTCAAATCGTCTCCCCGCCTCTCAACCCTAATGAATCACTTGATATAGATCTGCCTATCACTGCAGATGTAGCTCTACCAGAATGTTGGGGACACAGAGGGGTAAGTCAATCTGCAATGCTCTATCCCCCTATGGAGTGTAAGTGACGGTGACTGTTGCGAACTTTATGGATGATCTTTCTTTGATTTTGTGCACATGTCAGATCAGCGCTGATGACATCTGATCAGGCCTCGGCAACTTATCGTTTGTCACTCGTTTGATCGATGTTGTGATGATTGATGGTCAGCCGAGAATACCAAAGCGTCGTTCATAGAAGCCATCAAGGCCGGGGCTGATGGTTTGGAAACGGGTAAGTGGTTCAATCGCACCACCTCAGCTCCTATTGGATGTCAGGAACCAGCTAAGCGGTAGACATTCACGCTGCGCTTGACGACGTTCTGGTTCTCTTTCATGATCCCAATCTGGAACGTACCACCAATGGGAAAGGCAAAATCAATAATTTGCCATGGGATGGTGTCCTGGAGCAAGTTCGCACAACGAAAGCACCTCATCAACCTATCCCACTATTCCGTGAAGTGTTGGAAATCTTGGTCAACCCGGAGAATCGACATGTCAAGTTGAACGTGAGTTCGTTTACTTCTTCTCTTTCCTTTCCCCTCCACTCCATGTCTTCGGCGGACCAAGCAAGCCACCCTGATGCGGTCTCGCTGACATGCAGATCGACTGTAAAGTCGACACCGAACCAGTCCGTCTGTTCACACTTATGAAAGCTGTCATCGAGTCATTTCCCGGTTGGACTACCCTCATCGCTCCTCGCCTTATCCTTGGTATATGGCATGTAAGTCTTTCTTGTCATCAGACGCAACACTTTCCTTCTCACACACATTTTCAACGATAGATTATCCATCCTCTTTGCTTGAATATCCACAATGACGGCCAATGTTTGCTTCATATGGGTTCATTGTCATTACGGATGAGACAGCTGATGACCCCAGCCTCGATTCATAGAACCTGCAGCTACTATCCTTCCATTCCTTCCTCGATACGCAATCAGCATGTCCATACACGAAGCCCGTTCATACTTCTTACCTCACTGTCAAGGTCTTTCACTTCATTTCCCAGCTCTTGCCTCTGCAGATGGTCAAAGACTGTTGGAACAATGTCGTGATAGTGGCAAGGCGGTATGCGTGTGGACGGTGAATGATGAGGAAGAGATGAAAGAGTGTGTGAGATGGGGTGTACAAAGTGTCATCACGGATAAACCTGATTTGTGGCGTAAACTTCGGGCAGAGGTGAGTTCTGGACTTGAAATTTCTTTCAAACTTCCTTCCATATCAAACTACCCTTTCCTCCATGTCAATGTTTCCTACTTCTGTTACTCCCTCTTCCCTCACTCGTCACCTTCCATGTCCCTATTCATCGTCTCATATTATTTGTCCTTCTCATCATTCCTCCTTTCCAATCCACCGTCTCTTATTTGTTCTCATCTATTTCAAAGTGTGGGTGGACCATGCACTTGCCTTCATTTCTCGCACACCTCACTATGCAAAAGCAGGGATCTCAAGCTGATTCGCAGATCCTCGCAGATAGAGAAAAGGCTTTGGCTTTCTCATGGAAATCTGTTATTCGTCCATGGACCAAACGTCGTTATTGGGCTTTTGACCATTTGAACGAAGCTCGAAAAGAGACGGAATATCTCGAAAGTCATGCTGGTAAAATGTCAGATGTCGTCGTTCCTGATATCTCTCTAAGAGTTGCCAGACCAGCGGATGTTTTGTAATATCAGTGATCGATGGTGTCAAGACATACATGGTTGTTTTTTCGCATTCCATCGATAGTCACACACGTGGTCGATAGAGGGACGAAGCGGTGGTATCCGACTGGGCGAACACTCTGGTGGGGAAGGGGTCGGTTGGATGGAGCTCTCTTGTGTTTGATTGATACATTACGATTACGATTTTTACATGCATTATGACAACACGTATTTCCAATTTTTACATTTGTACAACTTGAAAGACGTACAAGTAAGTGGTATACAACTCAACGTTCCGACGGGGAATGAAATCTACCAATTGTTTTCCTTTACTATTTTTGCTGCTTCAAGGATGAACCTTCCTAAAATATCAACATCTCTTCTTTCCCATACCGTCCATTGCATTGTAGATTATAATCATAGGTAGTCTAAGTCGATTCTGACTGTATCTGACGTCTGACCCTGAGTCTAAAATCTAGGAATTGACACGTTGGATTCCGAGATAGGGTCGAAGAATGGAGGGATGAAAGATGAACGAGTATTATGTTGAGATAAGGATGAGGCCATACGAGACAAAGAAGGGAGAAAGAAAGAAGAGAAACTAACCTTCTTTATACCTCTGATCACCATTAGGTGCTTTTATATACATCCATCCTAATGAAGTATCACACGATGAGCAAAGAAGATCAGCGACTGTATGTGTTCCAGTTCTGTCTCATCAGCCACCTCTATCTCTTTCTATCTTTCAAGACCTGTATCATTGATTGGTGTTGAGACATCTCTCTTTCTTCTCAATCTCTCTGAATTTGTAAATTCTTGGTCTCCGTATCTACACATATCTTTTACACTAAATCACTACATCACCGTAATTCCATGTGTGGTATTTATGTATCTCCGTAGTTCTGAATCCCCGTCATCCTGTATCTCCGTAATTCCGCATTTTCGCATTTTGTGAATCAGATGTAGGATGGAGATGGATCAAATGAACAACTTGATGAGCAAGATTGATAGAAGAAAAGAAAAGAAGAGAAAAAGCTCACAATAATTTTCTTTCTTCTCTTTTACCCAAATTTGTATTGATGGTAGTGTTCATCAAACTACAAAGTAAGTTTTAGTCATTCTCTACTTTCATTTTTCATTCCTCCATCTCTGTCGGACGATTTCTCCCACCTCCTCTAAAAATTGGATTCAACATGTCCCGCTCAATCATCCCTATTCGGATGTTGGACAATAGGTTGGGATGGTTATACTATATGACTGTCCCTCATATGGATTGAGTTTCACTGAGGGTTTGAAAACATAAATCCCAATGAGAGGAAGTACTTTAGTCCGTGATATCCAACAAGAAGAGACGGTTTCCTAGAAGAAGAAAAAAAACAACTCACTAAGCTCGACCGGACCGACCGTTGAAAGCTTTGGAAACTAGTTCATCTTGTAATGCCTAATACATTCAGTCTTACTCTCATTCAACCGTGACTCTCAATCCAATGTCTTCCTCTCGACATCTGGCTCTCGGAACTTGAAAAGGCTGGATACCACATGATAAGTAGATTCTCATATGGACTTACCCCATATTGAAACAAGCGGGTAAACTTCCGTGAGAAAGGGGATGCTTGGGATGACCATGAGAAAAGGAAAACTCACGATGACTTCCGAGCAGTTTTGACAGCAGAAAACGGGTAGGTTGTCAGGTAGTATATGAGAGTCGAGAGATGATGTTGTGGTCGTTGTTTGTTTTACGGACGAGGACATGATGGATTTATGGAGTAATGTCTGGAAGATGTTGTACTTATGTACGAGTACTGTAGTTACAACGAGTAAGTACTACTCGTACAGTTGCAATGGTGCCAATGCCGAGTAAGTAAACCACGTGACATGTCCTTAGCTCCTGGAGCCCCATTTCACCGTCGCGGTTCCAGTGGCAAGTCGGTCATAGTCATAACTCAGATGAGCAAGTCTGAAGCATGGCTGAATGAAGGACAGACAGGACAGCAATAACATGTGACTTTTCCCTGTTTGTTCTTCATCAATGGTACGGCAGGAGAGTAAGCCATAGTATCACAGTCCCGAAGGAGTCAAAGGTGGCAACTACCTACAACATTCAATCGATCCCCCGCCCCTCACCCCCCAAAAACCCTCATCATCCCTGTCGATCGTCCGTCCATAGACACTCACACCGTCCACAGACACTCACAGTTAATCTCGAACCTAACTCTTAATCATCATTCACCCCTGGATATATCGATCCCTCCCCCGCAAGAGGCTGCATGCATATATTGTGCCGTCATGTACTTGTACCCGGGGATTGCAAAAGGTGGGAAAAGTGCCACATGCCACATCGGGTCTTCCAACAACATGACAACAACTCTCCTCACACTTTTGTCCCATTCACTAAGTACTTAATCTCCCCCTTTCCCTTACCCACAATGTCTGCAAAGTTGGATTTCGGTTCGATATCTGGTATATCCAGTAAAGCAAGTATGAAGCGTAAAGTGAGTTTTCACCTTTTGTCTTCTTCCTAGATCGCAACTAGAAAGAATCATTCGCTAACTCTCAGCAATCTAGTGTAGGTCTTCTCACTCCTACCATTTCTTATATCTCATATCTCACCCACCAATCATCTCTCATATACTCTTTTATCTATTTCAATGATACCAAATGATGAGCATGATAGGTCATACGGAGATTTCAAAAGTTGAGGAAAAGTAAGCAGGTAGAAGTTGACAACCTAGTCCCTACTCCAAGCATTGGGAAAGAATCAATCTCGGAACTCTTCAATAGCTCCACCTCTACCTACACCCCTTCCTTCCTCTTCTTCCCATCATCCTCTTAACTCTCAACATGCAGAAGAACATTCTCTTTATTCTCCGGATTCACCATACGCCGAATCAAGCTCGTCTCATACTCGAGATCATCAAAGAGAGAGAAGTACGAGTGTTTCGTATCTCTCCGGCGGGAGAGTCACCAGTTCTACTGCTTTCAAGAAAGATGGGAAAGACGATGGGAAAGGATCTATAAGAAGACCAGAAGATATGTTTAGAGTGGTTAAAGAACGTATGTTTGGTTGGAGTTATTTAATGGAATGGTATCAAGGGTTAGTATCTTCTTTACAACTTACCTCTTAACCCCCCTCCTTTCCCCCTTAATGTTCTTCACATTCTTCACATCTGCTGACTGTTCCAATGATTAGACCATCCTTCTACCCTTCAATCTTCTCCCATCTGTCCTGACAACATGCATACCTCCCTTGTGTGATCTCATATGCATCTCTCAGGAGATATTCAGGTTGGGAAACCGGAATGGTGAGAAACCCCGTTCTTGTCCAATTCAGATGCTATGAAAATTGCAGAGAGGAGGACAACTTGGAAAGTTTGAAAAAGAAGGATAGGGACTATGCACTAATGACAGCGACATTCACTGGTTCAACGCAGTCAAAATATCTCATTCTACTCTTGAACAATCTATAGGTCCAGGGAAAATGGATCAACGAGCCAGACACATGTTCGTCCTTGGGGCTTCTTTGGCAGCGTTATTCGATATAATCGCAGTGGATGATTTACTGAAAGGTTTACTCAAGACGATGGAAGAATGGGAGCAATGGTCAGAAGGAGGTTCTAAAGGTGTGAAAAGTATTTTTAGGGGACAAAAAAGTGGGAAACGATCTGGAGGAATGGGTGAAATGGGTTCGGGGGATCATGAGAGTTTTTTGTTGCCTATCAATCTGGTCAGTCTTAGTCTTCTCTCTCTAATCTCTTAGATCAAATTTACAGTTTCTTTTCCATCTCCTCCGCCTCTTGTTTGACCTCATCTGTCGTTTCATCATCATTTCGTGGCTTCCCCTTCTCGGTCCATGTTTCGTTTACATCTTGTCCCCATTCTCGCGATCCTTGTCACGAGCTCGTCTCTTACTTTTCCTCATTTTTCGACCACCGTTCAATCCATTCACAACACACCATCTTTCGGCCCCTTCAGGATCACTGATGCTTACGTAGGCCAAACTGGTTCTCGCTCACCCCCAGCCTTTCACACCAGATTTCTTCCAAGTTCACTCCTCTTGCTGTTCCATAATCCGAGACGTCTACAAGAAAATACTCAACCAAATACTTCCTTGCCCTCCACCACCTTACGCACCACCTCCACCCGACCCATTCTCTTTATTTCATCCATCAACATATATTCATTCCGCTCCTGTTCACTCACACTCACACCCACATCAACATTCGCGAGCACACGAGACAACTCCACCCAATATGAATCCTAAATCACCTGGAGGTTTCTCAACCGTCACAGCAGTCACTACCCCCGGTGGAAGTTGGGACCCCTCTACTATACGCGGAGGAGGAAATTTTGATTCTGAAACTCCTGGAAGTGGACCGAGAAGAGGGGTAGGGACAGGGATAGGAATAGGAACGGTACAATATGACGCTTTTCAGATGTTGGTAATGGGTGAATTAGGAGAAGATAGGATGTTAATTGGAGATGGACAGAAATTAACTTCGGTAGTGATCGATTTGTTTTCAAAAGTTGATACGAAGTTGAAGGTGGGGTTAATCGTTCTTTGACAATAAATCCTCCTTCCCAATTCCCCACCTTCATTCTTTAATGCTCTTTTCGATTCCTATCAATACAAGTCGTATAGCTTCGCACTTAAAATTCATCATCTGTTAACCCTGTTGGGCTACATCAATAATATCTCTCCCAATTGAGCACCTAGCTTTCCCAGTTTATTGATATGACCGATATGTCCGTCTTTGTTCCACTGGGAATCGGCGTGTTGGAAATTTTAAAGATCAGTAGAGTCAGGTGCTGTTGATTGAATTAGATTCATACTGATAATTAGAAACTCTTCTCCACCTTATTACGCGAAGGAGACACTTTAGCAAAGAAAATCGTAGAAGAAGAACTTTCTCTTTTATGCGGTTCCCTCGCCGGTGGTCCAGCAATGAAATTCGACTTATCTACCGCCGTCAGTGGATCGGGTAATGGGTATCTTGGACCACCGCTATCGAGAAGTATCGGACAGAGTTCGGGTTATGGGACGATAAGGAATGGAATGGATGTTTGGACTGAAGAAGTTAGTTGAGTGTGTAGGGTTGCGTGACGTTTGGGTTTGAAGTGTGTTTGAGTAAATCATATCCAGACAGACACATGGTCATATGTCGTATTTGAGATGAAGCGATTCATCGTCGAGTTCTTGGTCGACCTTGCGAGGAGAGGGAGGATGGAAGAACACTAGACAGTGGGTCGAGATCCTCTTCAGGGATGAAACGTGTTTTACTTGAATGTAAAAGTTTTCAGAGATGCAGAAGGACAATAATGTTATGGTTTGGATTTATATGAACCAGATGATTTGATGAGATAAATACCAAAATGATGCATGGTATTTTCCTCATTGATCATCATGGATTGAAATTTCAAAAGATTTGATGATGTGATATATGGTCTAGACACAAGAGATCGATTCATGAGAAGAAAAGGAGAAGATTGAAGATGATAAAAATGGGTAAAAGAGTAAAGGTGGTCAAGTGACGGTGAGATTGAGTTTTATACCCATACAAGCCATCTCTGCGCATAACTATAAGTCAGCGAAATTAAATTTCATAGATTTCAGTGAGGCATTACAACGCCCTTTCTCTTCTCGATTCTGACCCAAGTGGTCTCCTAGTCTCCGGATCTTGTTCCTTTTTCTATTCTCTTCTTCCAACCTAAACACGTTTTTTTCCTTTCCAGATTTTACTCCAGAGTCTCGGATCCGGAGAGAAATATACCCATCCCTTCTTCTCCGACCCGCGGAGTAGTTGGTTGGTATACTTTCAGACGATGAAGAAGGATGGAGATGAAACAAGTGGGAAGGATGAGGGTATGAATATAAGTAAGAAAGTAGAAGAAAGAAAAAAGGAAGAAAAGAAACACACGTATCTAAAAACATCTGTTCGTCAGATTTGATATCATCATATTGGTATAGTATAACTCACAAGGAACAGCAACCACATCCATTTCACCTTTCCTTTCACTTAAACCTTTGACCAACATCCCGACTTTCTTCTTATCATCTTCACCAATCTTATCGTCTATCAAAGTATTATCACATATCCTACAATATTCCCTTCTACCCGTTTTATCACCTGTAACATCATCGAAACCTAATGTTATCAAACTACCACATGTCCTACATACCCAAGCTGTAGAATAATCTGAACAGTTCATGAGTCTGTCTTGTAGGAGGAAAGAAGTACCGTGAGCTATTAGTGCATCACGTTCCATTTCACCGAATCGGATACCTCCTGCACGTTTACGACCCTGAGTGTTAGTATCATCTCTTGTAGCCTTCATTATGGAGATAAGATTGGCGTGCAAGATTGTCGTTTGATTATCGATCATTGATCGGTGTTTGAGGAACTTGATGAGTTCGCAGTGAGGGTGAATTGCGGATATAGGTAAATTTCTTGAGAACATATGTGGGCAGTGAACAAATGGATAAATGGATGAATGAACGAACGAATGAGACAATGCAGGAATGGAATAAGACTAAGGATGAGACAAGAACAGTAGAGAATAACCCACCTTGACAGGTTGTCTGGTTAGAGGATCAACAGGTCCAGTGGTTCTGACTTGAAATTTATCATTGACCATATGTCTCAACCTTTGATAATATACTAATCCGATATATATATCCGCACTGAATTCTTGTCCTGTTATACCGGAATACATGGGTTCGTTACCGTAATAATTATATCCTGCCATACGTAATTGTTCACCGAAATAATCGACAGGTCGGTCGGTATCGGAGAATCTGGTGGTAAGCTTTTGTGGCCAAGATCATCCATTGCTTGAAATACCTCCGACGGATATTCTCTCATCATGCGAGCGAGAAGTCATGGCAATGGAGGTGATTCTGAACGCCAAGAATCGCCCCGGGGGGGGGGGGGGGGGGGGCAAAAGGGACAGCGCTATGAGCTTGTGGGAATGATCGATGCTTTTACCAAGGTGAGAAATTGGTAGGCTGAGGCGGGGAAACTCACCTCGCTAGGGAAGATTCTCCGCTCTACAGATAACTTATCTTTCTCAGGAACCATAGGTCTACCTATAGCTATTTTATCAATCCGGTCTGGATTTCAGCATGTTCCCTTTTCTTCACACTGTGGACATCCTCCCTATCCTCGTGTCTCACTCTTTCATCTCACGGTTCACAACTCCCGAAAATCAAAATCAGAATGGGCCCTTAGGCTCTCACAGCTGAAAACGATAGCTCAGATCCGAGGTCAAGTCACACATGACTTCGATACCAGCTAGGGCTCAATGCGGGTTCTGGGACATGGTGGAAGGATCCCAAAGCATTGTTCTCGATTGGAAAGGTTCTAAACTCTATGAAGTACCTAAATGCTGAGAGTGTAACGGTATGAGAATGAGTTGAGGGAGTGTGACACTCACAAGTAATCTTCCCACCCCAAGGCATTCCCTCATTCTCTTTACCATCAAAAACCACCTTCTCCCCTACTTCTTCAATCCCTAGAGCTAACAACCCTCTCCCATCCTCTGTCCCACCTTCCAACAACGCATTGAAGCTTTCTATATGAGGAACTACCAGCTGATCTAATGCAGGTACGTCTGAACGGTCAGAAGGGGGATGACGAAATGCTCTTTCTCTCGTGAGGGTGTGAAAGGTTGTATGATCTTTGGAAGATGATGGGGATAGGGGGTCTATCATGTTTGAGAAAATTATCCCTGTTGTTCTCTATTTGTTCGTTTCGATCTATGATGGCTTTCACTCTCTGTCCTCTATCAAAGGCCACGTAGGAGACTCTTTGTGGTCTTGCCCATTAAGTGTATAGGGTATGAGTGGTATGATTTGTAGGGTGGAAAGTTTGAAGAAGAGGGCAAAATCAACTTTTTTTTGATTCCGTCTTTTCCGACGGAACTTTACAGATGCATGATGCACTGGGGCGGTTCAACGTGTTTCTACATGACAACATTGAGGTGTATCTTAACTCAAACACTCTTCGTATTCTACATGTACTTAGGCCTACAAGAAAATGTCCAGATATTACATATGAGTCGTACAATTCGACGTGATCAGGCGTCACAGCATACTGCGTTCATCTCGGGGGGAACTGATGATCAGTATCAATCCCATTACTCTTGACCTCCGATAATGACGACACCGAGTGGAATCATCCTTCCCCAAGTCTACGTGTTCACAGTCGGAGGGACGAAGGGGACCTCTTTGTTGTACATCAGACGGTCCCGGACGACACTGTTCGGGGGGCATCGAGCACTGGGTAGACGACAAATGGGATGTAACACAGGAACAGCATGTAACAAAACTCACCAAATGGAGCCCAAGCTTCACATCCACCTGCCAGATCGACCACATCTCCAGTCGCGGTCGAAGGTCGTAGATCCCAAGAGAGGATGGTGATACCTTTCAATCGACAGGACTTTTTGGATGGGGAGAAGGAAACCCCTGTGCAGGCTGTGCGTTAGTGAGTTGTCATCTCTTTCTTCTCGTTCTTCGTGTGGCTCTTCCTTCATGTCCTTTTCGATACATCATGCGGGTGATGATTGTACAAGTACCGAATCTAGTAAAAGGGTCGACGAGATGGATGAATGATAGAGCAGATGTGTGTTTTGAAGATGAACCAGTTTCTTGAAGTGAAGGAGGGCTGTCGAAAACGCAGAGGACCTGCACGACAATTATGGGCGTGACGTGTCGCACAGGCCAGGACCATGGCAGGAAGGAAAGATGAAAGCGAAGAGAAGACACTCACCCTCCCCATAATGGGTACAGGCTGACATGCACGACATTTCCGGTGTGACTGGTACTGACCCGCTCAACTGGGCGTCAGCCGTGTTCTCGACCCCTTCCTCCCGCTTTTCCTTTCGGACTTAATTCTTCAAATACACATGTCACATGTACTGATTGATCTTGGAGAAGCTTGGCAGTGATACCAGTGAACTCGTCTGGAAATTCCAATCGAGAAACTCCTATGACAACTTCGCAAGAACCTAGTCGACGTATGATGGGAGGTAACTCACCTCATCTCCTTCCAACACCCAACCGGGATACCTAGCATACCCTACTATCCTACCTTGAGTCAAACATCTCGAATACCCTTCCATCCCTTCCCCCTCATTTCCTTCCCCGTTCTTACTTTCCGTATCCTTTCCCATCTTGTTATTTCTCTCAGTATCATCTTCCACCTTTTTAGCTTTACCCATCGAATGTGCCGCAGCAACAGTTTCAGCTTGAGCGTAATCTCTCCATTTATCTTCATCTCCACTCAAAACTTTTTCTTTCCTCATTCCCATTTTCTTTTCATATTCATCTTTGAAACCCCTTGCTAAACTCCCCAATTCCGATTTACCACTTTCATCAAATTCTCGGATTTTTAAATTCTCTTTTTTGACTTTATTAACATTCTTTCTTCTTCTCCTTCTTGGACCTTTTTTAGCTCTTGCATAACCTGCGAATTCTTCTGCTAAACCAACAGGACCAGTTCTACCTCTATTAGCTCTATCTTTTTCTCTCAAAGCAAGCCAAGCAGCTTGTTCTTCTTCTTCAATTTCTTCGGGAGTTTTAACTATGATTTCTTCTTGATATCCTTCCGATTGAATCGAAGAGATTGATTCTTCATCGTCATCTAAGAAAGTATCTTGGATGATAATTGGTTGAGAATTTACTTTGGGTTTTTGGTTCGATTTTGGGATGGAAGGTGGTTGATAGGGAGGGCGAGGTTGTAGGTAACGGAGTTGAGGGGGTGGAGGTTGGGGTAGGGGTTGAGGTACAGGTTCAGGACGAGCTGAAGCTTCCAGAAGAGAAACGAGTGAGAGTAATAAAGGTGTTGTGAGACGCATAGTGGGTTGCAATATCTTTCTATCTTCCTTCAAATCTTCCTCTTGTCGTTCGACGTTCGATGTTTGATCTCCGTTGGACGTGTAAAGCTTGTGGTCTATCGGTGTCGGGTCAAGTGTCGAGTGTTTTGCCTAGACAAGTACCAATAATACGAAAAAACCAGTTGTTCTCACTAATCCAGTACGGCAACACGATCTCAAGATGTGTCCTCCTCAGTCAAACGAAGTGGTGACGGGAGGAGAGATGTAGATGATGTGTCGAGATGTGTATAGTAGGAATTATCGAATGGTTAATGCGATCCGAAACCGTGGGCGAAGCTTTTCACTCCGGAAGCCGAGGATCCGAAGATATGACCGATGAGAAAACACTGGAACAATAGGCTTAATTCTTCTCTCTCTCTCGCTCTCTTCTATTCCTCCATATATATATATATATTCGTCTTCTTGCTTCTATGCAAGTGAGTGGAGTATGAAGCATAAAATAAGAAATGCATAAACATGTTTTTTCTTCCTTTTCTAACGGCAATTGGTCCCTCGTCCCTGCGCCAAAGCGCCATAGTCTACGTGGACCAACCGATGAGACGCAGTGACGATACTAAAAACCCCTTACATCGGAGATATTCTGAACGAACAAACTAATGGGAGTTTAGAAAATAGGATAAGGGTTATTAGTATAATTTGCGTAACCCTGAGGTGAGGGATTAGGATTTCTAGGAACGTTCTTTACTTTTATTAGAAATTCAGATACTGTACCTACTTCGTGGGATATGTTTATTCCGGTCTGTCCGATGGGATGGATTAATTTCTTTTCGTGATTCTGACGGTGGTATTAAGTGGGAAGAGTGACTAACCGTGTGATTAGAGGTAGGATCATCAGAAGGGATATTCCATGCATGTTATCAAAGGTGAGATGTCGAGAGAGAATAGACTTTCAAGAAGGAACATGACATGCTCTATCTTTACTTTCGAGTAAAAGTACGGGATCTGCAGTAGGTTCCAATTGAAGGAGTAACTTACGAATATGATGGGATACATGTGATACATTCACTCAAAGATCATCAGTCTACGTAAGACAGAGTGGAGTAAGAGTACAAGGATGGGCTTATGCAGAGATACATGAATGTAACAGTACAACGGATTCATGCAGGGGTAGCTTTAGCGGTGGTTATGGGAGGTGGCATCGAAAGTGTATCTTTGTCCTTCGAAACCAGAGTAGCATTCGGTTTAGGCTTTTTCTTCTTTTTCAGTAACATGGCTAAGAGTCAGCAAGCGAGTCCAAAATGTTGTCTTGTTGTTCTTCTCACAACGAATGAGCGTACAGGGGAAATGACGCTGATGTTTACCAACTTCAGTAGGACGGAAATTGAAATCACCGAGGAAGATCCCCTGCGAGGGATCGGCGAAGGCAAGTGAAGGAGATATCAATGAGCAGACAGGAAAGGTTTGAAAAGAGCAATGGGGAGAAGAAAGAACAGTTACACTCTACTCACCCATGGAAACGGCAGACCTGACATTCTCATTAATCTCCCTACTTTCCTCCAAAAACGCATGATCATCAAACTTGTGTTTCTTCTTGGCCAATTCTTCCAAATCCACCTCTGCCATTCTTTTACCATTGGAGTCCCCGGAAGAGCTGGATTCTCCGGTGCGGGAAGGAGGGACAATACCGAGTTTTCGTTCTAAAGCTTCCAGCTTTGCCTTTTCCGCGGCGGCTGCAGCTGCTTTGATCGCTGGGGCTGATTCGAGCAGTTCTGCTTGTCTGTTCGTCAGCGGTGTTCAAATATTCCATCGTCAAATCAATCTGGGGGACATGCATGGATCCTACGTTGATTAGATGTGACCAAGGATAGAAAAGGTCTGAAGACAGAAGGTGCAGGAGGAAGATGTCAATTAGAAGCGATTCGAGAGATACTGTGAACGGTGATGACACATAACTCAGCTTCAGAACGTTTGGGTGCTACCAATGATGGCAAAGGGGAAAGAATTTGGGAGACAACCCACCTTTGAGCCTCTTTCAGGGTAGATATCCTTCTTCCTGACAGATCCCTACAAGAATCGGTATTCGTCTTACCAGCACTCATCCTCCCTCCCGCAGCCCGTAATTGTGTCCCAAAGCCTCCTTTTCCTCCTCGTATTCTGGCACATACCTCCAAGCTTATCGGATGGTAAGAACCTCTGTCATCATGTAGATCCCCCACAGTCGCCTGAGGGTCGAGGATACGAGAGGCGGTACGGATGTATGCGTCCCATGATTCGGGGATGAGAGAGGAGAGGGGTGTGGAGGGGTGAAGATTTAGTTGTCGAGGGGATAGTGGGGAGGGAAGACGGAGGAATACCGCTTGATGTTGAGTCATACCCTTCAAAAATGAATTAAAAGATGATTACACACTTAGGAAGATAGCGGCTGGGATTCTTATCAAGACACTGTGTCAAGACGAACGTTGGAAGACAGTGGAAGGAGTGGCAATGGCAACTGAACGGCATTTCGGCGTTATTCCGTCGTGGCAGTTATCCCCGCACTCCTCCTTCACCGAGCTTGCTTCCACGCACTCTGCTTTTACCTTATAAACCTCACCCAATTGTCTTTCAGCATGGAAGTCAATAAAGAAGAAGCCCTAAGATGTTTGTCCATAGCTCAAAAACATAGATCTGCCTCAAATTTCCCTACAGCATTGAAATTCGCATCGAAATCCGTATCTCTTTACTCTACACCAGAAGGTGAAGCTTTGGTGACTATCATTCAGAGAGAGATTAAGATATCTGAATCTTCTTCCAATACTCGACCAACAAATGGACCGAATGGATCTAACGGTACAAGTGGGATGGAACAACAAGGGGAATCTAGTAGATCAGCTAGATCCACAGGGGTGGAAGAACACGTTAGTGAAAGTGGGACACATAGGAGGATGGGACATGACGAAAAAGGTAAATCCAAGGAAAAGGAAAAGGAAAAGAGAGAGTATACTGTCAAACAAATGGAAGTTGTCAAAAGGGTAAAGATGTGTAAACATCATCAATATTATGAGATTTTATCTTGTGAGTTCTTTGTTCTTTTCCAATTCTCTCTAAACCCTCGATGCCTACTCATCTCTTCGTATATCCTCTCACGAAGACGAGTCGATGTGAGTTCCCTTGATGGGATTTACTTCCATATACCTCTTCAATTTTCCACGCAAATTCATGTCTATGTCACACGGAAAGATCTCTGGCAGGGGATGGTCGTTCATCCAATCGATATTGGACTGGTGACCAACGGAGGCGTCTGACACACAGTGGAGAAAACCTGTACTGAGAATGACGTGAAGAAGGCATACAAAAAGGTGCGTCTTCGGTAAGATCATTCTTGAAACGAGACCTGACCAGCAGTTGGCATTACAATTACATCCAGATAAAAAGTATGTCAAGCCGTTGATGAGTGAAAAGCGGAGCTGATTGATAGCGGTGCCCCGGGCGCAGATGAGGCGTTCAAGAGTGAGTTTCCATGATGGATATCTTACCCACCTCAAGGCGGGTTCATGCCCAGCCCCATTGAGACCTTGGCATTTCCCTAAAGTCTGAACGTTTTTCTGACATTCCTCAAAACGCCGTTACCTAATATTCCACACAGATTGTTGGATTTTGCAGCCAACATCTTCCCAAGTGCTCGCTCGCTGACTCTCAGTGATATCCAAAGCTTTCCAAGTTTTATCCGATTCCAACCTTCGTTCAATATACGATTCCAACCCATCTGTAGATCCAACTCAGAGGGGAAACCCTTCTTCATCCGGATCAAACATATTCCGTACTCGTCCCGCTCCCGGTGGAGGAGGGTTTCAAGGTGATATAAACCCTGAAGATTTATTCAACATGTTTTTCGGTGGTGGATTACATCCACAAGGAAACGTATTCACATTTGGTGGTCCTGGTATATTTCAAGCTCAATTCGGTGGTGGTGGTGGTGGTGGACCTATGAATCAAAGATATCGTCAACGTAATCAAACGAATGAAAATACAGGACCTACATCACCTTTAATGGCATTATTACCATTAATAATTTTATTCTTATTCGGTTTAATATCAATCATACCAAGTTTATTCTCTGGACCAAACGTTCCTGATCCTAAATATAATTTCGAACCTTCTGATAATTTTGATTTGGGAAGAACTACTTGGAATTGGGGTGTACCATATTGGGTTAATGGGGAAGAATGGGAAGGAAGTAAATTATGGCAAAGTGTACCTGAAACTAGAAGGGATAAGAAAGATGCTGCTATGTATAGTAGTAAAGTTAGAGTTTTCGAAAGAGGTGTTGAAAGTGTTTATGCGGGTAGATTGAGGAATGAGGTGGGTTCATTTCATGTCTTCTTCTTCATCTGCTTATATGATTAATCATCCGTCCCTATTCTCCGCCGGTCATTCCAATGCAAGGATGGAATATAGACGATATTTCCGTCGCTGGTAAAGAAGGTGTCAGCCAGTGGTGAGGTCGGAGTCTCTCTGTCACAGAGTCATGAGGAAATAAACCCTCATTGTATCATATCTTCGCTCTACAAAACTAATTCAGATAACTGAAGCCCCACGTTATCAGTGGAACGGACTGGGGGAACGAACTGGGGGAACGGGCGGGGATCCGGGGGTCAGAATTAATATATCGTCATTCTTCGTTCAGGAATAAAAGAGAGAGAAGGTCACTAATTCACAGTGCGAAACCTTTTCTATTCGACAACAACACCGTATCTCCCAAGAAGCCGGTTTCTTCGGTTTTGGTGCGGATTACGAAAAGATCAGATCTATACAATCAGAGAAATCACCAGCATGTGAACAACTTCGTCAATGGGGTTTAACACAACAAGCTTGGTAGTTTCTTCTTTCTCCTCGTCTCATGATTCTCTCATCAACTATTGAATCCGATCAGTTTTGCCTTTTCTTTGCGACCCAAATACAAATCCTAAGCTTTAGAATTAAATGCATGATGGTTACAAGGGACCATGGATGAAGATACAAATTCCGAGCTGGATGTCTTGTACGCACAATTGAGTAAGGAGGGGAAGCAAAAGATAGATGAGAGTGGATATAGTAGTGTCATTCTCAACTATTGTATGCATATAATCATTGCACTCATAATTCGCCATTCAAAACAAATGCATCGTGACATTCATGTACAACATATGTACTCGTACTGGTAATTTGGGAACTTTAGATGCAGGATATATTAAAGAACACATATCATAATCCTTCACGTCTCACAAATTCTTCTACTTTCTCTTCGGCCATACGTGCTTCTCTCTCCAATGTCAACTCCATGACCGATTCAGGTGGACGAAAACGGATCACCCTTTCTTCCTCATTCTCCGATGCTGAGGTTCCATTTTCGTCTTGTTTCGAATCATTACTGTCCATCCCGTTCAAGACCAACGAAGAATTCGATGAAGTTTCCGGGTGATCTTGTTGGGCGATTGGAGGTGTTGGTTCGAGTGTTGATTGAGACATAAGATGGGAAGGAGAAGTATCATCATCGATTATATCTTCCCATTCATCATCACCAGATGAAGTTAGATTGGCAAGAGGAAGAGAAAGAGGACCAGAAGGTACGTAATTCTCCACACGCTCTTCCAACACGTACTCTGCATCGATCATTTTTTGTCGAAGAGCTGTCATTTTTTGTCGAGCGGGTCGACGGAGGAGGTAAATGAGAAGAGTCCATAGACAACATGGGAAAGCCAAGCGGACTGATGAGTCAGTATATATTCACTTGAATCTTTACATACAGGAGAAAGAGTAGTTGAAAGTGATATTCCACGTCCTTTGATGAACATAGACATAAGACGAAGAATCAAGACCGAGTACGAGTAATGGCGAGGGAAGCTCTGACAGTTGGAAGGTACACTCACAAGCAAAGTTCCGATCCGAGTCGGGACTGTACCACATGAATGGGACAAGGATAGCAGTGGTAAACCATGGTAAGACTAAAGGTACGAGGAGATAACCTAGAACGGGAAGTGTTACAGTGTTCACTGTTCGAAAACTATAGTTCATTGGTGCTCTCAGTAACTGCGAGTATCAGCGGGCAGGTTCTACGACAGAGTGGTCTTCAATCCATACGACATGAACAGACGATGATCTAGAACATGGAAGAGCGAGTACCGTTTCACAGCGCTCGTTGATTGATGTGGAATGAGTCAGCTGTGAGTCGGAAAGAGGAAAGAGTCCCAAAGACACAAGACTCACCCGAAGGAGATGATGACCTCGACCTCGACCGGCGAACCTAGGAAAGGCCACGCTGATACCAGCAAACAGACAGCAAATGATCACGCCTGTAGCCCTGAACAGTCAGCTATTACTATCCCTCTGACTCCTACCTTCGAGCTTTCCAAAGTGCTGACTCCGTAAGACTGCCTGAAACCAGTGTTACAAGACAGATTTCCCAAATGGAGAGACATGTTATACATGGGAGTGAAGTGGTGAGGTGATGAGACGTTCGAGCAAACAAACTCACCAGGCATCCCAAACATGCAAAACAGACTTGGTCCCTCCATCTCTCATATATCTCACGGGAATAGTCAAATACACCTCCCAATTGATCCCCAGCAATAAAGGCACTATACCGTACAGCATGAAGACCCCGTATCCTCGAATAAGATTGAAGATGACGGAACGTTTGAATCGTTGGCTAGAGTCTGACCGTCTGAGTTGTGGCGCACGCGAGAGCGCGATGATACGTTTTTGGACTTGACTACCGAGGGAAATGGCCAGGTGAATGATGATTGCTCCTGTTATCTGCGAGTCAGTACAGACCAGTTGTCTACCTTTCGTACATGTTTGTTACTATTCTTCCATACTATATGGTATCGAAGACGCCTATCTGAAAGTCCCCTGCGTTCAGGCTGTATCATGATAGGAAGTGTCTGATGATTTACGGGAAGGACAACAACGATCTCGCCGAGAAACACGATGGAAAGGATAAGGAGGGAGAAGAAAGCATCAGAGTAAATGATGAATGACTTACCAAGCTATACCCATCATGTACTTTCTCCTCCCATAACAATCTCAAAGCCGCTCTTCCAACTAAAAGAGGAGCAAATAATCCTACCGCTACAACCACCGCGCTTGCCCATATACACATCATGATAAACACATGCACTCTTGTTCTCCAATACTTTGGCAACCAAACCACATTATAATCTTTGACAGGATCACGATTCGCTTTCCTTGCTGCTCTATCTTGTTTCAACAGATTAAGTTTATGTTCGTCCGTCTTCGGTCTACCAATTTCGTCTACAGGAACAAAGACGCCGGCTTTACGTCGGACTAACAATGGGAGTAAAACGACCTGATCAGTTGCAGGAACACGCATGGCGGTCGCGCTATTATCGTATGGACTGAGAAATCTTTGGAAGAAGAAATCCAGTGTTGGCCAAACGATACGCTCGAGAATGAACGGCCCACGAAGAGGAAGATGTCGTGTGAGACGATTACGAGACATGATGAGTGGTGTGAGTAAGAAGAGGGAGGATAAGTTACGGAAGAATGATTGAGTGAGACGACGAAGTCGAGCTCGTGGACGTAAATATTCCATCAGAGGAGGAGAGATAATGTGGAGGAAGAGTAGGTCAAAGGGGATTGATGAAAGTGGTTCACTGAATTATTAGTGATTGTATAAAGAGGATGAATGAATACGTACAATCCATTTGTGCGGAGAGGAAGGACCTCGACGTAAGGTTGGTAATATATACCCCAGCAGGTGATACCGAAGATGCAACCTATCAGACAAGAATACATGATCGCCGAAGTCAATAGCTAAATCATCAGTCATGATGCACCTCAATAACATCGGGTGAACATACCTTTCTGAATTGATAGCCAGTAGGACGCTCAATGGTATCTTTGACAGGGGAGAAATTTTGGTCGGCAGGGTCCCGAATAAAGAACAATGCTCCTTTTCTGCATATCTGCCAACTTAGTCACCGTACATTTATGTCAGCTGGGGGGAAACACACGCTACGAAGATAAGCCAAGATGCCTGCGAAGGAAAACATGAACCTGGAGTTCAGTTTGTGAACGACAATGAACGAAGTAACTTACAAAGTCCCAACAAGTAGATTTGTAAACATCGCACCGAAGGGATTGGTTCTGAAGTAGGACAAGCGGCTAGTAATGGTCGTGTCCGGGAACAATGGGACAGTGAAGAAGTTAATGACAATCCCAACGGTGAACGGGAAAACAGCCAGCTCTAAAATCATGAAGAACGACAGCTGACTGTCAGCAAAGCTCTATGTGATTCCGCGACACACTGTAAAGAGCCGAGACTTGCCTTGAGAAACTGAACGTATCGTTTGAAATTGATAGCGAGAGTAGCAGACAGTACCCCTCCATGTTCATCCGCTGTCATTGCTATGACGAGCAGGAAAGCAAACGCCGCCGCATAGCCAGCGAGCAAAACCCATATTTGATCAGAAAGATGGTCAGAAGCTGCCAGATCTAGACATACTCGACGAAAGCTCTCATGCGCCTGAACGACTTTGAGACCAATAGCTCTTGTTAAAGGATACGCATTGTCGACTTCCGTCGAGATGATCGTCGGTAGATCCGGGAGATGAAAGCCGAGTCGACCGGTGAAGTCATCAATTTGTTGACCCAATTGCAGTTCTCGACCGAGGATACGACATAATGCTTTCGCAGAGCTAAACGCAGGGATGAATAAGACGTCACGCACAATCTCCCAAGAGATGTCGAGTACGGGACTGGTCAAGACGTGCACTCCTCGAAGTACCATGTGGAATGTGTAAACGGTCAAACGTAAAGGGTCGGCGAATAAGACCAGTTTGCCGATAATGATGGGTATTGCCACTAGTGAACAGAGTGCAGCTCCCATGACGATGAGAGCGAATAGTAGCTACTTAGTTCAGCATTCCCGATTGTACGGACAGAAGTCGAGACCTACATTTTGGAAAAGGCCATGAAGAGGCCCAATCAGTCCGACGACTGGTACATGAGCACTATTTCTGGATCCACTACCAAGAAGGACTTACCCTCCAGTACACCATCCCAATCTTCTCTCTCAAGTGCATCCATCTCTTGTTCTTCGGCAAAACCGTCCTCCATATCTTGCGGCGCCCTCGGAGCCTCCGCCTCAGCATCATCATCGCCTTCGTCATCCTCGTGATTGGGTTGTGGTAGCATGGGGCCGACTAAAGGTCTTCCAGGTGCTGCATGGACAGGCGCGATTGGTCCGGCTTCACCAATGGGCTCGCGCTGTGTTGGCTCAGCTCCATCGTCGGAATGATCCACGTTCATTGTTAGTAGATCCAACATGGCTCCCGCGTCGTTTGCAGCTTCCTGCTCCTGCTGAGCCAGCGGTAGGGAGAAGACACCATCTATGTCTCCCTCGTCGATGGCATCGGCCTGGTCACTTGCTACACTGGCGGCGCTAGGTGTGGAAGACGCTGATGCAGAGCGCCTGACGCTAGGTGGCGTCTCACTCCGGGCGCTTTCCGGCGACCCTTCTTTGACCGCTAAACCTTTCGGATGGATACCAAGTATTCCACCATTGGCAGCTACAATCTCTTCGGTAGTGGGTGAAGACGGCAATGAAGATGGCAAAGGTGGAAGACTGGCCACCGGTATGGGTTTGGTCAGTTGGTTTGGGTCCAGGCACAGATCTGGAAGCTCAGCCAGTTGGCTCTTCTTCCACAAATGATTATCTGGCTCTAGTAGCTGAACCGGCTTTCTAGGCGACGCCTTCGATCCCGAGAGCGGAAGTAGCTCAGGTGCCTGCCAGTTAAGATCGTAGTCCGACTTCTCTTCCGGTGTTAAACGAGCTTTGGCGAATGAAGTACGGACAGCCGGGATTGTGATACTTGACGGTCCAGCCTGAGGTCGATCTCCTCGAACCGTATCGCGAAGCGCCAGCCGTTCATCTGGTGAGAAGTGGGTCTGAAGAGGGGTCACGGAGCGACGTAAAGGTGATGAAGGCAGGGTTGAAGGAGGTGATGGGGCGATGGTGGGATCATTGGGCATGGTTATCATTCGTGAGAAGCCAGGATCTCTTTCGAAGTCGTCCGAGATGCGCCTACGGATAGGTGATGGAGGACGGTATCGAGGCGGGGAGTGAGTGATTGGAATGGTGACTGGGTCGAGGCGGAGTATGGGATCGGGCACATGAGGTAGGGGCTCGTGACTGGGATCCGACAGCTGGTTATTGCTGGCACTAAAGTCGGAGGCTTTGATGGTAGACGTAGCGATAGACGGTAGGGCTGTTGGACTAGGTTCGCCGACCAGATTATATGGCACAGTGGGAGGAGGCATTGAAGACGGCCTTAAGATCTTAAGAGGTCCGGATTCCGCGTTTATCTCTCGATCATCCCCAAATGGCGAGTCCGATGTGTAACTATTCCGCCGAGGTAGAGGAGCAATCAACTTGGCATCGCTGGACTGACGATTGGTGATGATGGTAGACATGTCTGGCTCAGACTTGGCGACCTTGGTTTTTCCGTGTGGCTTGCGACCCACTTTGGCCTCTTGAACTCTCCGGAACGCTGCCACTTTTTGGTCGAATTCGGCTCTGGTCAACGCTATGCCACGAATGACCAGCCAGTCATTCACATTGATTTCTTCTTCCGGTTCAGCAGGTTTGGTTAGGTGTTGGTTCCAATCATGTTGGAGGATCCATTCACGGAGAAAGATCATGCCGACCAGAGAGGCGGCAAGGATGATGGTGAGAACCTGGCCACGGAATATAAAGGTGACCAGCCTGGGTATCAGATGATGTGCTCTGCTCAGTATCTGAGAGACCTACGTGCTGGCTTGTCCGTCATACCATCGTTTCAATGAACTGAGAATCAACCTCGCACTTGTGAGATCTGGCAGGAATATCTGTCGTAAGTTCATTCTTGACGATCCCAGCCCTGAAGAAGCATTGGCTATTGTTTCGTTGGAAAGTACAACTTCTGCTTCGGTGACGTTCATAGAAGGCGAATTGGAAGCTCCGTTCGGGTTGGTGAAGAAGGAACGCGGTCTTGCCCTTTGTATGTAAGCGAGACTTACATACAACATGGAATGTACGTACACGTGTGAAGCTGTCCACATGAGTGATCTCAAACTGAACATGTTGAGACTGGGTAGTATTACGAGCCATGTCTCTATGACCAGGATTAACCGTAGGATATAAGTGATAGCTTTGGCCAGGGTGATGGTGGATTGACGGATGAAGACTGAGATGGGGATAGTGGAAGGGAGGTGATCAGGGTAGACTAGAGGGTGAGCATCTTCCTTCTCTCCCCAAAGGTCTTTAAACACCTTTTGTAAACTTGTAAACGTGCCCACATATCTCGCAATGCTTCTTCTGGGTATGAGCCAACCAGCTCTTCAAACTGTTTCAAATCAGCTCAACTCCAAGCAAGGCGTTCTGATGCTCACCATTCCGAGTGAACGTATTTGACAGATCCTGAACACTTGCAGGGGTATATCAGGGGCATCTCTTGATCCCCTTCGACCCGACATACTCGGCAAACATCTTGAAAAGGCGTCAGCAAAGTAAAGGAATGATGGATCGCAAGGACTCACCAGTGTCCTCATCGCTATGGGGTCCGAGGGGTATCAAGTCAGTTGTGTGATTTCCCGACATCTAGTTGTAGGTAAGAGTCACAACAACATGAAGAGGAAGACGGTGCACGAGTATGCACTGAGGCCCTAGGTCGGAGTATGAAAAGGCAAGTAGTCAAAGTCCGACAACAAGTGCGAAGGTGCTAGAGAAGGAGAAAGTGACATTATTGTCATCGCAGAGTGCGGCGATCGCCGCACCGATGTTCGTACTGCGAAGTATGCACTCATGTTCTCGTATCGTTTGCAAGTACAGCACATGCATATTCGTATACATGCACATTGATGATTTTGGTCAGCTAAGGGATGACTCACATACTAGGAAAGATCTAGACTAGTTACCAGTTTGATTGCAAGCCGAGGTAAGGGTGGTTATCAGCGTATAGTGGAGAGGTGAACTGGGATGTGTCGTCCCTGCTGACTCCTCCCACACCTAGGTTGTTTGCCGATCCGACAGTGTGTGATTGAGGCAATGAGCTTCCCCAAGGATCGGCGGTGAAGGAGATTTTAGGAGAAGATCTACCGAAAGTCACAGTGCCGTGAAGTTTACCTGAAACGGAGTCGAAGTCGTCAGGAGAGAATTTAGAAGAGAGAGTACAGAAGGTGGTGATTGCGTCGTCACCCGGCGTACCATTCCCTTCACCCATCTCTATGATGGTACCTAGTGATGATCTACCGTTATGTTTAGCTGGCCCTGACCTGGATGGTGTTCTCTTGCTTGGCCCCTGCGGCCACCCAAAATCTTTAAATTCCAACAATTCTGCTTTTGCATTCTTGAGATACCCTCCAGGAGTTTGGGATTTGTCCACCCCACTGCAGGTCCCTTCACCGGCACTTGTCCCTGACCCTATGGACTCTGGGCTGGGAGGGGTGCCTCTAAGACGGAATTCTGCGGACGATGACCATGAAGCAGATTGCATGATGCCGAACGTCAGTGATATCAAGTCGATTGGAGAAATTGGGACAGAAACTCTATCACTCACTCACTATTTATCTCTTTCAACCCATCCCCAGAGCGTCATACCCATCAAAGGATCGATATTTCTTGCCCGACGACTCCACCGTTCCCACGATACGACGTCACACCTTCTTCTTCACTTATTGATTTCATGACAACGCCGTTTCCCTCCCTCTCATTCCCTACGCTCGATATGATTTCTTCTTTTGGCTATTGCCTTCCTCGAAATGACGTCGTTGTCATCGTTGGTCCAGACCTTCCAGGGGTGCCGATACGTGGACCGGGGGATGTGTCGTTTCCCACGATACATACAGCTCCACAGAGTGATGTCAAATTCTTTCGACGGCCTTCTTCCTGGCCTTCAGTGGAAAACGGCTTGCCCGTTATTCGGTCGAGTCTTTTGATTTAGCTGACGACCTGCTCGTTTCAGAGCCCAGGCCTTGGATCATCTCCGATTTGTGGAGCGTGTCTTCATTCGACTTCATGACGAGTGGGAGTATGAAATGGTGGTTCGATTGCACTATGGGAGACTCACACAGGTCATGTCATGTTCTCATTCTAGGACTTTCTCCACTTCGAACCTCCACTATGAAAGCGTTACTCCCCATTCTTCAATCACCCACGACTAGCGACTAGGACAAAACGCATCGACACGGTGGGGGAGGTTCGAAATTATTGTTTGATTCGTCGTCTGCTTGTCATTGGTATCCTCATCCTGGGACAAGAGTGTAGACGTAGTGGACTGTGTTGGTGAAGAGTGGAATGAGATATACTGCGAGTAAGCAAGCTTGCAACCTCACTTGAAGAAGTAGGGACTTGAGGGCAGTGTAGGAAGAGATTGGTAGCATCTTGAGAAAGCTGAATCAGACGATACCGCGTTTAGATTAGACTTCTTGCTCATCATGGCTCGCCTTCCTTCGGGAGGATGAGAAGCAGAAAACCTGGCAAGACTTGCTTTACTATTCTCGCTTTGTAGAGATCGTCCATTGTCTCCATTATATTGATCCTTACAGAGTATGGTCGAGTGACGGGTATCGTCTGCTTATACGTGTGTGGAGGAGAGAGACGATGGACATATGCCGTGTTAATACTGTTTTTGATCATTGACCGTTTCACACTACCAAAAAAGAGGACTTTACTGGGGCAGGCCAGATCTCTAATTTCCCTCCCCCGAAACCGCAAGTCCACTTTCCTCCCCATTCCCTTGATCGTATCGTTAAGACCTCTGGAGTCCATATCGAGTGTTATTGATATGCCATTTCCGAGGCTTGGTTCAAGTGTGTGGGAAACGACAGCGATGAAATATACTGAGCTTAGTAATCTACCCTTTGACAAATCGAGGCAAACGCATAACAAAAAGCAAATATCAAGAGGAACACGACAACCGTGCTCGTCGATAATCGGTAATTACATGCAGTTAGCAGCTATCAAACGCTGAGATAATTAACATTCCGATTTGAAGTGGGGTTGGTCTCTCCAGCGGGGTCTTCAGGATGGGCTTCACTGATCCGCTTGTCCGTTCCATTGGTTTGTTCTTCCGTGCAGTAGTCGTCCCTCATGAGCTCGTCTTCTGAGTTTCTGGTTTGAAGCCGGCTGAAGCAGCATTGTTTTCAGAGTCCTGTTCCGCGTCACAAGGGTCCGGTTGGATTGGGGGCTTAGATAATGGGGACGACGGAAGTGTGGCAGACGGTGGTCTTCTCCTCCGCCTCTCTCGGTTGGAAGTAACGACACGTGAAAAGCTGGGGCCGATAAGATTCGAAGCGACGTGCTTTTGACCAGTACTCGGAGAAGATACAGAGGCATTCATAAGTTTCCAGTCTTCTTCGGCATCAAGATCGGCTTGGTAGAAGGGACTGAAAGATTTGACAGTCTGTGTAGGATGAATTGATGACCTGAGTTCGACAGCGAGTTTGGCACCATTCGCCTTGCTTGACAAGTTTGTACCTGTCGACGAGAGTTTGTGGTGTGCAGTCAGATCTGAAGCATCTGCTGATGTTGTCTGTTCTCGGCCTGTGGATTCTGACATATCCTACGTGTCAACAAAAGTAAAACTACTCTAAAAGCTCTTCTTGTCACACGACCAAGGGGACTGACTGTTTTATAGGGCCGAAAGCGGCAATGCTCGTATGGTGATGACGCGTGGGATCATGAGAAATGAAGAGGGTAGAGCATCGCCTTGTAGAGATTTATGAAAAGGAAGAGACCTTCGATTCACTTAACTTACGATTCTCATTCACCCTTGAAGGCCTCTTGCTCCAGCCACCAACTTCGAAGGGTGTGGTCTCCTGTCCATTTCCCTTTCTGATAGATGATATCGTCTGCTTCGAGGGGGGAACAGAGAGAGCGTCACTATGCGAAAGACTGTTATCTGCGTTACCTACGACACTTGTGACTTTGATGACATATATACTTGATTGAACAATAATGAGGTTTCATCAGTCGAGTAAGTGAGATGCGACTCTGCCAATAACTGATCTGGGTCGTTTCCCCCGCCCTTCTCATACGTTGATCACTGACTTGTGGGGAGGATGGATATATGGTGGTCATGTTGAAGCTTCAATTGACAGTGAGAGTACGAGAATGCTCTTGTGAGAATTGATAATGTGATGCGAGGTAGAGGGGGACAGCACAAATTCGTGTTGTTGCCGTCGTGGTCACGGTGATTGATCATCGACATGTGGTGGTGTGGCACGTGGCACAAGACGACCAATGGGAACAACGCATGCATACATAGGACTGAAAACGACAACATTATTGATAGAGCTCACCACCACATGAGAAAGGGGAAATTGACAATAAGGAGAATATAGAATCAATAATCAATTCTCTCTGCTAGCCTGGTAATGGCTCCTCGATTCTGGTTGTTCATGTTCACTACTTGAAGCTTCTTTGCTATTCGAAACTTGAACCAAACTCCCTTCACCCTTCAAAAGTATTGAGTCAGCTGACTTGAAAACTGGGTCTGATTCATTGCTAGACTCATCAATTTCAAAGATTGGTTCAAGTTGGTGATATTCGAAGACCTCATCGGTTGGGGATGACTCTTGTGAAGCTGGACTTGTGGTGGCAGAACGATCAGGACTGCTCATTCGCTTCTCTGAATCATCACTAAGGCCGTCCAATGGGAGGTCTGCGAAATTTCCAACACCAAACGAGATCTTTAGGTTTGCTGCAGACGAGCGCTGTTCATTGGGAAGTTCACTTTCCCCTTCTTGATCTGTCATTCCACAACTCTCGTCATGTCCCTTTGACATGGTACTCGTTGATTGTCATGACCAGTACTTATAGCGAGATCAACTCTCACTAGCAGAGTTGATATTGAGCCTTTTAGGACGGTTTATGATCGCGGGCTCGCTACCCGGTCATGACATTGATGGATCCGCGTTTCCTGACATCGTGGTTACTCGCTCGGGCCGCTCGCAAGTTCAATCACACTCTTCTTTAAAAAGTAGGCGTATTCTTTCTTGAAGGATGGGAAGTTAAGAACTGAGGATAGTAGATCAACAGAAGATATTGACACCCAGCTTGGACACTTCTTACATAGCCATCTCAGATCAGTGCACATCAAAGGAAACGTTCATCTAGATGTAATGAATGGCTCTGAACCATATTGCCTCATCAGGTAATTAAGTAGGTCAGCGGAATGGAAGCGATCCGCACAGCTTGCATGGCAACGATGGTGATGTCATCGACGGACACGGCTCCATCAATTAGGGTGATAACGAGCGATATTTGCACATAAAGTGATAGATTGGTGTTGTCAAGTCTCGAAATTTCCTTCACAACACTAGCGGTGATGAGGGAAATCCTGTCGGAAACTCAAGCGAGGTGGGAATATGATGATAGCGGAGGGAAGAAAGACCCCACGATTGTCCTAAATAACGTCTAAGGTGTCTAATTCTTGAATCCCATTGAGAATCTATCGGCGTATCTGTGATCAAACAATTTCATCAGACGTCAAATTACTGCATGCATGTACTTGATGAAAGGATGTAGTCTTAGTCTTCGGTTCTACTACTGTATTGTCACTACCACCATAATACTTTTCTAACTCGGCAGTGAGTTGAACAATGACCTCTTCAAGGAGTCATGTAGCAGATTCATTCCATCAAAGACTTTTCATCCAAGATATCGACCGACTTATCAGGCCGCTACCATCATCGGCCATACTCGTGGTATAATTTCTCCTGGCCGATCTAGTGGACAAATTTGAGATATCTGATAGGGACTGCATTTCAGACTCGCGTGCGAAAACTTTCATCCTGTAGATTCTCGATGGTGCTTGGACATCCGAAGTTCTGTTGCTGCATGGGGTACCAGTACCTGCAGTTGTACTCTGAGGTGAGGCTATATCATTGTCTTTCGCTTGAGGAGACTCGTCCACTTCAGGGATGGATGTCAATCCTGACATGGAAGGATACATGCATTCGTCGTAGGTATTGGGTAGGGTGTCACGTGTGGAATGCTGGCGACGAGAGTCGAAGTCAGAGCTCTGCGTGTTGATCTTGGAAGGGGACGATATAATTATCTGAGATTGTGGGTCCGGACAATTAGACGGATTGGGGGGAATCTTCATAAAGTCCACGGCCCACTCTGGTCTGACTTGCTCTATGAAATATGTTTGAAAGAAGTTTTTCATGTTGGTGCAAAGTTCGTGCTCCTGAAAGCGGAGGACGATTGTTTATATAGATTTTCATCGCCAGTCAACCTTCAAGCCTTCGATGATGAAGACACACGTTCGTCCATACCGGTCGAGTCGAGACCAAAGATAATCTCCGCCAGAAACATGACGTCTACTTGCGAGGAACGAAAACGTGTGACGTGACGGGGCTTTTGCTAGTGGATCATTGGATATGACGGAGGATAGAAGATGGCGAGAATCGGCAGGAGATGAAGAGAAGTGGGTGGAGCATGACACATCAACAGATTCGAGATTGGAGACTGGGTGAGAGGACCTGCGCACTGGTATCATGGCGATGAAAGATGAACAGAAGGGATAGACGTTCCATTGTCTTCTAGGATAAGACCACTGACGTTTTCTTGGAATGGCGTGGGAATCGAAGATATGGAGGTTGGAGGCGATGTAGTTCTGAAGAGATAAGGAGTCATGAGGCGGTGTTATAATATTTAGATGAAAAACATTGACAGAGTGAAGGATGACGTGAACGGGTATGACGATGATGAAGTTGTGTTGAGTGATTTTAGCCCGATAACTTCGGGGTGGAGGCGGTCGGTGGGTGAGTTTTGTAGCTAGCGAAGACGAATCAGTGTTGACCTGTGGTCAGTGAGTGTGTCTGCCAGCTGGCAAGTCATGGTCCAAATGACATTTGTAGATGGAAGTAAGTAGGGTGTGAGTCAGGATGACCTTGAAGGTCCCCAACAACACAAGGCAGCGGGATCAAATTTCCCCATGAACCGGACCTCGCCGCCGTCGCTGTCGTCATCGTCATCGTCGACCCAGCCCCCCTCCCCCTCCTTTCAACCTCCACCACTTACTCTACACTGACAACCTCACATTGGGCCGTCTCCTATTCACTCTTCATCTCCAGCATGCGCTCTGCTACAGCACTCGCAGCCCTTTCTCTCGTCGTCAGCTGTATCGCTGTACCCAGCTTCCTTCTACCTGCCTCACCTGCCGGACTGGCAGCCCAGGCTATAGATACCGCCCAGTCATGGTTGCACGGTGCTATACAACAGGCCAAGCATGATTGGCAACAGATCGAAGAGGGCAAAGTCGAAGGCTTAAAGGTGGAGAGTGTGTCTATGGAAGGGATAGAATGTGAGTGGCCTGTTCTCTAATTCTTCGCCAATGCTTCTCTTCACTCAGGACCACTGTTCTGGTCGTATGCATCATGGCCCTCTTATCTTCTCCCCGTGTGACGAGCTGGAAACGATGGCACACGTAACTAAGATTGACAAACAGACCTTTCCCTCACACACCCAGCTTTTCCCCTCCACAGACTCCGAGTGGTCGAACCGGAACTGTGCGACCCTACCGTCAAACAACTCTCCGGATACCTGGACATATCAGAAACCAAACATCTCTTCTTTTGGTTCGAAGAATCTCGGAATGAACCTTCCTCCGATCCTTTGGTTCTATGGTCAGACCCCTCCTGTCTTGTCCCTACGTAGCTGACGTAGGTAGGCTGAATGGAGGACCGGGCTGTTCTTCCACCACGGGATTGTTGTTCGAATTGGGAGGATGTAACATCGCAAATGAGGGGAAGAATGTGACGTGGAATGAACACTCGTGGAATAACGTCGCCAACGTTCTTTTCCTTGATCGTGAGTTTCGATAGCCTCAACTTTCCTGTTCACTGTTACGTTTGTGGTGTTGGAATGCTACAAGTGCATAATGCCATAAGTAAAGAAGTTGACATTCAGAACCAGTGAACGTGGGATATTCTTACTCTGACGACGAAACTGTCAACAATTCCCCTGCGGCTGCCGAAGATGTGTATGCTTTCCTCATGCTCTTCATTTCCAAGTTTACGGAATATGCGGAACAAGATTTCCATGTGGCGGGAGAATCATATGCGGGTGAGTCGCAACTATCTTGATCTCCTTCCTATCTTCCCAGTATCTGCGCCTTCTGGACGTACCTTGAGAATCCTGTTCCTCGGCTGATTACACTATCTGATTAAAGGCTCACGACCAGGCACATATATCCCGAACATCGGCAGCACTATCTTCAGACACAACACGGCCCTTTCTCTGGCGCCTGTGCCCACATTGCCCATCCTCAACTTGAAATCCCTCTTGATTGGTGATGGCGTTACAGATCCTTACAATCAATTCGGTACCGTCGCAGAGTACGTATCCATTTGCTGCGTTCTCCACCTATCCACCCAGCTTTCGACAGATTCCCGAGTGCTGACTCCACTGGCCGTAGCTGACATTTAGGTGGGCGTGCTACGGTCCTTACGCTGTATACGATCCAGCTGGTCCCGAATGTGCTGCCCTTCCTGCCAAGATTCAACGGTGTCAAAACCTCATCTCCGCGTGTTACCGTACCAACTCTCGATTTGCTTGTGTGCCCGCGGGGATCTATTGCTATTCCGCCATCTTTGGAGATCTGCAGGATCTAGGATTAAACATGTACGATGTTCGACGCAAGTGTGATAAGAGCAAGGATGCAGATGGACCTTTATGTTACCGGGAAATGGGATGGATGGAGACTTATATGAACGAGCCTAAGAATAAGCAAGGTGAGATAGTATCATCCTACCGCAAAGACTTAACTGACGGTTTCAGAACTCGGTGCTCCTGCTTCGGTGACTTTCCAATCTTGCAATATGCAGATCAACCAGAATTTGTCAGTACTTTCCGTCTTGGACGGGTTTGTGCTGAATTATAGCTTGCTTCAAGGAGATGGAATGCACAATTCTGCGGCTTTACTACCTGAATTGATCGAAGCTGGTATAAGGGTTTTGCTGTACGCTGGTGAAGCTGATATGCGTGAGTACCACAATGGCTCCGTGGCCTTCCCTTCTCCTCTTCTCTTTTGCGGTGCACTTACACGCTCCCTTCTGACTTATTGTCACACGCATTTGGCCGTCAGAGAGACGTTCATATGTTGACGGTCGCAGTTGTCAATTCTATCGGCTGCGAGTCCGTCCTTGCCAACCTTGAGACCTCGTATGCTGCAGCGTACAATTCTGCCAAAGTGAACAATTTCACCGACTCTGATGGAGAGGTGGTAGGATGGACCAAGGCGGCGGGTGATGGATCGGGTAACGTTGCGTTCGTATCATTCCATAACGCTGGACATATGGTGAGTGATTCATCGTCTGACTGCTTTCTGATCTCTTCCTCAGGGTCATCGTGAAAGATTGTTCTGCACCACCGAATTCTTATGTTTCATTTTCTTCAACCTTTAACGAGGGTTCACCCGGCTGATGAGTAGGTACCTCATGACGACCCTGTAGGAGCATTGACCATGTTCTCCAAATGGTTGAAGAATAAGCCTTTGGCATGAGTGTCCTAGGGCCGGTTGTAACAATCATGCATAACAATTATGTGACCATGTCTGCAATGACTTGTCTACTAGAGTACTCTACTCGTACTCTACTCGTACCGTACCCGACAACGTCTGACGTGTCATTATGCTTATCAGTTGTTTGCCGAACGATGACGTCGTTGTTCAACTTCATAACCCCGATCTCCTTTGTATCCGTCTTTTCGACCATACAATTTACTTATACCACTCTTCTCTATCTTCTACTTCAGATTGAAGAGAAACACAATAACGGGAGAGACGAATCGAACAAGATGACAATCGTTCAAAGTGCACTAGCACCGTTCACCATGAAAGGGTTTTATCTCTTGACTTGGGGTACAGCCTTGGGCACTAACGTGTGGAACTCTGTGGTGGGTGTTTGTATCTCACGATGAGATTTTTACTGATACTTAATTCTCTATCCCACCTTCGTCACAATCACATTCTCTATAATATCTCATAATTCGAACATGGAATCGTACACCTATCTTCGACCTCATGATGGAACCTTACGGTTGATGATTTTTGGCACGTGTGACAAAACACATTCCCATTTTAACCTACTTTCCACCTTCTTCCCTCACCCTTCCTCGTGATCCGTGATGAATCATCGAAACTTATCAGTCCGCAATGAAAGCATATCAATCACTTTCTCGAGAAACTTTCGGTACACTTCAATCACATCTTCTTCCAGTATATTTCGGTACTACAACTCTTCTATCTTCTACCCTCCTTTTGACTCATTTATGGTTTCATCCAAGTCTTATAAGTTCTCCACGTGTACCACCTCATTGGGCGACATCGGAAGAAGGTCAACAAGGTCTTTTGATTATAGCTAGTTTGATCCCTAGTTTGATCAATTGGATTTATGTGGGTCCAAAAGCTACTGAGATCATGTTTGAAAGACACCGTTTGGAAAGGCTTGAAGGAAAGGAATATGATGATCCTTCTGTGAGTTCTACGTTTCTCGCTTCTATGAATCTCATATCATATATACTTGACGTGAAATAGCAAGCGTTACCTCTCCGTCTGTTGTCAGCCCCACCTTGTATCATCATATCCCACTTGAGTCATCAATCGCTCAGTGATCAACGAATGGTTCCACTAGTATTTCTCAACGGCTTCTGATACCTTGATCTTTTATGGGTTGAGAACGAAATCGTTGACGTTTAGCCCTCTGAATCTATGAACAAATTGAACAAGAAATTCGCCACTCTTCACGGCATCTCCTCGTCGCTCAACGTTATCGCCTTCCTCGCCCTCGGCGGTTTGGGACTTGCGATCAGCATGTGATTCATGGTGATTGAAGTGAATATCTAGGTAGATAAGATTAAATCCCTAGTCGAAGGAGAAAAAGTTGTTATGCACTGAATGTAGGAGAATTCAACTTTAATTCATGACTAACCCGATTCAATACTAACGTACTTTCCACTCACATTAATCCTTCGTCAACATTACCACGTTGTATTCTCATCCTCCTCAGTTCGGTGGACGACTCGCCGCTGCACTCTGAATACCCCAACGACGGTTAAGCTCCCATAAGCTCGGCCCACCCATCGGATGATAATCCTTTTCATTGACGATATAATCATACAACACATCCTCTGTGTCTTTCTCCGTATCTTTACCCATTGCAGTCTCAGTGCGCTGTCGGAAAATGTGAACTCCGAATGTATCAAGATCCTCGTGTCTTGCGTAGGTGTATCTTGGGTCTTTATCCCACGGGCAGGCTGTCGATCTAGTGATTAACATTGTCCCCAAAGTTTCTTCTGTCCTAATTATCCTCCCTCTAGGTACTCCCACACCTTGAATCGAAGTAAAAGTACTTTTCGTGGCAGTTGGAACTTTAGTCTCATCCATTTGGAATTTCTTCGGACGATGTTTACCTACGGAACCTGTGAGTTGGAATAACCGACAAGTACCATCAGTTAGAGAATGAAATTCTTTCCACCACGTTCCCTCTCCCTCAATATCTTTGGTAAATTTCCAGTTGGGGTCGTGGGTACATTCTTCAAGATACTCAGAGAGGGGTTTACCAGCAGGTAAGATAGTATGGAATGGATCACCTTGCTCGAGTTTGATAGAATCATCCAGGCGGGATACAATGATCCCGGAACGTGTACCAGTAGTTTGAATAGACATATTCGGTTTTGATGATATTTCCGATATTTGATTACTTGTACAGTAGTGTTGCTTGAGCTTCTTGGGGAGGTGGTATGGAGAAAAAAACCAAGTGGAAGTGGGCGGAAGGGATGTAAATGGTCTTTTAAATGTATCAAAGCCAAGCGAGAGAAGGAGGGATGACTAAGCGAGAGTCGTGCTTGAAAACGTGAAATAAGTATAGATAGATAAACAAAGGAATATCAATTTCCACTTATTTCCCCTACACATTTTAAGGAGTTCCATACTCACCTAGGTATTGTATGCCTTTCAGAAAAGTTCATGAATTGAGAAGTCTCTCTACCTGCTCATGTCAAATTATCAAATCATCAATATTCATCCTTCGACTAACTACAGAATTCTTTCAAAGTCATCTCAATTCTCATTCTTCCTCCTATCAACTCCCTCAATCGCTTGGCGGGAATAATGACCAGTAAATACTCCAACCTCCATGAGGATAATAATTTTTGGCAGGTATTTTATATTGATAAATAGTATTTTCTTCTCTGATCACACCAGTATGTAAGGATTTCAAATCGAATTTTGCACCAAGTTTAGAAGTTTCAAGAATATCAACTTCAAAAAAGTTACAATCTTCTAATCGTAAATAAGTATGATCATTATTTTCATCCCAAGAACATGTAGTGGTTCTTCTGATTATAGTATTACCAACCGTATGTTCCATTAGAGATATAGGTTTCCTGATTGTCAGGATTGTTTCTTCATCTTGATTTTGTAGAGAGTCGGATGTCACACTTAATTCATGCATCATAACGATACTTTCACCCCATCGATCAGGTGTTTTCCCTTCGAAAATTCTTCTAGAATTATTCTCATTCGAAATGTATTCTTGGTACCAAATACCATCTGGAGTATTCATGATTTGTATTTCTTCCCAGTTGGGTTTCTTTTCGCATTCATACATGAAATCAGTGATTCTTTTGGTGATAGGTAAGATTGTATGGAAAGGATCACCTTCGGTGTATTGATCGGGTGTGATTGGAGGTTGGATTGTAGAATGAGACATGATATTGTGATTATGAAAGATTTGCTTGATTTTTGGAATGTGTAAGTCAAATGATGAATGAATCAAGTGGATTGAATCGGACAAAACGAGATGCTTTATGTCAGAAGGAGAATCATCATCGCTTGGACTAAGCGAGTCTGGAAAGAGGAGCACGGATGGTATGTAAGGATCAGGATGGGGAAGGCAAAGAAAACAATGGTGTCTGTGATTACTTCGCTTAGTCCTCTAACGATTTGAGAGAGTTATATAATGATCGGTTGAGAGACGATCACATGGAGTTGCTTCTTCAGTATATTTCGGAGTATTTCGTGCTAGCGCTCTGTATGGAATACCTTCCGTGCGTCACAACTGGTCACATTCAATGGGTTTTCCATTGCCAAATTTGCCATTATACAGAACTCGCTAAATGACATTCCGTATGTGCATCAATGCCAGACCCCAGTAAGTGTAGACAATCAAGTATTCTTAGTCCTTCCAACATACGTCTCATACAAGCTAGGTCCTCCACTCGGTTTATACTCCTCAGCAGGTATCGTATGCACATATGATACTCCATCCCATTTCCTTTCCCTTTCGGTCAACCTGCTTCTGTCAAAGAGCCAATTCTTTGATTCCAGGATCAGTTCACTTTTTCCGATCACGATATCAACTCGTTGTAAGTCCTCAATCCGAAGATATGTATATTGCTTTTCGATATCCCAAGGACAGGTGGTCGCCCTCATCATCCCAATATTATCATCATCGATATTCTCACTGTATATTGGTCTTGGGGGTTTTCCATCTTTCATATCTTCTGGATCCGTCTCAAAAGTAATTTCTTGCATCCTACAGTACCATGTCAAAGTTTCTGGTAATTTCCGAACACCCTCAAATCGCCTACAGTTACCAGTGGAAGATGAAATCCAAATGTCATTGAATGCAGATTGATCTTCTTCCTCCTGTTCTGACTTTATCTCCCAGTCAGGGTTATTATCCATTTCTTCAAGAACTCCAATCATTGTCTTACCACCAGGTAGGGAGTAATAGAAGGGATCACCATCGGTCCATAGAGAAGGGGTGATGGGGGGATCAACGGACCTGAATATGAGATTGAACCCTGACTCTATATTTTTGACAGACATTGTGTCAAGTAGAATCTCCTAAATACTTTGTGAATGTGTGTGGGGGAATAAACTGAGATAGCCGGGCACGGCTCCCTATACATAGTGGGGAAATAGAAAACAACTTATGTATATGAAATACGAAGCATGGCGTCATAGCCCTAAGCGACACAGCTGACGTAGGTGAAACGTAGTGGGGTTATCAATGGAGTCCGATAAGTGGTCGCTAAACGGAGAATGGACCGGCACTACTGATGTCTGCAGGCCGTGACATGAAGAAATATGTGAACTACAGTGACAGCTTGTCGATCTGAGATTGGCTCCGTTTCATGACCTCCCCAATGATGTGTGATCTGATTGAAAAACCATATGTACTGTACATACATACATACTGCAGGTTTGTGGCTGTACCCAGGAGGTTAGGGGTATACAGAGGTCATCAACCAGGGTACATTTTCTATTTCACAACTCAAGGTGCACCAGCAGATCATGCATGAAAGGCTGTTGGATAATTCCCCCTTCCTCCGTCCAGATGCTCAATTTGTGCCATTCCACACCAAATCATCCTTGTCCAAAACAATCCCAACTCTTCAAAGAACTACATTCTCATACAGCTACCTTTGAAGAACAATCTAGTCATCCAATGAGGAGGACTCCTCAGCTGCCTTTGAGGCATGTCTGTCATATTTAGCTCTTGGGACGCTAAATTCTACCAACATCTCTATAGGTTGACCGTGCACGGTGGTAAGAGCTTTCGGATCAAGATCTGTCTTGGTCAAAGCCAACAAGAGGTTTGTCCCATCTGACGGCTTTCTGAGAGTACTAAATCTGACTTCTGCCTTGTCTTTGATCTGTAGATATGTTGAGTTCTCCTTCCATTTGCCGGAAGTCACAATTGAGACAGGTTTATCTTCCCGTAATGTGTACTCTTCTCTTTGGAAGAAGCTGATATTTCCTGTTGGTGCTGGAGGATACATCTCACCTCTTGAAACTTTGCCCCGAGCTTCTGCTTCCAATTGATTGGAGGTGTTCACTCCTTCATCATCACCTCCTTCCTTCTCCCAGTCAATAACATCCTGTGGCGCTCCAGATATCTCCCACAACTATATGGTCACCTGATCACCGCTCCAACGGCTTTGCATGACCCTGGTAACACCCAGCTTCTTGTTGAAATATTGAAGTCGAACATATGAGTCATTATCAATGTTCTGCTGTTGTTCCCAGTCTGGGTTGGCTGCACAGTTATCCGCATGAGTTTCAATGTCAACCCCCGCTGGAAGCTCATTGTAGGCGGGATCATCCAAAATCCTACTGTCACTGGGCATAGTGGAATCCTGAATTTGTGACATGATGCCTACCTTGATTTGTGATGTCTGAGTGTTGTATGATTTGGTGTGTCTAAGACAAGTTAGTTGTGAGTGACAGATGGTTAGATTGTGAGAGAAAGATTCTTGAGAAGTATGAGTGAGGTGTGAAGGTGGAGACACAGTACTTCTACTATATGGATGGACGTGGTCCGTCGTTGAAGCGAGGTCAGTGGGAAGGGGCTCTAAGGAAGTCAACCGATTTGATTGTGTCGGAAAGGAGTCTTGTTTGACTGATATGATTATATGAAAGATTCCATTGAGAGAATCTTTAAATATCGGAGCCTCCTTGATGTTTCGTAAGCGAGTCACGGGGAGTGAAATATCCCGAGAAGAACGCACGGAACAAAGGAGGTAGTTGTTTGTGTTTGCTGATAATTAGATGGTAATACAGAGGGGAAAAAGAGCATGCATCAATTCTACATGTCTCTATACTTATCACATTCCACTCACACGCATAAAACCAGAGACAATCGAATAAAGTTCAGAGGATAAGTTGAACGGAGAAATATTCGACGGAAGGGGTAATTCTAACGGCGGTTTGGCCGTCCTGGCCCGATTCTATCGGCTAACACTCCCCCACGGGACAATGCACGACTCTGCAGTAGTCCCGGACGGTTTATTGATGGCGACGGCGAGGTTTGTGATGATGTAGAAGGTAATAACGATGAGATATTGAGTGTTATGTGTGTGGTAGTAGTGGTAGGTGAAATCGTGAAATGAATTTCTGTGGGGCCCCCCGCGGGGCTTCGCTCTGACACGTGGCTACCACTCATTACTGACGACTCACTCTTCTCTATCTTTCCTTTTACTTCATCACTTTTACCTCCAATTAACGGTATGTCCACCTTTCGTCTTTCTCCACTTTTATCACTCATTTCTGACTCTCTGAACTTCCCTCTATCCTGTCTACTTCTTAAAACTTCAGGTTTGCTAGTAGAATCCCGAGAATCGATGAATTTCCTTTGTGGTCCTGGCTGACGAGATATCATAGATTCGCCACTTTTCAAAAATCTTTTATTATTATAAGAATTATCATTATGTCTCGTCGTGGGTTTCTTCTTGTTGGTCTCTGGAGGGAGGAGGAGAGAAAAGGTACGCTGGTTGTTGATTCTGTCATTATCTAGACTGATTTCTCGAATTCTCTCCAATGACGATTTTTTATCTCCAGATGTTGGTGGCCACATTGGCCTACGCTCGGTTTCTTTTGGTGGCGGCCTCTTGTGGTGGCCAAGGGGCTTCGTCCCCTTTATTCGACTTGGTCCACAATATGGAGGCCTGGGAAGGGGCGGTAAGAGACGTCCTGGACAATGAAATGAGGGGTCGTGATATTGAGATGGGAAATACGTAGTTTCCTCTCTCTTCTCACCATGTAGTCGTCCTTCCCTTCTCTTCTGTCCCTTCTCTTTCATCTCTCTAACGATTCTAGGTTCTACCGGTGGCCTCTGACCTATCTTAGAATTACTCACATTCTTAGGTACACCCGAAAATTTCACATTTTGGCTCACAAGAACTTTTCCTTCGGTGGTACCTTCGGTGGGTTTCTCTGAAGTTCCTTCCACCCACACTTCTCTCTCTGGTACCGACTCTGTCTCTGGTACCACTTCGTTCTCTGGTACCACTTCGTTCTCTGGTACCACTTCGTTCTCTGGTACCACTTCGTTCTCTGTACCACCTGATAGATCTCCTAGGTCCTCGAAATCTGAATAATCGTAATCGATGATTTCATCATCATCTAATGTCACGTATACTGAACCAATGTTTTTCTTCTTCGGTGGTTCTACCCGTATCGCTGACATATTCACCGAATGTACTGGTCCACCTAAAGCTTTCGTGAGTACATCTGCTCTCTGTGATACTGTGCTAACGTATTCTAGTTCAATAACTTTGTTACTGACTAGATCTCAAAGAGCATGATGTCGAATATCAATATGCTTTGTCCTCTGGTGAGTACCAGGTTTCCTCACTAGTGATATCGATCCTTGGTTATCGCAGTTTAATGTAGTAGGATTTAGCTGATCGTAGCCTATCTCCCTCAGTAATCCTCTCAACCACTGAGCTTTGTTTGCTGCTTCAGCCATTGCGATGTACTCTGCTTCCACTGTCGACGACGATACTGTAGCTTGTCTTTTTGAACTCCATGTTATCGGTGAGTCATTCATCATAAATATCCAACCAGTAGTTGATCGTCGTGTGTCTTTACAACCTGCCCAATTGGCATCAACCCATCCTGCTAGATCGCTAGCCTCGCCATCAAGACGAATACCGTGTAAACGAGTGGACCGAAGGTAGGTAATTACCATTATCCCTTCCTCCCATACTTTCTTCGTCGGTTTGGTAAGGTACCTAGCAAGGTATGAGGCTGCATAGGATATATCAGGTTGTGTACATGTGGCTAAACACTGTAGACATCCTATTAACTCTTGAAATGGTCGAATTTCACTTTCCACCTCCGACATCGAAGGATTTTTCGCAGTAAGAGGTGACGGCGTTTTTCGGTCTCGATGTAAGTCGTTTTCTGGAAATTTCTGAACTATCTTATCGATGTACGCTGGTTGGTTTAACCATATCATCTTTTCTTCTCTGTTCCTTGTTACCTTCATACCCAAGATAGTACTTATCTCCCCCAGGTCGGTTATTATCCATCTTTTACCTAACCCATCGAAAATTTCCTTTGCTTCTTCCTTCGATTTCGTGGCTAATACCAGATCATCGACATAGGCCAGCAGTATTGCTGCTCCCTTTCCTTCGATTTTCCCTTCTGGTCTGTAGTAAAGACCCCAATCTGATTCGATTCTTGAAAAACCTAGGTGAGATAATCCTTCGCCGAGTTCTATCCACCATGTCCTACCAGATTGCTTCAAACCGTAAAGAGACTTTATTAACTTCAAGGTATTACATCCAGGTTTCGGTTTTATTCCCTTGGGATACTTCATGTAAATTTCGACATCGAGTTTACCGTTTAAATACGCCCCTTCGACATTGGCCTGACGAATTTCAAGATCTTCGGTTGCTGCTATAGTCAAGAGTATTCGCAACGACCCCGATCTACCTACAGGTGCGAATGTTTCTTCGTAGTCGACACCTGGTATCTGTGAGAAACCTTGAGCTACTAGTCGTGACTTGTACTTTAGTAAGTTTCCCTCAGAATCTGTCTTCACTTTGAATATCCATTTACATCCAATGGCTTTTTGTCCCGGTGGAAGTACCGTTTCCACCCATGTATCCTTAGATTCTATGTTGGATATCTCTTTCTCCATGGATTCTAGCCACTTCTCACCATCTGGGCCGTTTACTGCTTCTTCAGGAGAGATAGGATCAATGAGAGAAGTATCACTTTCAATACCTGCGATAGAGGCGAGTGAGACTAACTTATTAGGCTCGCGACCAAATTCTAGGAACAAGTCTGTTAGGCCCGCAAAACGGTGGGGGGGTCGAATAATTCGTCCGTGACGTGTCATCAGGATCCCCTCATCCCCATCATTTCTTCCTTCCTCATCATTTCTCTCATTTTCGACGATATCGTTCTCATAGACCCAATTTCCTCCCCAAATGCCCTGTCCTCGTCGTCTTTCAGTAGGTTGTGGGCCTATATTAGGTGAGTTGTCTCTATCGACATCATTTCCTTGTTCATTATCGATATTTTCCTGTTCGCCACTTTCTGAGCGGTCGTCAGGGAAAATTTCTTCGTTGACGACGGGGTCTAGGTCCACTTCGATGGCGTCAAGAGGGGTTTGGATGACATCTGGCGACTCTCTAGTAGCCACCATTCGTCCTGTCGAGCGACGAACGTCTCGTGAGTGTTCGATTCGTCCCGATCCGTCCATTCTAACGATCCAACCGCTCACACCCTCATCTTGACCTAGTATAATGGCTGATGAACCCCTAGGTATCGTGAAGTTCGACTTCAGCCTTATCTCCCTTGGTATCTGAACAAAACACCGTTCACCGAATCTCCACACGCTATCTAGATTCGTGTCTCTTCCGGTGAGTGATGTCCAACCTGATTTACCGCTGACACCAATCGATGTTTTCATAATTATAATGGCGGCGTATCTGACAGCATAGGACCAATATTCGTTCGGTAGTCCTGAGTCAAACAACATCGTTGATACCATCCCCTTCAAGGTACGTATCATTCTCTCCGCCACTCCATTTAATTCTGGTGTGTATCTTGGTGTGATGTAGTGGTTGATCCCTGCTGACAGGTAGAATTCCCTCATGTCGAGGCTATCGAATTCACCTCCCCCATCAGACCTAATCACCCTCACCCTTTCACCAAGCTGTTTCTCCAATTTTGAGATACACTGTCGAACGATATCAGACGCTTCGTTTTTGGTCGTTATTGGTATAGCGAATACAATTCGACTCGCCCTTTCCACACCAACAAAGAAATATCGTTCACCTTTTATCGCCGGACCGAACGGACCAGTAATATCGACATCCATTCCTACTCCTTCACCATCTCCTTTTAACATTGGTGCTTCTTTATTCTTCGGTAGACGTGTTATCTTGGCCTGCATACAGGCGGGACATTTATCTGTTGTAAAGGGATCGTTCTTGTAAGTGTCCCAGTCCTTCTTCAATAGTCCCTGTCTACCTAGATTCTTTAGTTTGTCTACACCTATATGTCCGAGTCGCTGATGCTCAGATTCAAGTGGTGAAGTCGCCTTCGGTGTCGATATCACGATCATCGCGGCAGACATTGCTCTGCCGAATCGTACCGACCACAGTGAGTCATGTTTCCTCAAACCTAGTTTCTCTTTACCTTTACCTATCCATCCACCACCACTACTTAGATTCGCTTTCCACCCCCATGAGAGTAACTTCGAGAGGGAGAGAAGACTTATCTTTGCTGTGGGGACGTGATGTACATCTTTCAGTACCATTTTCTGTCCTGAATCTAGTTCGAGGTTAATGTCACCTGTTTCCCAAGCCGTCATTGACTTGCCAGATGCTAGTCCGAACACTCTCGGTTCCACTAGCCTTCTAATATTCGTCATTATCGACCTGTGAGGAGTTATATGGTGAGTAGCACCACTATCCACTACCCAGGTAGGGATTACACGAGTGTGGCTCACGTCATTAGACTCTGTAGCTAATCCCACCCACTCATTATCCTCAACCCACGGGTTTTCAATTTCTTCGGGCCATACGATGTTACTCGTGTACCCTTCGTCATCATCGAACCACGATTCTGTCGACATGGCCATCCCGGCCCACGCCTCGTGTTCACCATCCAATGACGAATACATCAAGGAGGTTTTGGAGTTATCCTTGGACTGGTTCTCATCCTTCGAGACCGTATGTCCTTTCTTATTATTCTTATTATTCCTCCATTTCTTTTTACCTCCATCCTTTACATCTGCGTTTTCTTTCCTGTTCGTATCCTCTCTTTTAGGTTTACGACAGTACTTCGCTAGATGTCCTACAGTGTCACAGTTATAACACTTTCTAGTTTCTTTCCTGGGCTGACCATCAGAGATATTATCTCGGTTCACCCTCATTCCTTTATTTCCTTCGACGAACATCGCGAATCCCTTCCTATTGGTTCTACCAACAGGGCGCGCTTTACGTCTCGCCGTTTCTTTATTGAAGATCGATAAGACCTTTTCCCAAGTTCTTTCCTCTGCTATGAGGGATGTTACTTCGATCTGAATGATCCTGTAGGATGGTGCTAGAATGGTGTTGAGGAATAACCCAGCTCGATCCTGTGAGTTAAACTTCAACCCCACCAATTTCGCTTCGGACATCGTCTTCGAGAAATCCTCCACATGCTTAGCCATTTCTTCGGCCGTCGCATCGTCCCTTAAGTCATAGCTAAACAACGCTTGACGGACATTCCTTTGATTCTCGATCGTCGCTGTTACATGCAGGGCTATGCAGTAGTCCCACATTTCTTTAGCTGACATCTTCTCAGATATATCAAGCATCACAGCATCCGACACTGTTCCCTTGATCATCCCCTGCGCTTTATTCTCCCTCGCTTGCCACTTTTCCCATTCCTTCCACTCTTCTCCAGTAATCCTTCTACCAACCACTTGCCCTTCGACGGGCGTGGTAGGAGGTACTGATCCCGCCCTCTCAGCTGCCGATCTCACCCCTATGCGACCAGGTTCGGTATCATTACCTGTGACGATATTCCACACGTCACCTATCTGTAGATACACCTCGATCGACTTCCTCCACGGAGCATACGATGCTGGATCGTGGGATAACTTTGGGTGGTTCTCAAGAGAGATCTTAGACGACACGGAGGTCATTATGAGGAGAGTTAGAAATGGGAACTTGCCTTTGTTATACACAGAAGGTATGTGACTTCCGACTGTTAATCTGTTTGCTAATATTAGATGATAATACAGAGGGGAAAAAGAGCAAGCATCAATTCTACATGTCTCTATACTTATCACATTCCACTCACACGCATAAAACCAGAGACGATCGAATAAAGTTCAGAGGATAAGTTGAACGGAGAAATATTCGACGGAAGGGGTAATTCTAACGGCGGTTCGGCCGTCCTGGCCCGATTCTATCGGCTAACACTCATGACATACTTGTATTGGGGTTTGGATGACTTGAACTTGTCCACCGTGTCGGATCTCGGGTCATAAAGTGGGTCAAGCAACTCGAATATCGGACTTGATCCCGTGTCGGGATTATTGAAGATTTGAACAATGATCTGACTTTGGTCAGCTGTGCGAAGGTAGGTAGAGTGTTCTCCCCATCGACAAGCCAACGCCTGCCATGTCAAACTCTGGTGTTCATATTCTTCCCTTCTGACCAGAGTAACCCGGTGACTCCTCGAGTCAACCCAGCAATTCTCGCTGATCCCCCAACACTCCGAGGTCCCGCCACTTCTCTTCAACCTGAATTTATCACCCCCTTCTTCATCCTCACTGGAGTTTGGCGGACAGGTAATAGGATGTTCCTCATTGAGTACAGGACTGGCGGCACCCCATTCCGTTTGGTACATGTATGCTGATTCTCGATTGTCCAGGATTACCCCTCCAAAACTTCGCTCCATCATTCCCTCATCCGAATTTTTGGTGCGGAACACAGCATTCCATTGGTCTTCATTATCCTGAGAAATCTTGAGGATCCACTCTGGGTCGACATAGCATTCATTCAGAAGAGACTTGATTCTCACGCCCACTGGATGGATGGTGCTGAGAGGATCGCCACAACACGTTTGATGGGGTGTCATGGAGGGATCAGTTGGATATGTCATTAAGGAGTTGTAACCTTGAGAAGAGTCTGTATACAAACAAAAATAAGACAAGAAACAACCAACAGAAGACATATGTATATGTCATCTCATCTACTTCCACGTCGGAAGGCCACAAGTTGACAACACATGGGGAGGAAGGCTTGTAAAGCACTATGTACCGGTGATCACGAAAGGAACCTCCGCCAATCTGTGGAGTAGGCCTTCTTTCAAAGATGAGTAGTAGTGACTTGTCTGGTTGAGGCCAGACCGAATCACCTTTTCACATCTCCAGAATGCATTCCTATTTCAGCCTCAACTAAGGAACATAGTGATGTATGTACCTAACTAACGATGAAGATCAGTCTGATGATGTCGCAACTTCGGCTTGGTCACCTTCCCGCTCCAACTCCTCCAACTTCTCCAACTTGGTGTCATACACCTTCCTATCTATGGTGAAATCATACAAGGAATGTATTGGCTGTCCACACCTTTCAAAGTAACCCTGGGTGTCTACCTTATCCCTCATCAATACCCAAGCTGGGTTCTCTCTGTCGGGCGGATTTTTGAAGATCTGGATCCTCACCGTCGAGTCATCAGCGGTGCGCAAGTAAGTTGAGCTCTTGGACCAAGCACAGGCGAGAGTACGCGTCACTGATTGGTTCTCGTAGGAGTGGTCCTCCCTTCTGATGAGTAAGTCCTCTTCGAGCAACCGAGAAGCAAATTCTTCCCGTCCTTCAGATTCATCTGGATCATTGATGTCCTCCATATGCTCAGTCTGCCCTATTTCACCCTCTTCCTCCTCTTCATCAGACCAATATTCTTCTAGTCCATAGGATCCTTCTTCATCAAGCAAGGGTCCGGCAATGTCGTCGATCATATATTGCACGTTTCCAGAGTCCAACTCTGTTCTCTTAAACTGCCAGTAGATGCCAGGCTCCTTGGCAAGGAATAGTATGCTGGAGTGTCGGAACTCTTCACTGTCCACATCATGCAGCTTTATCCAGGTAGGATCGCTACGTTCAACATTCGCTTCACAGTAATGATGAAGTGATTCTATGTTGGTGGACAATGGATGACGAGTATATAGGGGGTCTCCGTGTGTCCATTCATCCGGTTGAATGGGCGGGTGAGAAGTCTGGTTCATCTTGTTGATGCTGGATATAAGTTCTATTCTGAAATCCTTGCAGGGGGTGGTAGAGAAAGATCTGATAGGAGGATTTGTGAGAGGGTGGGGTAGGAGATTACTATATATATATATATATATATATATATAGATCAATCAAATTCTCATGTGATGAACTTCGAGCAGTACCAAAACACCCCACACAGAAAGGAATATATACGGATTCGTTTACGGATGAATGGAAGCTGTCAACCCCGCAATTTATCCTGTAATGGATTGATCAAGCCTTGCTCGAAAATCCGTTTGATAAATTGCATCATGAAACACATCATATCAGGAAGGTGTTCAAACCGCTGTGTAAGAAGGGAGGGGATTTATTACGTGACGGGCAAGCTGTTACCCTTGGAAGTGTCACAGGGTCAGTGTGACAGTCATGTGTACTGGTAGGGAAGAGTGCGCAGCGCACGGACTGGATCCGTCAAACAAACTCATCTTGCTGCATATGTGTATGGCAGGGTCTGCCTTAAGCAATTTGGAGTGATGATGACTCAAAGATATTGACCTGAGTCAATCGAGCATCCATACACATCAATATGTCCATCGCAAACGTCTGTTGACTGCGCCAAGAAGCGGTCGGCGTTCATCAATAATCCGCTCCCTCCGACTTAACATCCCCCGGCCTTATTGTTTCGCCTCCTCCTGCGGGTTCCACTGAAATATACCTTCCTACAACTGTACCCATAGTATTGGCCCCGTCATACCAGCTCACATGTGTTGATTGGGGATCAAGTTGAACCCTTCTGCTGTAGACAGTGTGCTTATCCCAGGGACGCTGAAGTGTGGACCCCACCATCTCCTCTGCTTCATTCCATTCTGTGACTAGTGTTTTCACCCACAGACTGATGAATTCATTAGATTTTCCCAGGGCAGGTCCTTGGATGTTTTCCACCAAGGACAATGTAGACGCATCCTTGGTGGTGAACACCCTCTCACGGAAGACACCCTTGGCGATTTTCTTGAAGAAAACGGTATTGTCCGTTATCTCTTTGTCCAACTTCCAATCTTCTGCTTCTTTAGTTTCATGGTAAACTCTTGAAGCATCTTTTTCCGGAGGATCTGTATACAGAAACGGATCGTCACACTCTCCTGACAAAGCATGTACCGGATGATTACTCAAGATTTCTTCTTCTGTCTCTTGTTTAATTTGTACACTTGATTCGCCCTCTTCGTCTTGCCCAGCGGCTCGGAGTCCAGTTGCAGGAGTGACGTCGGTATAGGGCGCAAGATAACTGTGTTGATAGCGGCTAGTCTGGGGACTGTTCCGAGGATAAATGTTGATTTGAGATTTGTATCCTTCTTCTGTGAGGGTAACATAGCGGGCATAGAGGTGGTCCTTGTCCAACATAGGGCACTGAAGCAGTCTGGTGTCCACACCATTCAGAGGAAATTCTCTCATCTCAGCAATCCATCGTCCAGGTGTATCTAGAGATTGACCAGGTCCCCATTCGCGTTCATTCATAATGTATTGTGGGCCCTCATGGGTGAAAATACGCTGCCGTTGAGCGGCTGGTGCTGTCATTTTGGCAACGAAACTTTCTGAAGCATCATTTGCAGATGCTTGACGGTGCCAAGCAGGTCCGAAGACTGTTTCTTGGTGTAGGTCTGTAGTGCTCTTCCACGGTGGACAGTATTCGTAAAATGGATCACCATTTGTCCACTGATTGGAGTTCATCCGGGGAGCTAGCAGGGTTGGGTTGATCGGACTTATGATTACGGTGAGAATTCCTTGAAGCCATGGTGTCTGGCAAGGTTGTACTATGATGTGGGCTGTAGGTGTAGTGTACAAGTAATTTCAACTATATGTGGTCAAAAGAGCTTGATGATTGAATGGTGATGGCAAAACAACATGAAGATTCAGTAACACAGGTCACGGGGGCTGCTTTTATATGTCAGACAAAGTCTGAGTATAAACAAGGACGACATATGACATATGTTGTGCTTGATGCTCCTTACAAGAACGGGCCCAATCTGTCAAAGGATCATGAGTGCAAGGGTTTGACTATAGTAGAAGTGAAAAAACCATTGTGATAGTCCAAAGTCAGCTGTTTTGAAATAAATTGACAATCTGCAGAATCAATCAGTACGTGCATAAGCCATGAGATACGTGTGATGAGGCTTATCCCATGCGGCATCTCAGATCAGTGGGCAACCAGTCAAGGACATCAGTATCAGTCCATTAGAGATGAGACTTTGCGTGCGATTTGGCCTGCACTCTCTTTTCAGGTCCATTCTCTGTCACTGGATTGATCTGAGCGTCGGAATCAGATCTAACTAGTAAATATCCCTTCTTACATCTCTTCATCTCTCAGTGAGTTAATGTAGGGGTACTATATGATTTTAACCTTCCCAGGTCTCTTGCTCGACGTATGTGTCCTCTCCTTCGACCCCTTGACCCAACTCAACTGTTTCTTCGAAAGCGATCTCATTTCCCCTTACTTCTCCCATTGACACTTCCGATCTCATCCAATCGACCATTGCCTTGCCATGTTCATACCGCCTATGATACATGGTATTCTTATCCCAAGCGCGAGCAAGCGTAGTGAGATGATATCCTGCGTCCACATTGGAAATCGTTGTCAGCATCTGAATAAATAGACTGGCATTGTTGTCATTGTTCAAGAGCTTTGTGGTGTCAACAATGATTTCTTTCATCTTCCCCACATGTGAGTCAGGCCAAACGAAAATACGTTCCCACCATATTGACTCAGCAATGGGCTTGATGAACATGGTGCCTCTATCTATTGGACAGGAAAACCAAGTCTGATCCATTTGTTCATATATGTCATTGACCGTTGTCTTTGGCGGGTTGAGAGTGAAGAATGGGTCTTGTGGTAGTAGCAATGAAGCAGGTAAAATGTGAGCTGGGTAATTGCTAAGGACGGGTGTTTCTGCAATTTGTGTGTTTGATCCGGTTTGTGAGGCCAATAAGTAGTTGTAGTCCTCTGGATCATATATAAACGGTTCACGTTCGGTCAATGAAGTACTCGTAGTGTCCATCTCAAAGTATATCTGAGGGTTTTACTCTTTGGGTTGGTTGTGTGTGATCAGATATGTCGTATTAAGAGACGTTGAGATAGTGAGAGAACGTGTTGTGTAGTGGGTTGATGGATTTGCGGGTTCGGAGGAGAGATGATGAGGAATAAGGAGTTGTTGATGTTTTGACATGCCATACGGATAAAGGACCCCCCTGATGGTCTCTTCGCACGTCATCCATCCGAGATCAAAGGAGAATAGAGGTAGACATCCTGAGGTGAAACAAGACAAGCAGGATGCCAGATACTGTAGCACATGTTTGGGGTCAGAAATGATCCTTCCCTTCTATCCCTAATACACATACAGGAAAAGGATGGTGAGAAGGCAATGGAGCTAATTCAAAGAGCACGCCAATGTTCACGACCAGACAGATTGCGGAAGTGGTGAAAAAACACTAGATCTGGACAGGAGTGAAGGCAAGATGTGATGCAGACTCCATGTATTGACCGAGAATTGCCAGGCAGTCAACGACGCAGGAATTCAAAGGGTGTTGTGAAAACAGAGATGCAAAAGTTTAGACGGAGGGCTCACCAATCAGTTGTCTTACATCTGACTTACATCATCAACAATGTCAATTTCACGTCCTATTTGATTTCTGTGTGAAGATTTCTTTAAGTGTTGCATGAAGCCGGAACCATTGTGCAATCGACCAACGACCAATTCGTCTCTGCCAACATATGCTGTCCCAAGTGATATTGAAGATCAATTGTCTTGTTCCGCAATTTTGAGCAGAATATCCTCTTCTTCCTCTCCATTCTCAATCTCCACGATCTTCTCTTCTTCATCCCCCAGTTCATGTCCGTTAATCAAAACATTCCCAATATAACCCTTCTCCCAGCCTCCTTTCCGATCCAGCAACCAATCATCATAATACTCGCATTCTCTCGCGTTGACCGGACCATCATCTTCACACAACGCAAATTGAGGACAGTTCCCACAAGGCACTTGGGTCTGACCGAGCGGTACAGTGAGTCGTTTTGTAGCACGATAGACGACGGCCGTATCGGACAGATCTCGCAGAGTACCCGCTCTTAGCGCAGCGGCTTCGATGGCACCGGTGTTCATAGCGTGATTATTGCGCGATCTCTTCTTAAAGTTGTAATCGTCTAGCTCATCCGAATCCACTGAGGAAACGTCCGAGCTGGATGGGTCGGAATCGGAATCGGAATCGGATTCTGAATCCTCTGATTCTGAAGAGGAATATCGTCGTTTGCGTTTTGACTTGGACGATTTGGATTGGTGTCTACGTTTGGACTTGGATCTCGATCTCCGGGACGATTTCGACTTTTTCGACTTTTTACGACGGCTCGTTTCCACCTCATCAATTTCTCTCAGTGGTTCACTACCACTGTCACTGTTGACGCTTGATTTGTCGCTGTTCCCACTCTCCGAACTACTCTCGTCACTATCCGAGTCCTCTTTCCGCCGACGCTTCTTCTTCTTCTCTTTTTCTTTTCTTCGTTTTCGCTTACGTTGCTGTTTCTCATCGACCTTTTTCTTTCGCTCCTTTTTCTTCAGTGACTTGAGCATCTCCTTCTGCTTCTCTCGATCCTTGGCTCGTCGTTTAGCCGCCGCTCCTTCGTCTTCCTCCTCGTCACTCGCCGCCCGCGACTTCCTTGCTTCAGGTCGCTCAACATCGTCTTGATCTTCCTCATCGTCGCTAGGCGGTTGCACGCCAGACAAGGGCTTGACGACCTCCACCAGCCCGTCCAGCTCCAGAGCACGCATACACTCCATGACATGCTTGACTTGTAACTCGGCGGTGGTGACTCTGGATTTCTGAACGTATGCCAAGAGAGCGTGCGGGCTAGGAAGGTTGCCTAATCGAGATGTGGGGTTGATAGGATCTGGCACCAGTGCTCGCTGTTCCTCGCTCCGGTTTGATGGGTTGGGAAATGTCTGTAACAATTAGCATGAGGATTGGATGGACCATTTGCACGGTCTGGACCCGCCCGCACCACTCACAAGACTTTCGACTCGTTTGAATAGTAACTCGCAAATCACTCTGACGAGCTCCGCGTCATAATCTTTGGTCTGGTCAAACCAGACTCCCCCAGCAATGTCCTCGGGAGGTGTTAGATGGGGCAGTATATACAAGGCTAGTGTCGGCGCCTTGACATTAACCAATTTCCTGCTCCAGCCTTGAACGGAAAAAGAACTTACGCTGATTCCTTTGAAAGTTTTGACATGCCCATCTTTTTCCAGCTGATCCAAAGTTTTACGCAAAGTTACCACGGGCATGGCTTCACGCCCGATCTGATTACGTATGGTTACTTGGCTGATACCTGAGATGGTCAGCCGCTTGATTGGGTAAGCTGACATGGAACCTACCTCGGTTACCGGCGCTTTTGATCACGTTGAGGACGACTTTTTGTTGGTCGGTCAAGATGGTCTTCCTGATCTGTCAGCCATATATGGAATGATGGTCTTGTAACAACGCACTTCTTCGCATCGTCCGGAGACGAGGCATGATAGATGCTTGTGCCATCCTTCTGTTCCTCCGTCAAGAGTTGCTGCGCATCAGAGTTTGAACGTGTCGGAGGTAAGAGATGACCCACCAGTCGGAGAAGAGTGATGATGCTGCTGATCACATGCTTTTTACCGAGCCTTGGGAGGGAGGCCTCTATCTGGGCTTGGGTCATACTCTGACCGGTCAGTGCCAACCGGACTAGAAAGATCATATACTACTAACACTGTTCTTTGCGGCCATGACATTCTTCCAGACGTGCTGGTCGGAAGGGGCGAGAGACGCCATGTCGGTATAATATCCACAGATATTCCCTCGAGTCACCGTCCAGAATAAGAGGGGGGGCTGGGGTTATGAGAGAAGCATAAGCAACGGTGAGTGCTATGACAGTAAATGTAAGTAAGGTAGTGTGTCGAAAAGTCAAAACGTTGAAGAGAAGGTCAGTGATGGGAAAGGTGGACATGACGTGTGTTTTACCTACCCCCACGTGGCGGAGTGATAAGGAATCTACACAACGTCACTACCACTTACTTACTTTCCCCTCATCTTTCGACTTTGAACATCATCGGCCTACGCCTACCTTCATAGCCCTACTAGTCTCCTCCCAGTGTATCAAAAACAGCCAGACTTATCACGGATACCCGAGGGAAACTTGTCATCTTTCTCCGCGCCGTGTGATCTCTCCCCATGCGAGCATAATCATGGCCAGCCTGTCCGATGTGCTGGACAGCATCTTTCTCCGGATTGCGTCGGAGAATGAGGATGTACGCAATCAAGCAGGCGAGGAGTTAGCCGCTGTGGCCTCCTCGTGGTCTCAGGACTATCCCGTTCACGATGGGGGCAAGAACTTTTGGAGTGCCGTCTACCCGCGAGCGTTTGAGCTCACCAGGAGCAATAACTATCATGAGCGATTGGGATCTTGCGTGGCCATCAGTGCGTAGTCGTCTAGTTATCATCAGATGACGCTGATTATCCTCAGATAGCCTACTAGAGGCAGTGAACGAGGACGTACCCGAACGAGCGCGGCAAAAGGATATGCGGCTATACGAATGTCAGTCGAATCTGCCCTCCTCTTCTTGGATCGAGTTGACCATCAGATCTGCGGCCCCTTTTCACATGCGGGGACACCGCTGTCATGGTAGCCGCCGCTCATGTAGCCGGTAAGATTGAGATCCTCCATGGTGTGACTCAACTGATCAGACAGGAAACATGGTCCGCATCGCTGGTGTCACATTGGGGGAATCGTTCTTTGTGAAAGAGGTCCCACAAGCCCTCCAACAGCTAGAAGGTGGGTCGTCCGTCGAGTGTGTAAGTGCGACATACTGATCGTGAGACTCCCGGCAAGATGTCAATCGCTTCTCTGGTGTGCTACTTCTGCATCAATTTGCCATCAACGCTCCTGGCCTGTTTCAATCGGATGTCCCGCGAGTGTTGGACAAGATCTGGACACCTCTCCGAGATTCTCGTGTACGTACTGATTCACGATGAGAAGGAGCTGCAACGCTCATACACAGACCATGGTACGAGAACGAGCTTCAATGCTGATGTCCGCTTGTTTAGAGAATATCAAAGCTCGCGAGAAGAGTCATTCTGAAATTTACCGAAAGATATTTGAAGAGGCCAGAATAGGTCTAGCCCGAGGCAGCTCGACCGAAGCGATCCTCGGTTCTCTTCACGCCTTCAGCGCAATGCTTCAGAATCAGTCAATAGTGAGCCCAATGCCCTCATCAGGACGCTTTGAGCTGAGTATCAGTCGACAGCAGATCATTATCGTCATATCTGTGACCTGGCTCTTAACTATCGGGATAGCAAGGAGATCGAAGTCCGAAAACAGGTCATCACGTTGATTCCTCGCATGGCAACTTACGACAGCGATGAGTTCCAAGTAACGTATCTTCATCGGAGCATGGCATACCTCTTCCAAGCTCTACAGAAACCGACCGACAGAGATATCGGTGAGTGGCAGGTCGTACTGAAGCTAATTATCACTTACTGATACAACAGCGTACGTGGCGCTGGGACACCTGGCGATGCAGCTCTCATCCAAGATGAAGACCTTTATTGACGACATAATCAAGATCATCAAAGACCATTTACGCATGCGAGGGTATGAACCTTTTCCAATCATTATCATACCGTAGTGTTGACATTCACAGCAAGAAGGGGGCACCTTCAGAAGCTCCCATCTTCCAATGTCTGGCGATGTTGACCATAGCCCTCGGCCCCATGCTCACACGCCAAATGCATGATGTGTTAGATCTCATGTTCACCTTTGGTCTCAGCGATGCGCTTTTCAATGCTCTGGACGTTATCGCCAAGCATATTCCGCCACTTCTCCGAACAGTGCAGGGTGAGTCGTCTACACTGACTTTCTGCGACGTCACTGACCCATAGAACGATTGCTGGATATGCTCTCCATGATTTTGATAGGGGAGCCTTTCCGACCTCTGGGTGCCCCTGTTGCTCGCAGTCATTCTAGCACGACTCGCGACCTCAATCTCAACATTTTGCAGGTCAGTGAGCACGGAGCATGACAACGTACATGGCTCAAAAATAGGCACAAGCGAGTGGGCAGTCACCCGAGACACTTGCTCTCGCTCTCAAAGTCCTTGGCAGCTTTGACTTCTCCGGCAACGGTCTGAACGAGTTCGTCCGCGAGGCAGCGTTGCCATATCTGGAGCATGACAGTTCGGAAGTGCGGAAACAAGCGATTCTCGCCTCCACGCAATTGTTTATCAATGACACGATCTGCCTGCTCACAAGCAACCATGCCATCGATGTCGTGAGCGACGTACTGGAGAAGTTGCTCACTGTTGGTATCACAGATCCCAGTGGGTGTCTTGAAGATAAGATGAGACGAGCTGACAGTCTCAGATCCTCTCATACGAAGGACGGTTCTGGAAAACCTGGATGAGAAGTTCGACCGTCATCTCGCTCAAGCTGAAGATATCCGTTGTCTCTTCATTGCTCTTAACGACGAGGTCTTCCAAAATCGAGAGCTAGCCATCGGCATCATCGGTCGGCTTGCACGGCATAATCCTGCCTACGTTATGCCGCCTCTGCGCCGATCCCTCATAAACCTTATCACCGAGCTGGAGTACGCGACGAATACGTGAGCAATCCAAGATCATGCTCCGTATCTACTGGCTGACACGGCAGGAGACAAATGGAGGAAAGCGCCAAACTCCTCTGCCTGCTAATCAGGGCCGCGGCCTCTCTCGTTCAGTCATACGCCCCGACCATACTCAGTGTTCTGCTCCGGACCGCCAGCTCTTCAGAGACCTCAGTCACGGTGGCCGCCCACTGTGTGACGTGTATCGGAGAACTGGCGCTAGTGGCAGGAGAAGAAATGACACCAAAAGTGCAAGACGTCTTGATTTTGATCATCGACATGCTCAACGATCAATCGTCAAGCTTGAAACGAGACGCAGCATTGAAGACTTTAGGGCAGATTGTGTCCAACACCGGAGAAGTGATTCGACCGTATCTCGATCATCCTCAATTGCTGGGTATACTCTTCAGGTTTCTCCGTACAGAGACCTCGCAGGACATCAGATTGGAAACCATCAGGACCATGGGAATGTTGGGTGCACTGGACCCATTCAAGCACAAGGTGAGCGCTGCCGTGTGACTCCTCTTACCGCAGCATGTCTCAATGCTGACAGAGGAGCTGCTGCAGGGTGGGGTGGATGACCCCAACGCGGAAACCTCCGGTCCCAGAGCGACAGATATAACTCTCCTCATGAACCTACAAACTCCATCCAATGATGAGTACTACCAAACTGTCGTAGTCAATTCGCTCGTCCACGTGATGAGTGACCCCTCACTCAAAGATCACCATCACGAAGCAGTCAACGCGGTGTTATACATCTATAATACCCAGCGATTACGATGTGTCAATTTTCTGCCTCAAGTGAGTCCGGGCCGCATCCAGGTGGTTGATGCTGAGTTATAGATCTTGCCAGCGTTCCTCAATGTCATTCGAATCGCCTCCCCTCATAGGCAAGAGTTATACATCTCCAACCTCGCCAAACTTATTTCTATCGTCAAGCAACACATCCGCAATCATCTAAACGAAGTTTTCGCCCTCGTATACGAGTTCTGGAACCCCAACTCTTCCCTGCAGGTCACAATTATACTACTGGTTGAGGCAGTTGCTCGGGCTGTTGAAGGAGAGTTTAAATCATATCTGCCGAGGTTACTACAACAAATTCTTCGCTCGTTCGATGGTGGTCTTACGACCAAGCAGCTCCCCGAACGACGACTCAATACGCTACTGCACATTTTACGTGCTTTCTACGTGTTTGGCTCGAGTATCGAGGATTATCTCCATCTGGTACTTCCGGTCATTGTGCGGAGTTTTGAAAACCCCTTGGCACCTGAACAGCTCCGCAAAGCTGCGTTGAAGACGACTGGTCAGCTTTGCCGAAAGGTCAACTTTTCAGATCACGCCTCGCAAATAATCCACCCCCTGGTTCGGACCTTGGAAAATAGCGACGGTGAACTCCGGAGTATAGCCATGGACACACTTTGTGTTCTCGTCCTTCAATTCGGTCCTGACTATGCCATCTTCATCCCTCTTGTCAACAAGGTCCTCTTGGAACATCGCATTCAGCACGCTCCGTATGAACAGCTCATCACTAAACTCTTGAACCGCGAGCGATTACCTCCCGACCTCGGACCAGTGGAGCGATTCGCGAATGATCCCGTGCAAGAGGCGCCTGTATCGGCAGAACAGGCGAAACTGCCAGTAAATCAACAGCAACTGAAGACTGCCTGGGACTGCAGTATGGTCGGCACCAGAGCCGAATGGCTTGAATGGCTACGTCGACTAGGCAGTGAACTCATGGGACAAGCACCTTCCCAAGCTATACGAGCATCACGCGACCTCGCCATGATATATCCACCATTTGCGAGGGAGCTGTTCAATGTGGCTTTTGTATCCTGTTGGACCGAGTTATTTGACTCTTATCAAGAAGATTTAGTGCATAATCTCGAGGTTGCGCTCACCAACCCAGGTGTTCCATCCGATGTGGTCAATACGATCCTCAACCTTGCCGAGTTTATGGAGCATGATGATAAAGCTTTGGCGATCGAGTCGCGAGTCTTGGGTGACTACGCTGTCGTCTTCCATGCCTACGCAAAGGCGCTACACTACAAGGAGATGGAGTTTTTCGTCGATGCCGCCTCCGTTTCTGTCATGGAGGATTTGATCAGTATCAATCAGAAACTGCAACAATCCGACGCCGCATGGGGTACGCTCGAATACGCTCAAACGAACATGGAAATGACTTCTGATGTACTCTGGTACGAAAAACTTGGGAGATGGGAAGAAGCACTTCAAGTCTGGAATGAGCGTGAAGAGGATCCCAATTCGGACTTTGACGAATCGGCCATTGCGATGGGCAAGTTGCAGTGCTTGCATGCCCTCGGCGAGTGGGAAGATCTTAGCGAGTTCGTTCGGGTCAGGTGGTCTAATTCCACTCAGGAGGAGAAGAAGCTCATGGCTCCATTGGCGGCAGCGGCGAGTTGGTCGCTCTACCAGTGGGATTTGATGGATGACTACATTGGCGCGATGAAGAATGATTCGGCAGATAGGAACTTCTTCAAGGCCATCATTGCTGTACATAGGAATCAGTTTTCCAGTGCCCTACGACACATCACCAAAGCTCGCGAGAGATTGGATGGAGAGTTGACATCACTCACAGGCGAAAGCTACGGAAGAGCGTACGAGTGAGTTACTCTGAAGGTCCCTATAGATGATGAGCTGATGATTCAGCGTTGTCGTCAGAGTACAGATGTTGTCCGAGTTGGAAGAAATCATCTCTTACAAGGACCATGCGGATCAACCTGACCGACAGGCGACCCAAAGAAGAACGTGGCAGAAGAGGTCCGTCATCCCCATGGCCCAAGTTTACATGACTGACGGCCAGATTGGAAGGGTGTCAACGAGATGTTGAGGTTTGGCAGAGAATTCTACAAGTTCGATCCCTCGTTCTCACCCCGAACGAGGATATGGAAACTTGGATCAACTTTGCGGATCTGTGTCGGACTTCTGACAGGCTGAATCTGGCGGAGAAGACCCTCACATCACTCGTCGGAGCCTCTGTTAGCGCGGCAGACCCCGAGGTGAGCTTATCATCTTGAACTTTCATAAGCTGACGGTCAGTCGAGGGCGAGAGCGCCGCCTCCTGTTATCTTCGCTTGGTTCCGACTGATATGGGCCAAAGGCCTGCGTGAGAGTGATCGCGATGAACGCGTGGCCACCATGCAGTATCTGCGCGACTTCACGACTCAATTGACGGAAGATATTGGGATCAAGCAAGAGTCGAACGGACAACTGCAACTTCCCGATGCGAAGAGTTATGGGGAGTACATCAAGTTGTTGGCTAGATGTCATGTGGAACTCGGTCAATGGCAGACGGCTCTGAAGGATAATGCACTAGCGGTGGGTTGATCGTTACTTTCCGGACTTCCACCGACATGAGTATCTGCACGGCTGACGGACAGATGTCACCCGAGGGCATCATTGGTGATTACGCAATGTCGACGAAGCTTGACCCGGAATGGTATCAGGCCTGGCATACATATGCCTTGGCTAACTTCGAAGTTATCACTCAGCTCGAAATCTCTTCTCAAGGTCTAGAAGGCCACCATTTCCTGCAATACATCATCCCTGCTGTCGATGGCTTCTTACGCTCTATAGCGCTCTCGCCTGGAGATGCTCTACAAGACACTTTGCGACTACTCACCTTGTGGTTCAACTACGGCTATGAAGCCGGCGTCAATCAAGCCATCTCTCAAGGTCTTCACACTGTCAACATCGACGTCTGGCTCGAGGTTATTCCCCAGATAATCGCTCGTATACACACACCCCGAGCTACCATCCAGGGTCTCATCGTTCGTTTACTACATGACATCGGTCGAGCCCACCCGCAAGCCCTCATATATCCGCTCACTGTGGCCAGTAAATCCAATGTTGCCGCTCGAAAAGCCGTCGCGAAAAGTATCACCGCCAAAATGCGCGAACATGCAGGAACTATAGTCGATCAAGCCGAACTTATATCGACTGAACTCATCAGAGCCGCCATTCTATGGCATGAGATCTGGTACGATGGTTTGGAAGAAGCTTCGAAGCATTACTTCGCCGATGGTAATATTCAAGGAATGTTCGACGTTTTGACGCCTCTTCATGAGATGGTCGAAAAGGGGCCAGAAACCTTGAGGGAGACTTCGTTTGTTCAAAGCTTTGGACACGACCTTCACACCGCCCACGACCATTTGAAGAAGTATTCAATGCATGGTGACCCGACAGAGATACAACAAGCTTGGGATGTGTATTATGCCATCTTCCAGCGATTGGGGAAACAGCTGAAGTTGCTCAATGTTATCGAGCTGCAATATGTGTCACCCAAATTGTTGGCAGTGAGAGATTTAGAGATTGCAGTGCCCGGAACGTATCAATCGGGCAAGCCGGTCATTGGAATAGGATACGTGCTGCCTACGTTCCAGGTGATTGCGTCCAAGCAGCGTCCACGGAAGTGCGCTATGCGAGGTATGGATGGGAAAGATTATACTTATTGTCTAAAAGGTCTGTTTGCCAAAGCTCTCTCTCTCGTCTCCCTTGACCCTTCGAGGTCGGCTCACTCCCTTGATGTTGGTGGCAATGTCATAAGAGAGCTTCATCTGAGTCTGGTAAGAAGGAAGGAATGGTAGCTGACAATCAGGACACGAAGATCTTCGCCAGGACGAAAGGGTTATGCAACTGTTCGGACTTGTCAACACCCTCCTCGCTGCCGATCAAGAATGTGCCAAGCGTCATCTCTCCATTCAACAGTACTCTGTCACTCCTCTTTCTCCCGGTGCTGGTGTGCTGGGATGGGTGCAACACTCAGATACGTTCCACATGCTTATCAAGAATTACAGAGAGTCGCGCAAGATCTTGGCGGATATCGAACATCGACTCATGCAGCAAATGGCCGATGACAGTTACGAGTCTCTTCCTCTTCTTCACAAGGTCGAGGTGTTCCAATATGCCTTGGACAATACAACGGGGCAAGATCTGTACAGGATTTTGTGGTTGAAAAGTCGCAATTCTGAAGCGTGGCTGGAAAGACGGGTGACATATACGAGAAGCCTGGGAGTCAACTCGATGGTTGGGTATATTTTGGGTTTGGGAGATCGTCATCCTAGTAATCTGCTTTTGGATCAGATTACGGGAATGATCGTGCATATCGACTTTGTAAGTTGACCCTTGTCCCCCTCATCTCTCCTATGTTGGTCAGAGAGCTGATTGACAGGGTGACTGTTTCGAAGTCGCTATGCATCGTGACAAGTTTCCAGAAAAAGTACCATTCCGACTTACCCGAATGCTCATACATGCGATGGAGGTGAGTTATCAAGTACTCTGGCCCTACATTTTTCAAATGTGTCTTTCAACTTTCTTTCAGTACCTCGTCTTACACATGAACTGACACTGATTTCCAGGTCTGCGGTATCACTGGTACATTCTCTCGCTCGTGTGAAGTATCGATGGAAGTTCTTCGAGCCAATCGAGAATCCATCATGGCGGTATTGGAGGCTTTCGTGTATGACCCTTTGTTCACTTGGAGATTGACAGCCACCACTCAACCCGGTGGCGGACGAACTGTAGATGTGCAGGATACGACAGATGATTGGCAACAGCGAAAACCCAAGGCCAGTGAGAATGATATATTGAATGGTGGGTGGAGTGCTTTGCGTCTTCACACCTCTCCAACTTGAGCATCACCCCACTCAAACATGAGCCTGTCGGATGTCTCTCGGTCACCCGTGATGTCGGCCAATCCGGATGACCCATATCGATCATGATGATGGTGCTGATAAAGAGATGGTGAGAGAACAGAAGTCAAGAACGATAAAGCCCTCCAGGTGATTGAAAGGGTACGAAACAAGCTCACCGGGCGTGATTTTGCCACGCCGAGTAAGCCTATGGTGTTGGGTGTGAAGCAACAGGTGGAGAGATTGGTCGAAGAGGCGACTAGAACTGAAAATCTTTGTGTTGCTTTCGTGGGATGGTATGTGTTTTCTTTGTCTCGCATATCAACTGACATGCAGGTGTTCTTTCTGGTGATCCTGGGTCCAAACACGTGTACACCTTTATACAATGCATAGCTAGGACATTGCAATCACTAAACTTCAAATTTGTCGCTCACATTTGTCAAATCATCAAACCGTCTTATCCACTGTGGACTCTTGTCCTTCATAGGTAAGCACTTGATGTATCTTACTTTTGGTTGTGTGTTCGAAGTTGTCACTCAAGCATAGCTATCGCTCAACAGTATACCAATAAGGAAGTGGAGGCCGTACTTACCTTCCGACGATAGTTAGTATAAGCAAATTTGGGTTTTCGATATCCGGAATCGGCGGAGGAGATGGTGGACCCGGTGTGGGTTTGAGATAAGGAGTGGGAGGTGGAGGAGTATTTGGCTTGGGAGAAGGTTGAGGATTGGGTTGTGGCTCTGACTTTGGATCAGGTTCAGGGGATAGTTCTGGCACGGAGACCCCGGCCGTCGGGTGTGTTTGATCACCCCTTTCGACGTAATCAAAATCATGTCCCATTCATTCCCATCGTTTCTGCTTCTGCTCAACATCATACGTCTGTCCCTATTTCTCGCCATATCGCCTTTCACCGCTCGTGTCTGTGGTCGTGGTGGAGGTGTTGCGATAGGATAGGTCGGTTCTGGTTTGGGGGTTCCGCTCAGCCGGACGATTCCTGGAACAACGAACGCCTCGACATTGATGTCGACATCTTGAAAATCGTATTCGCCCATCGGTTCGAGATCAGGGTGTCGTGATCGGCATAGTAATGAATGTATCGTCTCCTTTGTCTGGGTTGGTAGAGGACGAGGATCCTTGAGAAGTGGAGGAGATGGTGGAGGCGAGGGATACGCTGGAGGTGAGTCGTTCGGGGTGGTTGCGCCGACAGGAACACCATGGATACAGAAGTCGTCGTCGCTGCCGTGAGGAAGGGTATTCTTGGACGTGGAATCGGGAGATGGAGCTGGTGATCGACTTGGAGCCCGGTCAGGACCAGGTTCCGGCTCGGGTTCAGGTTCAGGTTCAGGTGGAGTGCCGGCTATTAGAATAACTTCCGTGGAATTGTATCCTGAGACGGGCAAAGAGTGGGAAGTGATCTCGACGGTTGTTGGTGTGGTGTATTCGTTCAGGAGGAAGAGGTGAGAAGCTATGTCACGTTTGGGTACAGGAGAGTGGATGGAAGTCTTCTTGGAGTCAGAGATGTTGTTGGTCCAGCTGATTAGATACTGACTTAATCAGCTTCGTATGAATCTGCAGATGAGAGTGCTTACCTCCGCAGGATCAAGAGACGTCTCAAAAACACTTCCCGGCTTTCCTGATTGAGGTGCCGGTGCATAAGCCGGAGCAGCTGGAGGATCGGGTGCAGGAGGCGCAGGAACGAGTGGGAGAGTGGACGTAAAGGTCAGATCAGGAGTGAGAGGAGGCCAGTAATCCGGAGGTGGTGAACAGGGTGGAAACGGACGAGGATGATACTCGCATGAGATATAAGGCGGAGGTCGGATCCCTTTTCTGGTTGACGAACTCCACTGATTGAGTAGCATCATCTCGACAATTTCTGTGAGGTGGGAAGTGTGAGTGTTGTAAAGTTTAATTATCTCAGATGAAAGCAAAGAAATGGATGAATGTCTAGCTAGGATTCTTATATCTGCCTGCCGGCAAGGTGAGTCAAGAATCAATACAACTCTTTCCACTCGCCAAGAGACGGATCAGCTAATCACGAACAGAACCAAATACACCGAAGGAATTGCATCAGGTTCGATTCTCCCGCTCGGCCGCTCGACTCCGAGGGGAATATATCAACTCGATCGATTACTACAAGTCGTAATTCCCATTCGGGGTCGGCACATTCGTTCCGGTCAATGGAATGATTGACACTGACGACGTGTGTGCGTACATTTCACTCCCCAATCACCAAATCCTGTCTGAGATAAAAGGCATAGGAATGCATATGCGAGGAGATGCTGACTATAACGCGATACGACGAACACGACACGACAACTCGATCACTCCAGTGATCTTGGTTCACGGAGATGTTTCCTGGAGTGTCAATCGTCACTTAAGGATAACTATGCAAGTGGGGACTTACCGATATGAGAAACACCAACGTTACATCTCTATCCCTGTCGAAAACCGAGGTCCAACCCGAGTGCCGGGTAGGGCATGACGACCTTTGTATGATCGGGACTTGGTAATGGGGATACAACGGGAGAAGTTGGTAATGGGACTGGTCCGAGTGGCGGGGCGGGAGGAGGTATTCGGGGAGAAGGAAGAGGAATGAGTGACTTTGTTATCGTACCCAATTGGAATGAAGGGCGCGAAGGATATGAAGGGTATACGATTGTGGAGTTGGATGTGTTCATCGTGAGAAGAATACGAATATTGGATAACTGGAAAGGGGTGAGAGATTTTAGGGATGGCGTCTTGAGGTTTTATAAGTAATGTCTTGTTGGGGGTCATTACGTCTTGCAATGTGTTTAACATGCAGTAGGGAACCAGTAAGTGTGTGGTATTTGAGTGGAACGACGAAGGATAAGTGGAGGGGTGCGGGAAGGATGGGTACTTGAATGGGGTAATTCGTCGTCAGCGTCCGTCTATCTTTCTTGTGTGGCTTTCCGCGTGGTTAGTGGAGAATGTCTAAGGGTGAAGCTTCTTCGCCACTTTCCTCGAAAGTCGAAGCTTCGGAAGTCAGAAGTGATCGTCTTTGAGGGAAACGAGATGGTAAAAAGTTGAAGGAGTGAAATTGGTTAGACAAGAAATACATGATACTACTACAAAATTCGACTTATCAATACAATCCGATAAACCTCCCTTGATGATATTCTACTCGTGATCCCCTGAACATACCCATTCGAGACATTCCGACTGACTCTTCCGTCAAACTGGTCAATCAGCATCAACCGTAATATGGGTCCAAAATTGACTATGTACCAGGTATCAAAAAGAAAGCGACTCACGTCCGTTGATCCTGATCAAAGTGGTCCAAACGATCCTAATGTAGCTAACCATGCAATCTCATCTCTATCCAAACCATCCTCCATGATCTCTTCTTCCCAACTCCACATATCATACAACTGTAAGGCGTTGGTATTACCAGGACGTATGATAGAGGGTAACGGAGATGGAGAAGGGTGTGGACATGGTTGAACAGGTGGAAGACTTCCGCCAACTTTACTACTTCTCTGTTTGACTTGGTTATATATCGATTTGAATTGACTTGACATCATTGAATAAGTTGAATGATGAGTAGATGGATGGTCAGATGAAAAAGAACAAAAGTACCCAACCGGGAAAAATAGGAGTTTGGAACCATCGGAACGATGAATCCATATTTGATGGAACAAGAGTTGATGGTGAGTCAGAAGCCACGAAACGCCTCAAACACGAGTTCATCATTCCTACATCAGACAGTCGGTCATGGGGGGATCAAAATGAGATGTATGTACTATATGTAAGATCCGAGGCCACGAATGAAAGAATTCAGTTGACGTACTATTTCCCGCAGGTATGAACGTCGACGTCGTAGGATCATCAAGCGAGTCTTTCGACGCGAGGTTTGCATGATTGTATGAAAATCTATCTCATCTTTTCATCCGACCACATTCCGCACGTTTCCCACGCTTCTTCTATCACTTCGATCGACGACTGACAAGCACGATTCTTTGGTTATGCTTCTTTTTCCCCGTTCTGATCCACCTCCATTCCTTCGCATTAGTCTTGAAGCACTATCAACGCCCGATGGCAAGCGACTTCCTCCGCCATGGTCATGTGGTGTCGATCTACAACTTGACTCCTGCATGTCAGTTAACCGTCCGCATCGTACAAGTCACATATGAGAAGATTGGTAAACTCTGATACTTACGTTAGAAGCTTGCCATTCCTGTCAAAAACATCTACCTTCACTATGAACCGCAGGAAACCATCCAGCTCATAAGTGATTGGGGTACATACTGGTGATTGCAGATCGTTTCTCACACACCACTCCGCCAGGCGGAATTTGGCGCCATCGGCAGCACTATCTTCTAAACCTCCTTCGTTGCCGCCGACGTGAGACATTTCTCTGAGAGATTATCGGTGTCTGAACTCTAACTCTGATTGTGAGAAGGTGGGAAGGTGAGGGGGGAGTTGAAGAAGTAAGATCGGGTCAGATATGAGCGAACCTGAGTGAGTCGTCGATGAGCTTGTCAGAGGGAGCGGGACCATGAAAGTCGTATCACATTCAACATGATCTGGGGTTAGTGCGGCAAGTCAGCGAGTTGATATCCGCGATGTCATCATCTCGAAAGTTCCACCTCGGAGCTGCACCCACATCAAGCATAGAAGTGTACATACGTTGCTTCATAAGCTCCATCCATTCGATACACTTCGGTCACCATTCGGTCTTTCACCAGAAGCCACGGGGTTGCAAGTCCCCTCTCGAGTGCTGAAGCACTTTCCAAGCAGCGACGGCTTTGGCATCTTGCTTCTTCGCACGAACAGCGGAGGCACTCCTGTGTGATTAGCTATCTTCAATGATTCTTCCTCATTTCCTCCTTCCATCTCTGAAGTAGGGCGACGGAGCATGTACAGCAAAGATTTATGAAAACCGGTTGGGCAATCACTCACCAGCTCTTCCCCTTGATCTGAACGGTACATGTAATCCTCCACATCCCTCCATGCAACGGGTTTGCCCCGGGCGGTGTTTCCAACATTTCGGAGAAACTAGGTCGGGCTCCCCATCTCTGCAATGTCTCAAATAGCTCACTGATGGCGCCTACAGCTAAACGATCTTCTTCCTCTTCATCGGCGTCAGCGGGGTCGTAGCCTCGTTCGGCCATAGGTCGGAAAATGGGTTCAAGCCATTCTGTAATCTTGTCGAAAGCGGGTCCTTGGGTGAGAACAGCTGCATTCGCGTTGGTAACGTTCGCGCGTTCGAGATGGTCGTGGAATAGACCGCCGATGCATGCCTCGAAAATCTCGGCGGCATTCTTCGATGATTGTGCTACGGCTTCATAGGCAGCGGTAGCGGTGCGGACAGACGACAAGAGTCCGTAGAGACGAGAGATACTCGCGAGGGTGTCTTGATTCACAAGTCGGGCCTTGAGAGTCTGGGAATCAGCTCAGAGGCCGTAAACTTATAACAACCAAAAAGTGTTCATGAGAAGATCAACTCTCTCAGGAAAGAAGGGTGGACTGTGAAAATGTTCAGAAGCAGTAATGATGACGTACTGTTGCAGGTCCCTTCGGCTGCTGTGGGAACATCTTGTCCAGCATGAGCGTCACCGCCAGGCCGGTTCATCATTATCACAAGTTCTCATTAAGATGTGTGTGACTTACCGAGAATTGCATCTCCAACATGAGCATACTTCTCATAGTGCTTGGCTTCTGGGTGCTCTGCAGTGTATCCACGATGGGTAAAAACGATTGTAGAGATATTCTTGTTGTTGATAGCTGGAAGTGGGGGAAGTTGATCTTTCGTCAACGAGGCGAGATAAGTGTCAAAAGTATCATGAGAAACGATCATCGAAAGCGACATCTTGCTTGGCCACTTGTGAGTGTCGATGGAGATGAGGAAGAAGCAGAAAGACGAGAGCAGAGTTCATGTCTCATACTTTGGGGCATGTTGGGGTGTTGTTACGTACTCTGCAATGCTGATACCATGAGGTCTGTGAGTGTCTTCGAGTATCGAGCACGCAGATCCGCATGTGATGCAGGATGGCCAACAAAGAGCAAGTCGAAAAAAGCAACTCGTGTGCACTGATTTTAATCTTGATCACTCGGGCGCTCCTGGCCGTCTGGGGATTGATTGGGAGGGAATTCCTACTTGAAATCGTGTTATGCTCTGGGGTAAGTGCCGTCAACTTTGTAAAAATTCATTGCGTCAGTTGTCTGGATTTGTAAGGCTCGCCATCCGGGCATACTGTCATCAACTCATCATTCTGTCGATATTCACAGGTATGTTGTCCATGACTGTCCATCTGTCCATTCAAAGTCCGTGCTTTGCAGTCACATCCTTGCGGAGAGCTTAAGCACCCCAGAAGGATAGGTTCAGCCTTTCACGAGGGACTAGGCGAGGGGGTAGGGATGATTCCCAAGTCTCGCTGAATGTCTTGCAAGACTCGATACGCCGCGATAGTCCTGGCATCCTTTTTCGAAGGGCGGACCTCCACAGCGGACCTTTCACATCAGCTCCACATGAATGTCTCTGAGACTTCGAACGGTGTGTAAACCATATGATCGATGACTCACCATGTCTTCCCGTTCTTCTGCACTACATCGCAGATAACTTCGAAAGCTGGGCGTTTTCCTTTTTCTCCTTTCTCGACAGGAGTGACGATCTGTCGTTCCTTGTACTCGACCGTCAAATCTCCTCTCTTGTTTTTGAGACCGTCCAGGTGGACCGGAGCGTTGTCCACAAGCAATTGAGCGGCGGAACTCAAAGCGAAAGCATTCGCTGTTTCGAAGGCTTTCTGGACCAACGGCTCATACAAAGCTTCGAGCCACTCGGACACAAATTCGTAAGCTTGACCTTGACTGTGCGTCGCGCCGAGTCGGTCCAAGAACAAACCTCCGATGTGGGCTTCGAACATCTCAGCCGCATTCCTCTCAGAAGCCTTAATCTTTTCGAGGTCGGGGGGATTGGTAAGGACCCGCGAAGGGAGTCCGTAAAGGAAGGAAATGGCCCCAATTATTGTCTGATTGGTCAATCGGAACTTCATGACCTGCATGTCAGCTCAGTTCTGAGTATTGAAATTATGTCGAACGGGTATGGGAAGTGAAGCCAGAGAATACAGGGAGCCGGAAAGAAAGAAGGGGATATGGGGAGAAGGAAGGCTGAAGTATGTCGCGCTAGCTTGGGACACATACGGTAGCACCTCCATTTCCCTGCTGAGGGTTGGTCTTGTGACATAATAGAAGCACGACAAGATCTCCTGATCAGCAATCTGCCCACTTCGTAAGCAATATGAGAGACTGACCGAGAATGGCATCTCCGATGAGTGCAAATTTCGTGTAATTTTCTGCCTTTGGATCAGAAGCCCTATAGGATTCTTCAGTGATAGCGATCGTGCGAATCTTCTCGTCGGCAATCTGGGGAAGGTTGGGGAGTCCGGGAGGATTTTTGATGAACTCCCATAGCGGGTCGACAGGCTTGGCGCCTGGGACAGGTGTGGCAGGTGCGACCGGAGGGACCAAGGGTATTAAAACCGGTTTCGACATGATATCTGCTGTCTGGGCAAGTGAAGAAAGGGATCAAGTTGAACTGGGTGTGTGGGTGGAAAAGTTAGACTGGGGAGATTGGTTTGAAGAGATGAGTGTTGGATTGTAAGCTCGCCTCTTATATCTTATTTCACGGAAGTAACGGCGAAGACCTAACGGGGCTATGACCTGACTTCAGTGACTCAGCTCGGACGTCCTCTGCGCAGGCGAAGAAGTGTGAACCTTAGCGATTCACTGGGAGAGATGGCGGCGCCGTGAAATCTGTTTTCATCCACCTCAGCGTGACCTGCTTGAGAGCGATATGAGCGGTTCCGAGTGGCTGCATCAATAAATTTAGAGGCAAGATCGTTACTAAACACTTCATTTGGTATCAGGTCGACATTGAGACGGCCTTCTACGCCTTCTCGTCCCCCCGCAATCTAGGGTATCAAAGAGATTTGCCGAGCAATTTTGTACGCCGCAACGGTCGAAGCAAGCTTTTTGCTGTTTCTGATAGCTTCGGCTCGGCTACCGGTCAGCCCCTTTCATCGCATTGTGATGCGAATTAGCGGACGTACTACTCAGTGCCATCTTTCTTGACCGCAGTACACTCCACTTTCCACATACCGTTCATCTGTGTCGAGTCATACGTCGGGATATTCCCTTCCTTGGCTGTGAAATATTCGTTAAGCCTCGCAGTGGCACCCACAGCATCCGCATCCTCCTCAGGAGTGGCTGACAACGTCGCTTCCAACCGCTTCTGCTCCAGACGCATCTGATCCAGTACCCAATGAGCCAGGGGTGTGAACAGCGGAGCAAGCCACTTGTGTATGTGATCCATGGCTTGTCCTCGGGCTTCGGCGTTTGAAGCTGATGGAGGTTTGGGATCCGGTGTGAGAGTTCGCTTCCGGGGAGTGGCGGGTGGAGTAGGGATGCGGGGGAATGATGTGGAAGCTCGATACAGGTGTGAGTAGAAGAGACCGGCTACATAGGCTTCAAAGATATCCGCCATGGTTTTCTCGTTTTGAGCCAAGTTGTAACGTTGATCCGAAGTACAGATAAGACGGGAAGGAAGTTCATAGCGTTGGGAAAGCTGACAGAGTGTGGTGTTGTTCACAAGGTGAGCTTTCAAGACCTATACTGATTAGCCAAGAGGAAGGGTGATCACGAGATGTTATGCTCACAGTTGCAGGTCCTTGCCGCAGCTTAGGGAAAAGCTCATGCAGTAGACAGGTGATGACAGTGCCTGTGTATCAGCTCGTGACCGGTCTTTTGACAGGCGCTTTGAGACAGTACGAGTACTCCGTGGTCCTGCTGGGTTTGTTGCCTGAAATGAACCATCACAAACGAAGAGAATTTCGAGTCTTGGAGGATTGCTGGATACTCACCAAGAAGAGCATCGCCGACATGCTCCAGCTTCTGATTATCCTCCATCGCATCTTCGTCCATCTCCAGACTCATGGAATTCTTTTTCTTCCCAGCAATCCCCGAATGAGTGAACACGAGTGTCTCGAGCTTGACATCTTGAATCTTTGGCAGAGGGGGAAATGGAAGGGTAGGCAAAGGAGGTAGCTTGAGTAGTGCCAGACTGGCAGGACCGGCAAGGATTGATGACGACATTCGGAGATCGGCGGAGGTCACCTCGGTCCAGATACGGAACGGGACGAAGGAGCAGGTTGACCAAGAGAATGCGGGTCAATGTACGATACTAGATAAGATACAGCGGTTGGAGAAGACATGAATCAAGAAACACGGTCAGGTTGATGGGTGTCAAGGAAAGTACGAGTAGTGTGCGTTGAGTGATGTCGTCCGCATCATGATGATTAGACTTTATGCACGCTTTCGGTCAACGGTTTAGCCAACTCTTTCCCAGCCGTACCTTACGGGGCGGTATTGCATAACTTCCTGTAGCCTCACTCGGCGCAGGATGTGAGACCTGAGATCTAAGTACACATTTTATGCACCATCAGCATGCAGCAGCAAAATGGTTCTCTCTCAATTCAACGGCACACGAACATCGGTGCATTACTTTGAATGATTTTAAAATGTCAGACATGGTTTGTTAAATAATCCGGAGAAACAGCCACACCGTTGGTGAAACGGTATCATACGTCGTTGCCATACAGGGAGCACACCTCGGTCGACGTGGCAGGTGTTCGACTCACCTACGGTGTACTCTTTTTCTTCCTCGGGCTAGTTTCTTGCGCTACTTACCCTCAGATAGGCAGAAAGAAAGCTTCTCCATCCACCATCCCCCCCTCAACGGTTTTCAGGGGTCCGTACCCGGGCCCACTGAAAAGGGTACCCGAGTGGGGAGACGAGGTACGACATATGATAATGTCTTCTTATGGTCAGGGTGGTGTTTTCAAATGCTGCTACTCAGCATGCGTCTAATTTTACCCCTGATAATGGTCCAAAACAGGTGAGTCAGTGACATTGACCAATCTCATGCTCACCCGCCCTCGATCCCAAACCCTATTGCAGCATACGCTATGCTGTACGTCTCATCCACCCTAGTAATCGCCTTGTTCGCCGAGTCTAGCAGTTCCATCCATACTTTAATTGCAAGATCTTCCGTGGCGTGGGAATTCGATCGAGGCGCCGTTCTAAAAGACTGACGAACACCCGGAATTCTACTTGCTGATCACCTTTAGTCCCATTTCTCTCTTTTTTATCGCCAAGGCCCAGTGGCGTCAATATGCCGGTGATCACTGGAATCTTTATTAGTTTTCTTGATGGTGACTGGACTATCATGTTTTCTTGGAACAAGGGAACCGGCTTGAAATCGGTGAATCCCTGTGTAAGGAACCGGAAGCGGTTTTTCCAATCTTTCGAGGGTGAGGTAACTTGTGCAACTTAACATACTGATCCACAGGCCTCAGATCTCGGGGTGGACGAAGTCTGACTCGGAAGCTACATTCACACTGCCAACCTTGCCTAGTATCATCACTGACAGATTGATCGTTTCCTCATCCGAGAACTGGTGAGGCAGCCGAATGACAATTACTGATTGTTCGGTGCACGCGTCAACCGATTTCGGTCCGGATCAAATCAGCAATCTCGGTGAAACCTCATCAAACGGCAAGTGGTGCATGGTCCATGGTCCATGGTACGTGGTATCATCCGAGTTATGCGAATTAGGAGGTTTAGGAGATTTAGGAACATGCCGAGATGCTTCGAGATTTCCGGATAGTCTCTTTCCCCCTCGACTAGTTTGCTTGAAGATTCAAAGGATCCACGAGATCCTCTGGTGAACGCCTCAATGTTGGGAGTTTGTTTGATGTGGAGAGGGGTCATCGTTTCAGATTGACTTGCATGACTAGTTCCCTCGATCTCCAATTTCAGGGTAACTATTCTACGTGATCGAAGTACGTAGATGCCGAAGAATGTCGGGCCGGATAATCACTGATCACTGGACTCTTTGGTGTCACCCATCATCTCGACTGATCGCGCTAATCATTGTGCATCTTGACATACAAGACCTATCACTTATGATTCAGCCCTCCACTGACCTCTCCTGACTTCAAATCAGCTGTAGTGGGTTACTCGTAGACCGCTAATACAAAATAATCCTGGAAACTCACCAAACCAACATCCGGAACACTTGACCAACAGAAGGGTGACTGACTCAAAGTGAAACTCCGCCCCGAACCCAATTTTTCAAGAGACGCACGTCCTTTTGATGATGTCTTCCCCATTCTGATGCTGTTACCGACCCCCTCCTTTCCTTCTCGATCATGTCAATGCCGCTGTGGTCAAGGGAAACGGCCCGACCCTCACGTATGTCTCAGGTAGTGAAGTGCTGCGATTTCACGACACCAAGACAGCACTAAAAGGAAAAGCTTATGTCGATGATCCTCTGGACTGTCGCTGATCCGGCCAATCCCCAATGGACCTGTCCGTGCGCTGGACCGGTTCACGGGGTCATTTGTCACTATTACGACGAACTATAGAGTAGCGACTTTTCTTCGAAACATGGTCATCTCCTTCAAACTTTCCCTAAACACCTAGATCCTAGTCACCGTCCTCTTCAAACATCTTTCTCTCTTATCTGCACCTGACCTCTTCATAGTGATACAGACTGTCTTGTAGCTTATACCTCTATCGACTACACCACCCAACACATCATTCCTCTCCCGACTTCCTCCGCCCCTCTCGCCCTCGTCGCCCCGTCGCGATATCTCTCAACCCGAGTGGGGCATACTATCTGCCTCGTGCTTCCCCACCTTGATCTCCTTGCCCTCTCCTGGCTCCTGTCCGCTATTCTTGCTCTTGTCGAGCTTTGATCTTTATCTCTTCATCGTCCCGAGTAAGTATCTCAACCCACACGGGAGACGCTTTCGTTGACCTACAGGATTTCAAGGGACAAGTCATGCCTCCGCGTTCCACTTCTTCGGTCTCGACTGACATGACCTCGAAACACGGTCACTCCCCACAGCCTTCCCCACACGCACAGCAAAATAAGAGGAATCGATATCGACATGTCCGATCGAATCAGACTCGCCCTCCCCTGGACCATCGTCAAAGCCAGTCGCACGAGATTCCGGACATTGATATCAAGCTCTCAAGCGATAGTCTCTGCCATCAGACCGGAGAGCCGAACCGGTCAAACGACCTATCTCCATCTCGAGCGTTTCGCAGGCGTAAAGTCGAGGAGCCGAGGAGGGATGACTTGATTAAGGGCGGTGAGTCCAATTTTGGTCATCTATGACAGTAGAGTAGCGTCGTATCTTTGCTTATCAATAGATGTTTTCGAGGATGTCTCCACTCCCGGTCCCACAAGTCCAGAGCAGAAGCAGGTTGAATACCCCACCTCACCTGTCAAGAAGGCATCAGACAGTAGCGTCTCTAAAACCGACATCACTGTCCCTGTGACTGCCAACACGCCAAGTCAAATCCTTCTTGCCCAGCGACCGAAACCTCAAGTCGATCTGGTGACTCGTCATCTTGGGATGGTACAACACCATCAGGCCCGGTCTGAACCTGCAGGTCAGGAAAGTGTCATGGAGCATATCGAAAGTAAGTCAGTCTAGGATCCCTGAGACGGAGCTGACAGCGTAGCCCCCATCCCGACTCACCCCCATGCTACCCCCTTCAATTGCAACAATACCTCCGATAATCCCTACGCAGAATACGATATGCCCATTTTGCGAGAACAGCCCGTGAATATCGCACCAAACTCTAGATATCCTGGCACATTTACCATCAACCCGTTAAAAGGCTCCAATGTACCAAACCTCATGCTCATTCGTCCTGCCGCTCCTGCTTCCATAGCGGCCATGCGCTGTCCTACTCCACCTCACGGCATCTCGCTCACTCGACCATTCCCTCTTGATCCGCCTCCCTATACCGATGCGGACATTCCACTCCCTCAGCCCTACAACTCCGATTTCCCACATCCCATCACAGTCTATGCTTCTCCAGGAGTCAATCCCAAAACCCTTCAACACTCAGGTTATGACATGGTTTTGGCCGAGTTGATGGAAACCAACCCCAAACGTGCCATGGGCGATATTCTGGCTTCTTCTGAGCGTGAAGGTCTCACAGCTCCCGCCTTGGCGGTCCATGTCACCGAAGGAGACGGGAATGGGATTCCGGAACGTCTTTGGTCCAAATTTGACAGTCTGGGAGCTGCTCGACTTGCCGTTGGCGTACCATCACCTTTTGTATCGTACGCCAGATCGTCAGCCATCACGCCATCTTCTCTTCCTCCTCGATTCCAAGGACTTCCATTCGATGTCGTCAAACCGCCCATATCACCTCTGACTCCTGGTGCCTTATCTGCAACGGAGCTGAGATCCTATCACATGTCCCTATCTCAGTCCCGACCAATCCACCGTTCCAACTCGGCACCACAAATCGACCTATTTCCTGGCATCCGACAGATGGCCCGTCGGCACAGTGAGATCGACCACATCTCGGCTATGGAGCCCGGCGAGAGACAGAGGCAGTTGTGTCCACACTACAAGACAGAACTCTGTCCGTATTGGCAGGCAGACACTATCTGCAAGTATGATGACCAGTGTCAAGTGAGTTCTCACATGCTTTTTGAGTCAAAGCTGATAATCAAAGTTTGCTCACGGCTATGATGAACTTCGCTCTTCAAGAGTAACTGGAACCCCACCTACCTTTGACCTCAGTCCGGCATATCAACGCTCAAACCCGTTCGAGTTCCCCACGCCTCCTGACACTCCTGTGGGTCATGTCGAGCCCCGACGTACGATTCTTGTTCCTTCAGCAACTCCGCTGGGTTCCCTCCCTTCTTTCAATGAGAGACCGGATCTTCGCCGTGCGTATATGCCACCAACTGGTCTTTGCACTGTCCAAGAAACAGAAGATGATACTCCTGTGCTCCGACATACCGCTTTGGACCCAGTCGCCCCGATAGGATCCGAACGTTGTTCTCCCTCTAAGGCTTCAAGCACTACCAAAAGATCCATGCCACCTCCTCTATCTACCGATCCAGGTTATCTACACCCAACTTCTCCTTCCATGCCTGCCTTCCAGCTGTCTGCAGCTGCGAGCATACACACATCTCCACTCGTTTGTAACACTCGCGACTCAATTTCCACCCTGTCCACTTCATCGAGTTCCCAGAGGAGCGGACTCAGTGAAGGACCCTATGGTTGGAGTCCCGTCGATAGCATTCACATTCGTGGAAGTGGGGAAAGCTCCAAGTCTTCTCCCAGTGATCTCAACTGGGAAAGAGCCGGAAAGAGGTCCGAGGCCGCTACACCGAGTTTCGACTTTTCAACCGGGAAATCCATCTGGTGCAAGAAATAAACGACCACCACGATGCGGCTCATGCCGTTTGTCAATTTGTGCTTTTTCGAACCATGTTTTTTTATTATTGTGTGAAGCTGTGTCGACTCATTTGGGGATGTGTGATCGGCTCTGTGTCAAAATCCTGTCCCTGTTTCTATTCTCTGCCTGTTCATGTCATCACCAACACGACCCATGATTCTCCGCTCTTCTTCGACTCTTTCACCATAATCTCGACCTCGCGACGCGATCGGAATGTCGGATCGTTTGGTAGGAAGAGCAGAGGGGAGGATGAAGGAATGGAGTTTTTCTCTATCGTTCACGTGATAGTATTGTTAGATATCTGGACTGTCATCCCTCAAAACCCCATGGTCATCCTTCCCATCTCCATGTAAAGCATCATCTCTTCAACACGCTCATGTCTGTGTTAGTCACGTCGGTGCACAGTGATTATGCAAACTTTTATGTGTTCATCTTGAATTTTCAGCTGATCCAGTATCCCATCTCACCTTCTCATCACTGATGAGCATGATCAATCGGGTTTCAGCATCACGTACATGCATCCACCTAGTCATGCTGCTTCTTCATCGACATACTCTGATCAATGATCCGACAACCATCGGTACTCGAATCGGAAATCACTCTTCTTCCTCTGACACCAACTGTTCTCCCAGTCAAAGTAGACATAACCACCTTGCTCGTAGTCTTCTGTGATGGCTTGAGGATTGTATGCTCTTTGGAACCAAGTGAGATATTGTTTGTGAAATCGCCATGATTGGGATTTGAGTTCTTGAGCTGCCAACCATCTGGTGATCAGCATTTCATTTCTTGGTACAGGTAGGTTTAAAGCCGACATGGACAGCAGAGAGGAGAGACGTGAGAGTGGGCCCGAACAACAACCGAGTGCGATGAACAATTATGATGTTCCGACGTCACCTGAGTGAGGTGAAAGCACGGTCGGGATATAGGAAAGGAAAACGGGACTCACTGCTCATATGTCCCAGGATGATAATAGAAGAGAAAGAACAAGACATCTTGATCTAACCGACTGACGTGGGTCTTATCGTCAAATATCGGTAACTGGGCTTGGGGATAGTATGACGGTGTCCGGATGGGATTTTGAGGATGGTAATATCTTGGTCTGTAGATTAGCGATCGCATACCCATCAAATTCCGTTCACCAATGACACAACAGCACATCAGAGAGGAAAGGAAATGCAGCGGTAAATTTCGGCAATAAGAAAAGACAAGGAAGGGTAGAGCTGAGATGAAGCGTGGACGATAGGGAGCTTGAGACCCACGGTTCTCCATCTGATGGATGAGGAGCATTCGCAAAGCTCGCATCCAATGCGGAGTGAAGCTCATTTAGGTCATTTGCACGGTGTTGTGCTATGACATTAGCCTCCCTTCCAGTTCTTGAGGTTTGAGTTTAGAAATGAACCCACACAGCTCTTTTGCCATGTCAAAGCTCTGCATCAGATTGCCAAGTACGCCTTGAGGAGCAGAAGGACTTGCACCGCTGGCATACGACGATGAAGGTGTTCGTGATGATCCGGCTTGCTGAGCTTGTTGAGGAAACACGTTGCCCCCTGAGGCAGTAGAGATCGCAGGAGTGATTGGTGGTTGGGGTCCATTGAATGATGAGGAAACGACATGTGATGGGTTCGGTTGTTGAGGTACCGGTGAGAGAGACGTTGAGAGTCCCGGTGGAGGTGGTGGTAAACCCTGTATATCAGCAAATCAGCTTTCCTCATATATGTCAAGAATGACAAGCCGGAGAAATCGGGGTTGTTACGGGGCGTACATGTATCAAGAACTGAGACGACTCACATTTGTCAGTGATGGCGACTCTGTAGGGGGCACGCCTATGGAACTGACGGCTGGACTCTCGGTAGTGGGAACAGGACCGTTTTCCTGCTCCAGTATTTGCGTCGGTTGGACAGCCGCAGGCTCGGGAAGCTTTGCGACAGGCTCGTGTGTAGGTCCGGTCGAGGTGCTGGATACTGAGGATGGGTTCGCAGGTGCAGGGACGCTAGGTATGGATGCTGATGCGCTTGAAGGAGCCACAGCGGCAGCGGCCGCTGCTGCATATCGAATAGGAGGGAGTGAGGCACGAGGAGCAGGAGCTGTGGCAGCTGTCGGTATGGGAGGTACTGGCGGCACCTCTGGTTTAGGGGGTAGTTTGACTGGCTCTGCTTTTGCCGATTCTTGTGTGGTCTTCCGTGATACTGACCGTTTTGTTAATATCGGACTTGGTGGAGCTTCCTCTGGTATCGTTTGACTGGTGGGTTTGCTACCTGAGACCGATCTCTTGTCCTTTTCCTCTTTCGCCGGTGTCTTAGGAGCATCACTTGGATCGAGAAGGGAAGCGGAATCGAGGTTAGACATTTCATCGTGATGACTGAAGTCTTGTAAGTAGTCTTCTTCGTCCACCAGGTTGAGCTCGTCGTAAATACCATTGTCGAATTCGAAATCTTCTTCCTGCCATTATCAGCTGAGTCCGACATCGGATTGGCGTTCGAACGAGTATCGTGAGCTCATTTGATGAAGGGAAGGCTATGTACGCTTTTTGGGATGAACATACCGTGTTAGTCTCGACAAAGTACTTAACATCCTCCTGTATTGGTTCCACTTGCTCTACAGTCAATTGTCCATTCTCCAACATCCGCTGAACCACCTCCAAACGTCCAATGTGCCATTGCCGTCGTTCGTTAAGCTGTTCTAACTCCCCTAGTCTGTCGGCACCAGACTTCTTCTTTTTGGTCGCTTGCAGAGTTTCCACCTCAGCCTCCGTGGCTTCTATCTGTCGTGAGAGTTCATCGACGGTTGTTCCTATCCACTCGATGAAATCTCTCTTCGCCTTCTCCGCAGGGTCGAGTTTGGATTGAGCGATGAGTCCTTCTTTCGAAAAAGCTTTCATCTTCATCTCCTTTTCGAGAGCTTTGAACCGTTCCATTTGCTGATATTTGAATTCGATTTCAAGAGGGGAGTGAGGAGGGCGTAGAGATGAAGAGGCATATGAGAAGAACCTGCGTCAGCCGGTGGACATGTGGGTCAGGTGGTATAGGACTCACCGTCTCTATCAGCTTTCGGTTATCCAGTAGGGCCGACTTGTCTTTAATCTCAGAACTTCCCAACCATGCCTTTATCTGATCTCTCATCCGTTGCAGCTTTTTGATCTGCGTCTTGAGATCGTTCTCCAGCTTGTCCTTCTGGGCGGAATTGGTGGCATGGTTGAGCTTGTCAAATGTTGATTCAAAAGCCTCGACACCTTGAGAGACACCCTTGAGGGTCTTGTCAATTTCCGCTGTCAATCCAAGGTCCGACAACGTTCCGGTGTGAGGTAGTCAAATAGATCCGTGCAAGTAATTCGAAAGTGAGAGGGAGAGCCAAGAGTGAAGAGATGAGGGAGGTGAGGTGAGATTGGAAAAGAAGAAAATGTCAACGATAAACCATCATGGAGAGAATCCCGCTCACCTTGTAACTTCCTTAAAGCCATGTTGATTAGCTGCTATATAATATGCCGATTCGAAGACTTGCAACAAAGGTTCGAGACATCAAACTGGGACACCAAGGAGGAGGGGAGTCCATGCCTATCGGGCCCATCTTACCCGGCATGCCTAATCTCGTTGGTGCTTCACTTACGTAAGCAATGCATGTACGAAGAGACGCGGGTGGAGGTGGTCTCGTTGCTTTTGGACGCGTTTCTGCAAGTCTGCAATTATCTACTCTAGTAGCTTTCCAGTTTCTCGAAATGGTCAACAGACTAAGGGCGGCAGTGGTCAAGGTAAGTCTGATATCATGTCTGACGGCAAGGAGTTCACACTCATCTGAACAGGTCTTCTCCGCAAAGCACTCATTGACGTTACCTACCGCGGCGCTTAATTACATCGAGCAGGTTTTGCAAGAGGTAATTTATCGGGTCCTCGCCTGCAGTCGCCTGATTGATGCTGACTAGCTAGAATGATGTCCCGGAAGAAGAATGGTCTACTGGATTGGAACTTTGGGCGCGAGAGTATCTCAAGGGAGAAGGTCAGTTCACCATGACTCTCCTGGAGTAAGCTGCGGACCGAGCTGATTTCTTAGAATCGTCTTCCCTTGTTTCCCTCCCAGCGCTGAAGAAAGCATACGAGATTCTTCAGCTGGGAGTAAGCCATGTCGACTCAATTTCGATTGACGACTGACGTACAGGTCAATGACAATGATGACATGCTCGATCCATCGGAAGTCAACATTGAAACGCACTTTTCAGTGGTAGACGCTTTCGACATGCCTGCTGTACACTTTGATGCTGTCAGAGGGGGTTTCACCACGTTCGTCATGCTCACTTCCTAGTTGCATTCCCATCTTTCGGCATACACCAACTCTAGTGATGAAATATACTGAGTCTAGATCCAAGCATACACCTTCCCTTGCTGGACAAGCTTCAAGTCGAGCTGCATTCCTCAGGGAAAGGTGGGGCATAATCAAAGAGGTTCGTCAGGTCGCTTTCGTTGACAAGGTACTGACCGACAGATCATCCTGAGAAATGAAAACTTCACTCCTCCAGCTATAGCGGGTCATGATCGAGACAACTATTTAAAGCTCACATCTACTCGCAACCTGCTGGGAAGAGTCGGACAGCTCTTTCTCCTCTTTGGGATGCTTTCCCGAGATCCAGAAGGCAGACTCTGTCTCGAAGACGGAGAGGGCAGAGTCAGATTGGATATGGATGACGCTGTAAGCTCTCCCTTGTAATCGTTGAGTCAGCTGAGAATATAGGTACCAGGAGAGGGGATGTTTACCGAAGGATGTATGGTGCTCATCGAGGGTGAATACACCATTGACGAAACTATCCGTGTACTGGCCATGGGCCATCCTCCAAGTGAGAAAAGAGAAGTAGCTAGGTCAGCTCAAGACTGCCAGTGTGAGAGCGTGAACAAGATCTAATGCCGCAGAAGCCTACATGGCCATGTCGACTTCATTGGCGGAGGAGCTATTTCTTTGAAAGAAGAGGTCAGTCCAGACTTTTTGCCTGCTGTTGCTAACTAGAGTAGCAGAAGTTTCTACCCACGGTGGCGGTCAACACACAAGTTTCATTCGTCGTTCTGTCAGATGTCTGGCTCGATCACCCTCGATGTCTTCCGGCTTTAAGGAAAATGTTCGAAGGTTATGCCGAATCCGTGGAGTTCAGGCCAATGGCTTTTGTACTTTGCGGAAACTTTAGTCAAAAGGGATGGGAAACGGAGGAGGGATTGAAGAGGTATAGCAGTGGGTACCTCTCGAGTTATTTCAATCATTTCTCTGCCGTGCGAAATTATGGAGCACATACTGACCAGCAACTTGTTCTCTGACTGACTTGCAGATGGGTTCAATGCACTCACAGATCTCTTGGTTTCTTTCCCTCTCCTCCAATCATCTCATTTCATATTCGTACCCGGACCCCTAGATCCTTGGTCCTCCAGCACTCTCCCTCGACCTGCTCTCCCTTCTCTCCTATCAGCACGACTCAAACAACGCCTGCCAAATGTACACTTCGTCTCGAATCCGTGTCGGATCCGATACTTTGGAATGGAACTCGTCATCTGTCGAGAGGATCTAATGGGTCGGATGGTCAGAAATTTGGTGGGGGTCAAAGATGTCAAAGGCGCCGATATGAAACGATATGTCAGATCTATTCATCTGGAGTTCGCGAGGGAAGCTGATGAGAACAGTTGGTGCAGACTATTCTCGATCAAACCCATCTATCTCCTCTTCCCCTGTCTGTCCGACCAACATTATGGGAGTTTGATCACGCTCTACGACTATATCCCATGCCTTCGGCTTTGGTTCTGGCGGACAAATATGAACGGTATGAGCTCACCTACGAAGGTTGCCACGTGTTTAATCCTGGCCGATTTGTGGGTGGTGGTGGTGAAGGGGGGGAATTTGAGTGGAGCATGTATTATCCCGCGACGGGGAGGAGCGAGCGAAGGTGCGTTTTCGTCGTTTTGCCACATTTCAACTTGCACCACTTTGAACCTGAGTACCTGCGGATGGTGTCGACGTAAACCTTGGATCTTCATTTAGCTTGGAAGGGCATAGATTCTGTCAGAAAGGTCCTGAAGGATGTTTGCTGATTGCTGACCGTCAGCGCATTGACATTAGACTAGATTCGAAGTGTGGCATAGCATAGGGAAACAATGCATTGTTGTAGCATCTTGTCATTGTTGATCTCGCAATCCCGAGACCTGGCTCTGAACACCTGATCCCGATTCGTAGAATATACCTGTGAGACCGTCCTTCTCTCCTCGCTCCGTTTCTGTTCAGTCCGATCTGGATGGAACAGAGTACAGCGTTTCTGTACATCGAGGATGAGGAAAACACAACGATCTCGCGTCGCTTTCTTAGGGCTGAGAGTTCGGGAGAAAAGGTGAGAAACTAAGAAGGGAAATATCATGAAACGCCGATTGGGACGAAATTCCGCGGAAGAAAGTGGCACCTTTGATGACCCGCACTCTCACTCCTACCTCAACCTGCCAACGAGCTCTTCTATCTCTCTACTTGTCATCCAAGGTTTACGTAGCAAAGGATACAATATGGTGAGTGAAGTGTCTCACATCTCTTCTCTCATCGCCTCTGATCATGGTCTGAGCAAGAATAGGAAAGAGAAGCAGTGCATCGGGTCACTTGAGGTAGCCGGTAGTGGACTGTTCCATCTGGTGGATGTCTGTCCCCTTCTTTGTGAATTTTCATCATCTACAGACAAGCGCTCTCAGTTTGTTCAACGTCGCTATATCTCATGCTACTCTATTGCAGAATATGGAAGCGACAGTGTTTTAGTGTACGAAGTAACTATGGGAATGATATATGAATTCGATCAACCTTATCAAAGCATACGTTTCGCTGATCTTATAGGCCAGTACCGAAGAGGTTGCAGTCAAGAAACCTCGAACTTTCAAGGTATACTCTTACAGAGGTGTTACACTCGATAAACTTCTCGACCTCGACAATGAAGCTCTGATCGATGTGAGTTTCGTTGAAATGTCTCCCCCTCCCATTACTTTCCCCTCTGTCTCTAGTCCTTCGATCATAGGTTCTCAGGCGTATCGCATTTCGCTCTTCGATCATAAGGGCTGACTTGATAGCTCGTTCACGCTCGCGCTCGTCGTAGATTCTCACGCGGTCTTAAACGTCGTCCGTTGGGTTTGATCAAGAAATTGCGCAAGGCGAAGAAAGAGGCTTTGCCTAATGAGAAACCGGCTACGGTCAAGACTCATTTGCGTGATATGATCATTGTTCCGGAGATGATCGGAAGTGTTGTTGGTGTTTACGTGAGTGTCTACTCCGTTCCATTCATCTTAAAATCTGGTTCTGTACTTGTTATTCACCAAACCCGAAAACATGATGGATCATAATCGTCCGTCAGCTGGTCCTACATAGTTCCTTTTCGTCGGTAACACGTACTATCATAGTGATTACTACACGAACACATCCATACCGTGTGCCTCAAATGTCCTTAGCGTCATCAATAGATGTATACTGGCGCGATTGCGGAAGAAGACAATATGCTCATATAGCAGAACGGTAAATCCTTCACCACGGTCGAGATCAAACCTGAAATGACTGGTCACTACCTCGGCGAGTTCTCGTAAGTATCTCATACGACTTCTTTGTCGAAATCCGCTGACTGCTTAGCATCACCTACAAGCCTGTCGGTCACAGTTACGGTGGTCAAATGAGAGATGCGCGGTTCGTACCTCTCAAATAGGGATGAGACCTGGGGTCGTAGTGTGTCAGCATGGATGTGCTTTTCTCACTGCTGCCAATTGTCAAAAGAGCAGACATGTGCTGAGTCGTTCTAATCTTCTCACCATATGCCAAAAAGCCTGCGCAAGAATGCAATCTGTCGAAAAGGCCGCACTGATATTTCACTTGCTCCATGCGTTGACTTAGCGAGCATAGGTCATGAAGGTATACATCTCGTATCTCACCCCTCGATAGATGCTACATTCAAGGTCGCTTGAAATTGGCAACCACTCGACGATAAATGGCTGACGCCTTGTACATCTGACAAAGATCGACACCACACACACACTCCTACCTGATTCAAATCTCCATACCTCGTATCGGATGTCCGCTCTTCCCGCTCCGCAGTAAGTCCTCGGCATGCTTGTCCCCCACGCTCTTGCCTTTGAGACCTTTGCCCTTTAAACCTTTTGATCCGTCCGGTCGTTTGGTGACGCCCTTGTCCCCCACCACGCCCTTGTTCCCGATCCCATCAGGCATCATCTTGTTGGCTGCTGCTCCTGCAGGGATGGGATTGAGAAGCCGGGCGATGGGATCGGCATATGCGAGAGTACGTTTTGCGTAGAATAACAAATACGCTTTTTGCCCTTGAACAGCTGAGAGAGTGGTGGGCGTTACTGAACGGTCAGTTCGACGTCTACCCTTCTGACTTGAATGAACGTCACTTTTTCTCGTCCGTACGACAGGAATGAGACATTTGATCATGAGCAAGAGAAGGAACGAGATGGATGCATGAAGGAATGAATAAGGAGAAGAGAGGAAAGCACCCCCACCCTTGTCATCATCACAATGCCACCATTCATCCCCACTCAAAACGTCTGCCCAATAATGTCCGTTGTCCAACTTACCCTCGTGCGTCACCACGGCGAAAAGGTCGTATAAATACACTGAATCAGGCAATCTTTGTTCTTTTTGTGCGTCTTGAGACGAAGGGATCGACGATCCGTGCTCTACATATGGAGCCATGTTGATCGTGGAGGGGAATCGGACGGGGACTTCGACTTTGGTGGAGGTGGAATTATGATGTCCGAAGCGCTGCGCGTCAGGATGAAGTCATTGCTTGAGAAAGAGCTCTGTCGGTGCGTATTGTAATTTCCAAAAGCTTGAGGCGGGTTACATTCTTGCCAGCATTATAGCATTATAGCATAGGACGGAGAGACAGAATTGCACAACTCACCTTCAGTTGAAAGGCCAAGACGGGAGGTAGCCTTTTTATCAAGAGCTTGCGTGTAGCCGCCTGATGAGGTCAAGAACTGTCACACATACAGCGAGAGACGTACCACACCACTTCCTCCCCCACAGGAAGAACAATCATATCCTTTTCCACCATGATCCCCTACCTTCTCTTCGGCGCAAAACCGACGTAACATGCCTGGGAGTGTAAGAGGTTCGGGATTTGTGAGAGACGAAGGGGGAAAGTCAAGTTGGATGTCTAGGATAGGATCAACAGTGGTGGATGTTGTGTGACATGATGAGCAGGTGACTGAGGAAAGTAAGGATCCAGCAAATGTTTGATCTGAGGTTTAGCAATTAGCAATACTTCATCGATGATCCAGCAGAGTGATATGGTACTTGGGTGAAATGCAAGACCTGATCACTCACGGGCTATGCAAGTGCATGAAGTTGATTGTCCCCGTGCGTGAGCGTGAATCTGGTCTAAAGCAGCCAGGAAGAAAGAATGGGCGTCTTGGGGTCAGCAATATATCGAGGAATGGGAGATAGACCAACCTTGTTGTCCGTATCCTTCTAATTCCGCAGAAGCATGCCACATAGCATACAACATTGTCACTGGTCCATAGGGACTCTTATCGTCCGCGTGAAACTTTGCGTAAGGCATGATCCCATACGTGTAAAGAAAGCCGAGTGGAGGAGTTGCACATCGGAATGTGACCGCTTACCTCTTCGAAAGCCCGATCCAGCTCGCAGCACATACAACCCCTTTCCCTGTCCTGTCCCACGCTACCAGATTCTACTTCAGCACCCAAGTAAGGGCGACCCATCCCTAAACCGCGAGAATCCGGGCATACCCACCGATTGTGTTTATCGCTCATGAAGTATGCTTTGAGCAAGGGGTTGTGGATGAGAGCTTGCAGGATGGCGGAAAGGAAACATGTCTGAGAGAGGTTGAGCAAAGGTCGAAGGCCTGAATATCAGCTTCGTCATTTTGACGTCTGACTACCCGAGATAGGAGACTTTAATGGAGGCTGGAGGTGGGAGACGAGAGACGGTTGTGGACTCACCTCGACAGGGCATCCGAGTTGAGTCGGACTGGGAAGACTCGACCCAGGGGTGATAATGAGCTCTTTTCCTTCCTTTGCCAGAGGGCAAACCGGCAGTCTGTTGAGACAGATCATTATCTTCCTCTAGACGTAGTAGGGTTTCGTCATATATCGCAGAGAGGGACTCGAGGTAATGTGTGTCGTCACATATGCTACATAACACAGCTCCGGTCACAGAATCCACCGCTGAATGTCAGTCTCATCACAGATATGTTGAATTCTTGGTGGCAATGGGATAGATCTGATAAGGTGGCTTATAGGAAGAGAAGGATGGGACCTACCAAACAGACAATCATCAGATTCGGCGAAATGATCCTCAAAGCATTGTCGGGGAGAGAGGGAATAAGCGCCCATGCAGCCGACAAACGAGCATGTGAGACAAGCCCAAGGTCGGGAAAGGGGTGAAGAGCAGGCGGTGCATTGGGGAGAGGTCATCTGATCGAGTCAGCTCAAATGTACTGATTATGAAGGTTGTAACTACCTGGCGTCGTTTCATACGTTGTGATGTGGCCCCTCGACGAACAATGTGACGATATCTCTGAACCACCTCTTTGCTCTTGGACGTCAGTCAATTATGGATTGAGAGGAGGGACTGCACTCACCTGAGGACCTGATACCAGACCTGCCAGTTCTGAACATACGGCCATGTCTGCCGCCGAGCTGGGACCTGCTAACATGATGTTGTATTGGCGATGTACGGTAAGTTATAGAGACATTTACTGCAACACTTTGAGCTTTGAACGGAGTGGCACGTGACGTCAGCCCACGTGAGTATCACAATATCCCTTCTGACTTTGAAAGACCACGTCATGCTCCTTCCTCCATTTCCCCTCCCACGCGTCCGACGCGACTTTCGACATCCATCGACTTTCCTTGCAACATACTGTAATGTCCCAATTGAATCAACCTCATAATCCCTTGCTTCACCCACCCTTCTATCTCATCCCAGGCATATCTCCCAACTCTCCCATCTCTCAACAGATAGAACAGATCGATCAACTCAACACGCTACTCCTCCAAGAGATCGATGCCAATTTCGCTCGGTTTCATCAGATCGTGACGACGAGGGTTTTGCCAGAGATCAAACGGTTTGCCATTGCTGGAGAACCTACTCGAGATGCTGCCAAGGTGGGTTGTCTTGTTTCTCTCTACCCATTTCATTCATACACGGTTCACCTTGTGTGTTCTTGAATAAAGAATCCCGACGGTGGAATGTGAAAGGTTGTTGGTTTCGAAAATGAACCGAGACCGAGGAATGAGTCATTCCACACAGAAGAGAAGTGGGGAAAATGCAGGAGCCAGTGATATATGTTCAGAATGGTCTCTAAGCTGACCCACAGTTCTGGCGTTCATTCTTCGAAGCTGCAGCTGCAGTCCGTGCTACACCTTCTTCCGACTTATCAACATTATCTCCTTCCAATCATTCTCATCAAGCCTCTTACACCTCACACGATCAATCCCTACCTGAAGATTCATATGCCGACAATACGATAGATGGTTCTTTCATGTTTCAAAATGGACTCGTAACTTCAACTCCAATGGCGAACGGTAAAAACGTTCACAGACAAGGTCCTTCGACCAGTTGGGAAGCTTCTATCGAATCACCTTTCGATTCCATCGATAGAAGGTTACGTGATGATTTAAGACTTTCAGAAGATAGAAGTGATGAAATGACAACTCCTTCTTTACCTTCTGGATATTCACTTCCTACACTTGAAAAACCTGATCAACCTTCTCCTGAACAATCTTCAACTGAAGATACACCCACACCCAAAGCTGAGAGAATAAGGACGAATCCATTTGGTCAAAAATGGGATGGAATTGCAGATTTACGTTCAACACCACTTACGGCTGGGAAAATCAAGAAACATTCATCAAAGACGGAAATGGGAAAGAAAGAAAAAGATAAGATCGGACAATTCGATTGGGAAGAAGAAACGGATGATGATTTGAAATTTAACATGTCACCTCCTGTCACTATGACATTTGGAGGTTTACCACCACGTGTACAAGCTGCCGTTAAGATCAGTCAAACACCTAGAAAACCTAGTGCTCAAAATAATCAAGATAAAGAAAACGCGATGATGATGTTGAATGATCTAATGGAGGAGATTAACGAAGTTTATAAGCCTTCACCGCGTATGTCAACTCCAGAAGGTTTGAGAAGATATTCAGTCGTACCTCCTAATTCTCAAGGTCGACAACTCTTTCCTAGCACCACAACAACATCAAATCAACCAACAGACAAGTCGAGGTTGTCAGAAGGGAGGATGAAATATAGGAAATCGTTGGCAGGTGATACCACAGCAGGATCGGTCATGATGGCCGATGGTATTTATACGGATGAAGATTCAGATTTAGAGGATGAAGGCGGTTCTTTCGATACTATCTCTGGTCCTTCCATCGTATCACACGATCAACAAGGATCAGGCGTTATGGTAACGTACGACGATTCATTTTCTCTACTAGAATCTCCACCTCAATCAGGTGCGTATCAGTATCATACGGGTACTGCATCTGGGACAGAGGGTGAAGATGTTAATATGGTTTTTGGTGGACCTAGAGCTGGGGCGCAGGAGAAATTCGAATTGAAGAAAAGGGAGGAGATGAATACTTACCATGGTGGGAAGTTGGAAGATGCGGCAGGGATGGATGTTGCTACTAGTCCTACGGCTGCTTTGGCGAGGAAATGAAGTTGAGCTCCACATTGTAGTGTTCCTTTTACTATGGATCTATGCTTGGTCTTTGGCATAATTTAGCGTAGTCGTGAGGGCCTGCTTGTACTTATCTCTATCAAATTTATCAGAACCAGCATCAGAGCAAGGTGGTTAAATGCGTGACGAGCAGCTGAGAAGAAAGGATGCAAGTGATACATCAATGCAGATCTATCTAGTGTACAACTCGAGACATTCACACCATCTGTCAAGGGGGCAATATACCTCTTCACAGAAGATAATACTCGGGAAATACAACATCACATTGTCTCTCCTCTCAACCTTTCACCCCTGATCACTCACTCTTCCTCTTCTCCCTCCAACGGAGCATATTCGTGTTTACCCCTAGTGAACCACCACCATCCCACGCTGGTAGCAGTGATGATGAGCAACACACCGATACCTGATAGTGTGACCACCAGCCATCCCCAACTGCGAGTCAGCTTACATTGACACTTCACCATCCCGTAACCTGATTTGACACCGAAGCCCTGCTCACGACTGATCAGAAAGACCGAGACGAGTGTTTATCACGTCGTATCTCCCTAGGTGACATGGGAACATCCATGGGATACGCGAAGAAAGATGGCTTATGATAAAGGACAAAGTGTAAAAGCACTGACCGAGAGAACCAGCTAGGTTCATAAGGTAACAAAACCCCATCAAGCATCACGACCCCTCCACCTAAGGTCATTCCTCCTTCCCACAACCTATCTCTCTCTTGTCCATCCTCCTCCTCATCATCATTCTTTTCTCGTATAAACTCCGCCCTCACATTGATCTCCTTTCCATACTGTTTTCTCCATCTCACACTTGCCCTTCCACTCTGACCTATCCTCGCCGCTTCCCCACTCACACCGTTCGAGCTACGTGCGTTTCTTATACCCACCAGAAAACTGTTATCCCCCGTAGCGCGGAAAGCTACTTCTCCGTACTTGCTTTCCCGTGTTAATAATGTAGCATACACCGCATCATCGTCCAAGGCCAACGGTCTGCCATCCCTAGGTTGTCCTTCCACTGACTTTGGTCTGTCCGCCCGACCTAACATGGTCTGACGCTGGGTTGGGATGATATGAAGTTTGAGAAGTTTACGTAGCTGATCGGGATTTTGAAGATAATAAGTCATGTTGAGCCTCGAGAACGCTTTATCTGTAGGACATAGCAGTGTGTACGCTGGCATTGCTAGGGAATATTTTTCGGCCGATTCATCGTCCGGAGAGTCTTCAAGGGGCGCCGGACTGACAATCCCTTCTAAACCTGCGGAAACAACTTCTTTATCAGTCGGTTCACGTCCTTGAAGAATCCAACCCATGCCACTTTTCACCAGCAATTCAGCCATAGTGGTTTGTTTGCTGCCCCTGACGAGTTTCCCAATGTTTATGTCGATATCCGCTGGCATCACCACTTCGTCGATGGTATGTATCACTCCGGTCTGCGTGAGAGCATCGATACCGACAATTCTGGCCGGTCGAAGCTCTCCATTCGCCGGAAGATCTTTGCCAGAATCGTGATCTTGCCATTTCGTGGGTGATTGGAGATATAAAGTCATATTGTAAATCCGATTATTCTCGTTGTCGTCATGTTCAGGAGTCTCGGAACTCGACTTGCTAGTCCGACGTAAGATGATCTCTCCTCCTTCGAGTGTGGGGTATACTTGACGGCCAAGTTCAAGATCAGGCGTGTAGATGATTTGTTGGATCATATGATATTTAACCAATTTCCGTAGTTCATCTTTCCCCTCGGATAGAAGGAGGTACTTCATCGCTAGACCGAGTGCGCCAAAAGCGCGATTGCGAGGGATGAAGAGTGTCGCGGCCGGAGTATGTTTGACGTATTTGTCCAAATCGGCAGCGTAGACGGCGGCGACAAAGGTGGATAGTTGCAAGTTTGAGACAGCGGTCTGAAGAACGTCATCAGGCGGAGCAAGAAGTTTGGAAATGAGGTAGATGATGCTTTTGCCGGATTTGACTGAGATCAGCTCTCGACCTCAGTCCTCGCCACAGCAAGCGTTGCGCTGAGCCCGGAACAAGGTCAAGAACCGGGTGCAGAGTAGGTGTACGGAGACTCACCAGGCTTCCCCACTACTGTGGCTCCTCCGAAGCGTATTTCTCCCTCTACTTCTTTCCACTTGCCTCCGATCTCTCCAAGGGTCTCGGAAACATCTACCCTTAACCTTTGTCGCCCTCCGGACAAAGCCGTGGTACGCAGCTCAGTGGCCAGCAACATTCCATCCTCCACATCTTTTGGAAGCAAGCGACCAGGTAGGATATGATATTGCAACAGCTGAGCCAGAGGACTAGCATCATGCAAAGGGTCGCATGCTGTGATTTTAGGGGTCCCTCCATTCCATTCGTCAAGCTCAAGCACGTCGTCTGTTTCAACGGGCTCGCCACAACTGGCCGACTGTAGACGTGTGAGTTGAGCGATGCTTCCCCATTTATCCAGAGACTCCAAGACTTCATCTGTGGGGGCGAGAAATGTCCATGCTTGGTCGTTGCCTTCTTTGCCAGGTTCACCGACGTAGGTCGAAGAAAGGTTCGCCGATCTTAACAGTCCGACAAAACGTGTGGCATTAAGTGATACTAGCATCTTCTCAGCGGAATTGAGAAGAGTGAAATTGTCGGGCAGTAAAAGTGTTGGAACGATATGTACAACACCTGCTAATCAGATATGGACGTCTTGTAGATAGCGACTTACCATTTGATGCAAATATATCCACAGCGTCTGTGGTGGAGGTTGTCGAGCCATTGACGATAAGACTGCCATTCGAGGCAGAAGCGATTGAAATGTTTTGCCCGGAGATGGCCTGGACTAATTCTATCAGTCCACACCTCATAATGAGAGCTGGTCATGTTGCTCACCCTGCCGAGGCTTTTCATCCCATGTGTCTGCCCAGCCGACACCATTCTTGACTTCCAGTATCACACCACCAGCCACCACCCGTCCAACGCCCTCTGCTCCGAAATCGGACTCCAGATATCCCTTCTCGAGGTTATCCAATGTAGAGCTGAAAGCATCGTTACTGGGTGCGAAAACAGTCAAGTGAGGTGTGTTGTGCAAAGAGTCAGGTAGAGGGGCAGGAAGATCGGGTGGAAGCAGTCGAGATAGGTACGATAATTCAGGTCGAGTTCGAATGATCTCATCTTGAAATCAGCTTCTCTACCTCTCCTCGCCTGTACTATGAGAACTGACCGATAGACGCGGGCATGTCCAACACTCCTTCAACACCGATGACCACACCATTTTGAACCCATCGAATCCCCTCGTGAGGTCGATCACTCCGATCCTCGACCTCGGTGTTGTTGTCCTCTTTCCACCCACTTCCGTCCCACACTTCCACACCTCCACTTCCGTTCCAATCAACTCCCACTCTCCCTCGTTGTCCTCCTGCCTCAGATTTAGCTTTTGCCACACGAAGTCTCTGTCCATGTCCCGCTAACAAACCTTCTCCTCCGCGAGGCAGCCAGGGAGGACCAGGCTCAGGGACGGGTGGCAAAGGTGGTTGTGATAACATGGGGTAAAGAAGGGTGGTTTCAGTGGTTATATTGTGGGAGGTGGATTCATTGGCTAAGAGGTGGGAAGGGGGTAAGGTGTAGTTGAGAAGATGGTAAAGGAGGTGTTGTCTCAATGCCCAGTTATGATTATCCATGGCGACCTCCCCCCTGATATCCCAGAATCCTCCAGGCGCATCTTCCGGGATCTCCTCTTCATGGAGCTGACTAGATAGGATATTATGATTTTCAGAGATAGCGGTCTCATCTTTGTTCCACTCATCCAGCCCTTCGTGACCCAACCAGCCGAATGCCCTCGTATCTGACGTATCAGGCCGATGAGCCTTCGCCCATTCATCCCAAGCCTTGTTGGTAGGTGCGAAGATGGTCGCATTGGCCATATGAGCCAGCATGGGTATACATTTTGCCCGTTGTAGTAATCGAAGGAAGGTGGTGTGTTGGTCGGATTGAGAGAGAGCTGAGACGATGGTGACGGATAGGGTGGTGGGAGGTGCGGCTAGGTCATCAGCTAAGATGATTCGAAGTGACGAGTGACTCACCTTGTGTGATCGTGCCAGCTGGAGGTGAAGAGGAAGATGAGTGAAGAGTTAAAACAGGAGTGAGGGGGTTGTCAGGAAAGGAAAGGGGTCGTTGCTGAGCTGAAGCCAGAGATACCAGCCAGAGGAGCAGGACCGGTCTGTACCACATGATGCTGTTGTACCTCATCCTCATATATTATCCTCCTCCGACGGCCAGCAGAATCGGCAGATATGTATGCTATTGATCCATTGAGGCCAGATGGTATGAGTGATAGCGTATGCAGTGCACGGCAATAATAATGAGTTGACGGGATATGTAGATGTATAGAGAGACGAAAGGAGAAAGGAGAGTGACGGCAGCGTCCTTGTTACAGTCACGTGACCGTCCATGTACCACTCAGCGTTACTAAGTTACTAGAGTAGAGTGCGAGTACGAGTACTCGTACTCTACTGCATGTCCTTGTACAGCTGTCAATCCACTCTGGGCTCCCGTGTTTTCAGCCAGTGACGGTAGCCAACATGCTCTACCCTAGATCATTCCTCTCAATTCAAACATCAGTACCACTCCCATCGTCAAACCTGCCAACATCCACACACCCCACTTGGCTTGTCTTCTGTCCCCAGCGTTCTGCCATGTCGCTTTCGTACCTCCGGTCGCAGCGATCACATTCGTCCCCGTAGCCCATCCAGCAGCGTTGTTGTTCGCTTGACCAACAACATCCACGCCACCAGTAGCCGTGGCTGGAACGGTCTCTCCATCGCTGAGATGAGTCCAAGCGTTCCCAGAACCCTGATCACCACTTCCGTTCCCGTTCCCGTTTCCACTCCAACCAGAACCAGAGTTGTTGGTGGAACCACATGTGTTGCAAGATCCGCTACCTCCACCGACGGTCGTCATGGTTCCAGTATAGGTCGAATCGTACGCGATACCGGTTGAGGTCACCCACATGGAGGTCAAAGTCTCAGTGATGGGGATGACGGTTTCGTATGTCGTACTCATGATCAGAGGCGTGGGTTGGTAGTGGACCACATAGACGGTACCTTCTTGGGTCACTGTTTCTGTCATACTGACGGTCTGAGTCGAGTATGATGTGATTGTGGTGGAGTCGGTCACATAGACGGTGCATGGGATTGAAGTGACGATGGTGGTGGTGATGGTTTGAGCGGTCAATGTCTCTTCGCCACCGCTGCAGGTGTCACAACGTTCTTTGATCCGGTCAGCTGCAGTGGGGACAGGGAGTGGCGTGGGTGGGACGTTAATAGGTGCTGGACGAGATGGAATGGGTGTTTGAAGGACAGGTTGTGCCGATATGAGAGGAGGAAGGAGAGCGAGGAAGGGAGTGAGCAATAATCGAGAGGTGAGGAACATGGTGATGATCCAAAGTTGTGTTTTCGAGGTCAGTGATTAGTAGTTTTTAGTGCAATGAGTGAGGTGTGTCGTCAGAGGGTTGTCCCGGTGGACTTATGAGTAAGGGACAGAGGTGTTTGAAGGTAAAGTGGTGGAGAGATCGATGATCAGAAGATGAATTTAGGGAGGTCGGGCTTTAGATGGTTCGAAGGGTCGTGAAAGTCGTGAATGGTGATAGGGGTGTAGAGAAGAAGGCGCTCGCTCAATCATTCTCTCAGGCCTTTGCCTCTCCATCAATCATCCAGAATTCGGCCGATGCAGCCAAACGAAACGCCGACCCCGCTCGGAGGGTCAAAGGATCGTACACAATGGCGAGTTTGACGTAGGACATTCGGGTCAGGCAAGAAAGGACACTGGATCTCAGACGAGTCTCGGCTTGATCTATCCCCGCGCTCCACATCAATTGTCTCTTGGCGTATGCTTGGTTCGCAGACAATGGTTCCATGCCAGATGTATGGTATGATCTATTTCTTCTGCTCCTTGCTCTCTTCCTTGGGTGGGGGTGGAGGTGGGATTTTGAAATTCTACTCAGATCAGCCGGGGCACATTTGATATTTCAAAGTACGTACCTCTGGGCGAACATTGGGGTCGCCTGAGCCGACTTGCTCCCAAGGAGAGGCGGCGTCGGCGAAGTTTCTGCACCGTAAGTCTCTAGTTGTTCGATGACGAAGACGGTATTCCAGACTCACCTGAACGCCTGTGTGAGCTGCAAAGGTTCGTATATAACTCTCTTTTTCTCCTCATCGTAGCGTACTTCAGAGTATCCCTAATCATCAGACTGCATATTCCGGTTAACTTGCTACTACTCACAGTCAATGGAAAGTCTTTCCGTAGAGGATGTCCCTCGAAACCTGCGAGCCATCAGCGACAGATCGGTAGTCATAAGACTGAATGGGCCAGACTGACCATAATCTGTGAGGATACGTCGGCTGTAGTTTTTAGCTAGGTTCTTTCGTAGAATCAGGGCAGACTCACAGATCTGGATGACCACTGAAGAAGACTCCATACATGTCCCAGACCTCTCGTTCGTACCAGTTGGCACCGCTGTAGATACCCACAGCGGATGGTACAGGGGTGACTTCGTCGGCATAGGTTTTAACTCGAATCCTGGATTGATGTTCGATGGAGAGGAGATTGTATACCACCTGAAAGATGAGCGAGAATTCTTTCACCTGCGGAACGGACGATTCGTTCCAAGTGCCTGAACGTAAATGGAACAGGGGGAATGCGATACCGCCTAGACTCACTTCAAATCGCATAGATCTGGTGGGATAGTCGACAGCGGTGATGTCCATGACCTGCTTATACTGACATTGCTGATGATCCCTCAGAAAAGTGAGCACGGGGATGACACCCGATGGTGGGATGTAAATTGTGAGCTCGTCTTTCCAGACGGAGAACTGCTGTATGTATTTGGGAAGACATGTGAGGAGGTATTGACCATAGCGATGAAGAGGAGAAGATAGAGATGCAGTCTTTTCTGCTGGGTTGATACCAGTGGGTTCGGGGAAAGGAGCTGTGGAAGGCTCAGCTGAGGGTTATCAGCCGGGGATACATATTCCGAGAAGCAGGAACAACTCACGGGCTCTGGATGTGGCTGAAGATCGGAGGGTTCGAGTGGAGAGCAATTGTGAGAGAGGATGATGTCTGGCCGATCTGAGGGGAGTACGCAGGGATACCAATACCGCTCTCAAGGTCATGGTGGGTGGTGGTGGTGGTGGTGGTGGTGGTGGTGGGGAGGGGGCAAGTCAAAGTAGGGGGATTTGTAGAGGAGACCGATGCCACATACTAAACGGTCAGACGGAGTTATCGGCGTTATTGTCGCCACCCGTGCGAGGCAACCTGGTCACAAGTCTGTTCTGCGGAGAGGACCAGCACACTCGTACCAACTTGCTACTTGACTAGTCACTCTGCTCATAATACTACTATCGAGACCAAAATCAAACACTACTCTTCCCTTGATAGCTTTGCAGCTTATCTCGCAGCATACTCGTGCCCTCTACCTCATATCCCCTCTGTCTCGCCCCTACGAGCTCGCGTCTTTCTCTACCCATCTTTGCCTCCCTCGCCTCCCCTCAGCCACACTCACTCGGCTCCTTTGACGCTCGCTGCTACACGTCTTCCTCTTTGGTTTGACCTCAGATACTTAGCAACTGACTCCTCCCATACCCGGATACACTCCCGAGGAACCAATCGTATCCACCAGAATTCATCATCTTGTCGTCCCGATGTGAGTACAACTCATCTTCCCTTATCCGCGCATAACCTTTGCATCCCGTGCTGACCTGCAGGACCGCAAAATGACAAGTTCGCCAATTCAAAATCATGTTATCGACCATTCAACCGACCAGCCAGCCGTGAAGAACGAAGATGTCAAGCTACTAGCCGAAACCATCCCCAAAGAGCCCGAGATCCGCAAGATAGCAGAGCAAGACGCTGTCATTGAGCGTTTGGAGCGCTTGAATGAGGACACAGAGCTGAAAGAGTCTATAGAGCACGCCAATCAAGTATTGAATTCGGTGGAAGTGGCGAATAGCGAAGATGAGGTGGACGATTTGGTCGGGGAAGAGAATAAGTCACCTCAAGAGCGTACCGATTCGCTTGCGGCAGGAGCGGTCGAAGAGGCCGACACAACTGCCCTGCCAGATCTCACACGGGCGAACATGCAGTATGCAGTCTCTCCCGTCGCCATCGTCATCAACGTCGGTGATTCAAGCGGAGCTGGGCTCACACCCGATCAGAGTGTCACCCACGAGACGGGGTTGGCGGTACCTGCATCGATATCCGGCAGTACCTCCGAACCTGACGGTCACAGTTCTGAAATTGAACATGTCGATCCTCTCCATTCTCCAGCCATATCAATCCCTGTCATTCGCCCCACGACACCCGCTTCTAGAGACTCTACTCCTCCCCTTCCCGCCTCTGCCATTGCCGCCAAGAAGTTCAGCTCCATCAATGTCAATAAGAGGTTTCTCAGTAAGACTGCGAGCCCTGCTCCGGGTCCTGGCACTTCTGGCGTCAAAGCCGCTTCTCCTATCCCTATCACAGCTCCGTCGAAACTTTTATCAACAAAGCTCACCACTGTTCCTCCATCCAAATCTGGCGTTTCACCGAATAACACTAGCTCGGCTGGCGGCTCGGCGGGAAGCTCCCCGTGGGCCAAAAAAGCCATACCACCCCCTTCAGATCCTTCTCAGTCTACAATAACGTCAACCCTACATCAACCCGCCCCGATCAGAGGACGGGCTTTAGGCAGCATGTCTAGCATGGCAATGGGCACCGGGCATGGCATTGGTGGCAGTGCTCGGGCTGCCTGGAGAACCCTGTCGTCGGACGAATCAAGATCAGCGCTGGGTTTAGCAAGGGAATTTCCTACTGCGAAAGAAGTGGCAGACGGTATGTCATCTACACTGAATTCTGTGAGCTCCGGGCTGACTTTTACTAGGAAAGAAAGCTGCCGTCGTCGCAGCACAGGCACAGGCAGCTCACAATGAAGCTATCCTTCAAGAGCTAAACGTCTTCTCACAGCTCGAGAACACCGGACACAGGTGGGATGTCAGTATCGCCACTCACAGAATCTGGCCGTCTGCTAACTGCCTCAGGACGAGAACGACGACGACGACGTGATCGACTTTGGCGATGGCATGATTGCTCATCACACAGAGCCTTTAGAGCAAGATACTGTAGCTGGACCGACCGCAAAAGCGGAAAGATTTGTGGAAGACTTCGATCGAAGCTGGCCTCGCAAACCCGGGCCCAGTGATCTATTGAAAGCAGCCACTTTCTCGCAGGAGGCGACGGATAAAGTTCTCTTCAACGCGTCATCGAATCGGTTAGAATCCAACCTCGTTCGAGTTCCTCAACAACCGTCGCAACCCCCTCGACTTATGCCAAGACCTAGTGAACCTGTGGGACCCCATATCCCACCTTTGCCTTCAGTCAGTCGAGGCTTTGACCGACAATTGCCTCCTCATCTGCAGAACTCCGGAGAATCAGGACGTATGCTTCCGCCTCACCTTCCTGCTGCATTTACCGATCGGTCCGATGCTCCTGTCCCTCATACACAAGTCTCAAAACCGCAACAGCCGTCCTCCGGACCACCAAGACAAGCGTGGAATGCACAAAGAGAGCCTGAACGTCCCCCTTTACACCTCGGAGATCGTCCTGCCGGATCGAATGTCCCCAGAGAACAGAAAGAGCCTCATCAACTCCCCTTCCCCCCACGGCGTTCATTCTCTCAGCTTGCAGGCCCCCCAGGCCCTCCTCCTCCAGGTGTCGGCCCTGGCTCTCACTTACCCCATCCGCCTCAACCCCCGCCCCGACCCGTTTTACCCGCTGCGCCCGTTCCGGATCCCAGTTTCGATCAGGTTGCAGAGATGCACACCGCGGCGGAGAAGGCAAGGTTACGTCGGTTAGCTGAGGAGCAGGAGAGAGAAGCCGCCGCAGAGCGCGCTCGACAAAAGGCGAAAGAATTAGAAGAGAGGCTCAAGGCGAACTCGACATCAAATACAGTAGAGTCACCCACTATATCGAATGCTGTCCCTCCAGGCATCGGCAAAGCTCCTCTGACATATACAATCGCACAGCGGCCCAAGCCTGCCCCTGAAACCAGGCGGCCTACATCGACCAGCCCCGCAAATAACACGATCAGTCTACCCGTCAAACCTAATGGTGACTCTGCTAGATCAACAGAAGTCTCTTGGCGAACCAAGATGCAACCACCTGCAGCGATTGAAGACTCACAATCACCTCCGTCACATCCCACACACAACCCTCTTATATCTTTAAACCGCACTTCCCGACCGACTGCCGAGTCATTCTTCAATAGCAAACCGGAACCTGCTGCGCGATTACCTGACACTATCACTGCGAGTCGTCCTGCTGTACCCACAACCAGCGTCGTTGCGACATCGACTGTGCCTGCGACCGAAGAGCTCGCTCTCAAAGAGGCCATTCGTCGGGCAGGTGAGACACCTTTGACAGAGAAAGCTACGCCAAAGCGTGACTTTGATGATATGCTGAGCCGAATAAAGGCTGCGATGGAGCAAGCTCGGACAACTCCGGCCAGAGAACAAAGTGTCAAGCTTGCTTCCAACTCCGATGCGACCTTGGATGTTCATCAGTCCGCGCTTGCTGATAAGACTCGACCCAGTGGAGCGTCTGCTTCAGTGGGACAAGCACCAAGGATACTGGAGAAGCCCCCAGCGCGGATCGAATTTTTTGACGTTACCCAGCCCCAACTCCCTGTCCTACCGTCGTCCGCTTGGCGTACATACACTGTAAGAAATCCTCCTCCTCAACCTGCCAAACCTCCAATCCCTCGATGGCGACTGCAAGCATTTCAGGCACCTTTGCAGCGTCCGCCTAAAGGATGGCTCATGTCTTTCGACCCACCTGTCCTCGCCTTGGATTCTTTCGCCTTATCACTTTCCGCATATCTCCTTCCTCCTCCCCCTCGTCACTTGGGTCGACCAACTGAGGTTGTAGTCAGTATATCTCCTCGAAGACTTGAGAAATTTGAAAGGAAAGTCAAAAAGAAGATAATTGTACCCCTGAAGGGCGTTTCACGATCCGACATGGGAGACGCAGTCTCACGAAGTTTAGCCGACACATTATTACCTGCAGCGAAGGTTGCCACCACGGCTGCATCTTCGGTGCTCAAGAGTCAAGCCGTTCGCCCTCCCAATGTCGATAGTAAGAGCGCTCCAGCCCGGGAGTCAACGAACGTCACTCCTGTCCCTTCTGCAGGATTACCGGTCAAGGCTTCTGCGGCTGCAAAAGCTGAGCGCGAAGGATTATTCAACGAGGGTGTGGGAATCAAAGATGACAAAGTACGTCGGGCGTCAGATTCAAAAGCAGGAGTGAGATTCATGGTGTCTTCGGAACTTGAGGGTGATTCATTGCTGGATGAAGTGAATAAGATGTCGCTCGAGAGTGTGGGAGAGGGATTGGAAGTCAACAGACCGGGTCCTGGTAATATCAAAGACGATGTGATCGAGAGAAGACGCGAGATTGGGGAGATCATTCGTCCAAACCTGTCACACGTCTCACAGCCAGCGCCATCCACTTCGACACATGCTTCGTCCTCTCATCCTTCGATATCACCTGGCCGATCCAACTCTGGTCCCTCTCAGGCTCAATTGCAGCCAGGTCATCAACCTACGTCGGCGATGCAAGGGCAACAACAATGGATGTCTCAACAAAGACGAGAGCACGTAAAGAGTGTCTGGGATCAGGCAGAAAAACGCAAAGCATCCGATCCGAATCATCCAGACAGCAACAACCCTGTCCCAAAAACCACCTCTCAAGTTCAAGATCTGTCAACGCCTCTTTACCCCTCACTCAATGCTCCCTCTTCTGCCGATCCGCCCAATGCACCATTACCGAACGTAGGGACGAGTGTCAAAATGGGTTATAGCATATCAGCAAGTAGTAATCCTACTCCAAATCAACATCAGACCACTTCCAGTTCATTCCAACCTACGACCACCACGTTCCCAACCATTCGATCACAAGGATATAATTACATGTCTCCCCCCACTCCATCCGTCTCCAGTCTTGCAGGTGTTCATACGGCAACCACTGAAAATGCCATGGGGTTATATCCCGGTAATCGTCCGGCGAGCGGTGCGAACGGATTCACCAATCAACCAGGTCTTTGGTCAGGTTCGACTTTCGCCTCGCCGGCAAATGGGGCGTACGCATATGGTCGTCCTGGTACGGATCAAAAAGCTGCGATGGCATTTGGGAAGGATTATGGTTATCCGAATGTTTCAAATATTCAGAACGTTCAGAACGGTGGTCAGAATTCACATCCGACATTGGCACCGGCGCAGGGTCAGGGGTATCCGAGAGGATTTCCAAACTACGGTTATGGATATTCCTCTCAAGCCACCGCTCAGACTCAAGGTGGGATAGGAAGGTTCAGTGTTCAGACTACACCGGGACATGGTGAGAACCCTTCTGGGACAGGCGCGGGGATGGTGAACGGTACTTCTGGCATAGATTACATGTATGGTTCGGTGGATAATACTGGTGGGTATTATGGAGGTGTACAATATCAAACTCAACAGACACAAGGACAAGGGCAATATGTCACTTCGCCCGTGAGAGCGCAAGCGGGGAGAGGTGCGCCAACAAGGAAGATGTGGTGAGATGGAAAGGGGATAGATGTGGGGATGACGTGATGAGAAAAAAAGGAATGACGAGTTGATCTTTTGAGTCGTGACACATGTCTGTTAGGTGATATGACGATGAATCGAAATCATCGGAGAAGAGACGAATGGGCCAAGAAAGGTAGAGATTAGTTCGTTGACATTTGGTACATAATTAGTCATTCCCAGTTTATGAAAAGCTGAGGTTGGGTATTTGCATTTTGCTGAGTAGCCATGTGCATTGTTTGCATCTAAATACAACAAATCCTACTGTATCTATGCAGAGAGATGCGCCAAGAACTGATGGATTATTAACTGAGATAGACCCGTTGGGTGAGAAGAGGTTTACTATGTCTCGCTCCGAGATCGCAGAGGATACGAAAAGCCGCCATGTCGACCCTGGCTTTGAACACGACGAACACTGATATTAGTTTTGGTTCATCTTATGACAATGAGTTCAGATTGCATCTTCTCTTCCATACAACCTAATAGACATGTTTAAGCCACCTAACGGCTAAGCCATCAAGTCAAGATCAAGATCAATATCTCCCTCCACATTGACTGAACCGGGTGTATCAACGACTGAACAACCAAACAGAGAAAGAAGGCGAGATATGACAATGTAAGAGGGACGCACCGTGAGTAGGATCATGATCCGCATTCCCTTCTGCTTCTTGACACATGTCGAACCCTGCGGCACAATGAGCACATCGAAGCCATATACCTCTTATTTGATCAGAATGTATATCGCATAATGTCTCTTTATGTACCAAGTGACGAAGGTACGAAGTGGGATCATGAGGATCTATGACTGATCCTGATGGAACGTCACCCACACGAGATTTGTACAATCTTGGAAGAAGAGGTCGTGGAGAAGTCAGGGGGAAATGAACGGGACGATCAAATTTGAAGAATACGTGAAAAGGGTCATGAACTCTGTAAGAGCGAAGTTCACATATTGAACACTAAGAGTGAGTAAAGAAGATAAACTCTGGGGTTGAAATTTAAGACGACGTACTAGGTTGAAAGACATTGGTTCAGATGGACAATTGGCACATTGATATCTTCTTCCCAAGATCCATTCGTTACAATTACTACATCTACACCCATGATCTAATACATCTCTTGCGGAAGATCTCCCTTCGTTACCGTTCAGTCCACTGAGGCCATTCCTATCCATCACATTGTTTGAAATCCCTCCGTAGACTGTCTCATTTGTCGGTGAAGGTGATCTTGAAGAAGTTGACGTTGTCGAGTCAGATCTTTGCGCAGCTACAGCAGATGAATCTTGTTGGAACCATCTATCCCTCGCCCGTCTACTCACTGCTTCCACCTCTGATGATGCTAAAGGAAGAGGGATTTTCATCATGATATGATCAGCCGTATGACCACCATGTCCAACGGTCACCACTCCTTCGCATTGAATACACAAGTCCCATGAGGGACACACCGCACAATGAAATCTGGGACCGACGATATCTTGAAGACAATTGTGACAGAACGCCCCTGGATGACGCACCAGTTTGGATGAAGCGACATTGACTGGATCTTGATTCCTGATATCCACTTGCGGAGGATAAGACGTTGACGACTCAGCATTAGGGAGGGATTTATCGGGGAGAGAGAGAAATACATGTGCAGGATGTATTTCGCCAACCTTCTGATGACACGAACGGCAGAGGTCGAATTTGGAACAAGAAACGCATTTGAATCGATCGGTGATGAGTGGAGTTCGACACATGGTACACTCGCTATCTTCGTTGTACTCCACATCCGACCATCCCTCTGCGGTCCAAATCTTTTCTCGGAAAGTATGTCGAAGTTTTGTCCCTGATCGAAGACGAGAGCCATTCAAACTTCCAGCCTTGGGTGCGGCTTTGGCATGCACCACGCCATGAGTTTCGATGCATGTCGAGCAAAGCTCATATCCTACAGGCTGAGAGAGATCACCGGCATCCGATCCGGGAGGGGAATGTGATGCTTGAGTTGATAAAGAATTACTCCTCTGTCTCGGCTGAGCCGTCGTTTGATATACTGTTCGAGAGCCAGTGGAATCGTTACCCGTCCTATCTGTCTCGGTGGACCCCTCACTACCGTCGCTTATGCTAAGTACTGGTGGCGTCGGTGGGACAAAAGGTGATTTGCCAGGTGCATTCTCCTTCCACATTTGACCTTCACCGCAGGTCGAACAAACATATCGGATGTATTCCAAGCGTACCCCGCAAGCCGAACAGTCAGGTGCCAAGATGGGGGGACCAGTGGGTTCAGCGACTCTCACAGGTTCCGACGAGAAGGCCGAGCCGGGGGGAGAAGATGTGGAGGCACTGGGAGTGAGAACTCGAGAAGTGGAAAATGGATCATCGGCATCGCCATCAGAGGTGGATTCGGTGGAAGAGTCTTCCGTCGAGTACGAGTAATAGTATCCTGAAAAGTGAGCTAATAATGTAGGATGAAAAGACAAGAACCTACTGCCTTTAGCGTTCCTCTGGAGAGCTATAACCCCAGGAGACTCATCATCACTCCCGAAGCTCTCCTCATCACTGCCATACCGTCTACCACTACCGTTGACTCTTGAGCGAGGGGCTTGTCGTCGAGCCAGACGACTTTGTTCCCTTAGCCATCTACTTCCCAACTCAGAATGAGTCAACAATGGAGGCGCTGGATCGCTCTCTGGACCGGACAAGATTGGGGGTTCACGGATCGAGGCACCTTCTCTGTCCTCCGGGACTGGGAGCGCCGGGTTCAGGCTAAGACCGTTCAGCTGTCGTGCTATAGGGTTTTCACCTTGCGTCGACGATGTCGCACCGCTCCTCGATGAGCTCTCTACCTCTTCTTCAATGACGCCGATAACATCGCCACTACCTCGAGAATGAGCGGTATAGGCACTTGATTGAGTACTGCTGAGCCAACTATGTTGACTGGCATTTTCGTAGCTCCCATGTCCGCTGCGACCGCTGATGATGGAAGAGACATCACTCAAACTCGGACCATCATACTCTACCGCTACGTCTAAACGGACGGTGATCTTTTGAGAAGGAACTCTCGTAATAGACCCAGTATTCGAGTAGACGGAGCCAGCATGGTCGTCGCCAGAGACAAAATAGGCGATGGCTTCTGTAAGGTCGGTGTCGGTCCGTATGGCAAACTCTTCACCGTCATCGTCCGTGTAGGTGAAGTAGAAGGGAGAGGCGGAGAGATGAAAGCATTCTTCGACCTAAAGCATCAGCACTATTGAGTAAGACTTGAAACGGAGACTGACCCTGTTCCGGAGAGATTCAAAGCGAGTGGTCTGAGCAGAAGGAAAGGTGACACGCCTGGTGGTGGACTCGTAGGCGCACCTAAAGGTGATGGGCCGGTCAGGTCGACCAGAGATTATGTGAGCGGGCATGTGGGAGAGGATAGAACGATACGGTAGCGACGGGTGGGTATCATCGAAGAGGGGACCGAGGTTGACTGACTGTTTAGGGCTTGGAGGGGGAGGAGAGACGACAAGGGTGCATGCTGTATGCTGCGGACGTTGCTGTGAGTTCCAAGTGGAGGGGGTCCCACGTGGCTACTCTGGGGCTCCGCATTCTGCGGTCACTCTCCCTCCCTACTACTACTACGTACTATGTAGTTACTACCACCAACACCACTAGGTACTACTTGTTACACTCGCTGTACTCCACACTCTACGAGTAGTACGTCACATACGACACCATGGCGGTCAGAATCTTCCAGAGACTCGCCCGCCTTCAAGCCAGAGGATCTTTGAATAGTCAACAGTTCGTCGCAAAGCCACCAGGTGTCAGGCCCTGGTCTCGAGCGACATTCGCTACTGGGTTTGTCGTGACTACTGCTGGAATAGTCATCTACTTGTATGACTGGAAAGGTGCGTCCTTGTGATCTCTATGTCCAGTCTACGGTTGCTGAATCATTAGATGATGATCACTCTGTTACCGCAACCTTGCACGGGATCATCAAAAAATCTCAATGGCTCATCCATGCCAAATCCGTAGCTTCCCCAGAACCATTGTCGGACAACAAATCTCCCGGGTTTCGAGGTCAGTCGAGCGTACCTTCTGCGGCTAGCGGCTCTCACTCTCAGCTGCGGATAAAATTAACATCCAGTCGATTCAGATTCCTCTATACACTTCCCCCTCCAACTGTCTCTCACTACACCGTCACCACCGTTGAGCCTGGTAGGAGTAGGCGTGCGGAAAGTTTCATTTCTCCGCATTCAAGTCTACTCCGCGGGCTTTTACCTTGATGAGAAGGTGGCGAACAGTTTGCGCAGTGTGAAGGGGTGGAGTGTGAGTGTCGCCTCATTCTGATTTCTCTCCTGACGAGATAGACCTTCACTGCTCAGCATTTACTTACGCCACCTGTCCCCGCGAGCGAAGATTTGGAATCGCCCCGACTCTCAGGGGAGGGATTGGTGAGGACTCTGTTGGACAGTGGAGCGACCTGCGCGGTCAGAATAGGTAAGCAGTCCCTGAACCCTGATATTCGAGAGAATAGCTCATGTGAGACAGTACCGGTCAGAAATACGGACTTTGGGGTGGGTCCAACGCAACCGGTATTTGAGACCGAAGCTCATGGCAGCACCTTCGTGATGGGTTCACCAGGGCTCTGACCGCACGTCAGAAGCTGGCTCGAAAGTCTGGCCAATTGACAGATGCAGATGAAGATGTGAGTCAAAAACTATATTCTCTGAGTTGAAAGAAGCATTCTGTGACAATCTCAAGCTGAACGTTAGCGAGTCGCCGTTTCGATGCATCAATTCAAAACGATATTCCCCGCTGGGTCTGTGCCCAAAGGCAAATCTCTCGTGCTCTACCGCTCTCCATCTGGGTTGACAGTCGAGTACGAGGTCAGTCTTGAGATATTCTGACGGAAGTGGAAATCTAGCTGATGTCGTAGGGAAGAGCGCTGGGTACGGTCAACGACTCGTGGGTGGGAACGGAAATGATGCTGGCATATTTTGCCGACAAGGATGTCATTTCACCCAAAGTAAGCTTGCTATAGGGATTGTGTATTAGCTGACAAAAAGTTGAAAGAAGACGTCGCTAGAGGTTTAGAGGAGAGAATGAAGGGATAAAGGTGGTCGCCTGCCGAGCGTGAGAGATTCCAGCAAACAAGATGGGTAACCTTTCCGCCCAGCGGGATTGAAGCGTCTATCGACCTTTTACCTTACTTAGCTCTGACCAGGGGTTGACAGGAAAGTGGAAACTGCATGATCAAGGGGATAAGTGTACATCTGACGGGAGAATGGAATGCATGCATATCGACAAAACTTGGCTGGTTGGTGACAAGGTATGTTATATGTGACTTTGTTGGAAACCCAGAGAGCATGTTGCAATGACGTCAACCGCCTTGGTGATGGAAATGTCATTTGTAGTTTGCCGCCTGGGACACCTGCGTTGCTGTCCTTTCAACATTATTGCTCCTTTTCACTCCTTGCTTCCATTCATCACAGTGCATCACTGCTCACTGCTCACTGCTCACTGCTCAGTCATATCAGCCACTCTGGCTGACGTCAATGTCGGATCTCACCCCTCGACCCATAGTCACCTCCCCTACTCTCCCCGCTCCCTCCTTGGACGCTCGCTGGGTTCACGCAGGAGCTCAATACCTCGACTTACTACCCACACCCATCACTTCCGCCTCCACCTCTTACAAAGCCTTTTCCCCTTCAGAATCTAAAAGGATAGAGGCCAGATGGACATCACTACCTCTGCTAGAACGTCAGCTGGCCATCAAAGAATGGGGAGCAGCAGAGGGGGAAGGTGCAAGCAAAGTCAAGAAAGAACACGGAAGGAGCGAGAGCACCGCGTCGAACAATGACAAACGTCGATCTTCTTCAAAAGATAGAGAAAAAGATAGAGGCGTGCCGGATGCAGAGGTCATAAGGAGTGGAGAGGAACAACCCACTGATGGAGAGGTGGACGGAGAGGGTAGGTACAGAAATATCATGGCGGATGCGCAGAAAGAGTATGAGAATTTGGAATTGATTGCTGGAGTCCCTGTCAGTCAGGTGAGGTCAAACTTCTATCCCTCCTACTTTCTGTTTCCTGTCACTGTCACTCTTGAAATATGAAATCCTCATAAAGATCGGTCATAAGCCCCCTGAGAGTATGGTCGTGTGACCTGCTTTCGATCACGTTGCCTTCAGGATAACCAAAGTATGTGGCATGTCAGACCATGAGCTGATATTCAGGACTCACTGTTCGAGGTCGACCTCAAAACACTTTCCCTTCATCCAGTCTTCTGGGCGCACACCGGACCCCGGGTGAGTGTCATGAGAGGGACATGGTTCGTGACGGACGAAACAAGGCCTTGCTCCTGGGATCTGGGAGAGGAAATTGAGAGGGGTTATCTAGAGATAAAGCCATGGCTCGTGAGTAAATTTTCTTGTCTCTGTATCATCCCGTATGGCAATTGGTTCGTGCGTTTGACGTACAGCTTCGGAAAATCTTGAGGATTAGGATAGAAAGACAGTTGACCTCAGCCTTCTTACAAGGATGAGTTGGCCGCGGCCACTGCTCTAGGTCCAGCCGCAGAGGAGAAATTGAAATATGCGCTTCCTATCCGATTTGGGCCTGGCTTAGGGGTGATATTTGAAGATGGGGAGAAAGGACGACTCCTCTCGTGAGTCCACAAAACTATACATCACTGATAATCTTCGAGTGACAAAAAAACGCAGCTCGCTGATCTTCTAGAAGTGGTGCTTTAAACTACCTCTCTCGAGCCTTTTGGTCAACACTACGCACAAAACCCTCTGGCACTTATGTCTATCGCGGTTACAAAGCTGCCAAGATGGCTAAAGATGACAAATCGTCCATCAGCAGACGAGGTAGCAATGCCAGTGTCCGGTCACAGGAGAGATCATCTCGAGCCTCTTCTATCATTGACGACAGACTTCAGCCTGAGATAGGTAAAGGAAATCGGACTGGTAGAACAGACGCGCCAGAAAGGTCCTCGCAAGATGATGACGAGAAAAAGGGTCAGTCATCGACAGATTCCGCCGTGTCAGATGCCAAAACTGCAATGAGGGAGGAACGAGAACCTATAGTGGATGCGGATGATAATGATACGCCTTGTACGGATTTGTGTCTAGTCATACATGGTATAGGCCAGCAATTGGCTACCCAGTATGAGTCGTACAACTTTGTGTGAGTATTTGGTTTCCTTGATATCACACAGTCACACTACCACCCACGCCACAATCTCGTTCCAACATGCCATTCTCTCTCAGTACCATATATTATCGTTCCACCTTTTACGGTCTTCTGTTCTGGCTTAGACCTTCGCTGATATCAGCTACGCTGGTAACCAACTTCGTCAGGTTTTGCGGAAACAAGCTGCCAACCCTGCACTGGCATCGATCATCCGAGACCGACGGATACAAGTCCTGCCTGTCCAATGGCGAGCATTGTTAGACCTTGAGGCGGAGAAGACGGCCGAAGATCAGGAGCACGAGATGGACAATCGCTTTACGATGAACGACATAACTATCAACAAATCCATTCCATATGTCCGGGAACTGACCAACGCGGTGAGCAAGTTCGGGCGAGAAGTTGTATCAGCTGATCAAAAGGTTCTTCTTGACATCCCCCTCTTTATGTCGCACCACCGGAGCAAGATGATCGAAGCGGTTTGTCTTCAAGCGAATCGATTGTACAGGTTGTGGATCGCTCGAAATCCAGAGTTTGAGAAGAATGGAAGAGTGCATATCATTGGTCATTCTGTGAGTTGTGACTTCCTTCCTTAGATTTTTCGTAGTTTCATAGTTAGGCTTTGTAGTGTTGGGGCGAGGCTGACAAGCAGCTCGGTTCTGCCCTCGCCGCTCACATCCTGTCGAACCAGTCCACCAAGATGCCTAACATGTCTCAACTTCCGAAACAAGTGATAACTCAGACCCGGAATCGATTTCTGTTCAACACCTCGGGCTTCTTTCTCGTGGGATCACCCCTCGGCGTCTTCCTTCACCTTGACCAAGCGCAAATAATGCCACGAAAAGGTCGAGAACGTACCATGCATTCACCCCAGGATGAAGCGTTGGATCGAGCTGGAAAGTTTGGCTGCATGGCGGTTGACTCGATTTACAACATCTTCTACCTCAACGACCCGATAGCGTATACGCTTAACGCTGCTGTGGATGTGAATCTGGCTAGGGAACGAAAGCCTCTAGCTATCACCAGTGTCACTGCGCCTTTTTACACAACGGTCACGGATGGACTGTCTCGATACCTTCCTGCTATTATTGGAGGTGGAGGGGAGAGAAAGCTGTTACGACCTGGTACGATCAGACTTCCGAGTGGGATAGAAATGTCCGGACCGACGGGGGAGGAGAGACTTAAAGGGACTCGAGGGGAAAGAAGGTTTTCAGCTTTGAACCCTCATGGCAATCTGGACTTTTATCTCGCTTCTGCTGGTATGAGCGAGTATCTAGGTGAGTATGGTCCTCCGCGCTGTTACAAGGGTTGACTGGCAGATATGATAACGGCTCACGCTTCATATTGGACGGATCCATCGTTTGCCGCATTCCTGTTGGCAGAGGTATTCTCAACCAAATGGGACCTGATACGGACGGGAATGGGATTGGCGGAGCAAGTGTTACCCCCTGGCACTAGCATATGATATGACGATTGGAGCGATTATACGACCTGTTGCATGTTGCGTGCATCCCATGATTATGTAGATTACTCATACTTGTACATGCAGCCATGCAACCAGAAGAGACATGCCGCATGCCGCATGCCGCGGCCGGAACATGGACCAAGTGACCAAGTTCCGATCCCGTGCCGACCGGCCGGAACATGTCCAAAAGTGACAAACACGCCGAAATTCACGGTCACCCTTTCGACATTTTGCACTCGTCACCATTTGAACGGTCACAGAATACACTCCAATAAAGATGGATACGGGATAACAAATTGGATTGCTGTGTGTCTCAGGGAAAGTCGGAAAAGTAAAACATACATGAACCGTAAAAGGAGACCATGGTTGGAACACTTTTCTTCTTCCGTCCAGTCGTACAACAACCAACCGACCAGTTTCGTTCGATACTAATTCTGGATAGTCCTGGTCTTCACCCTACTCCGCTGAGGCCTTCTTGTAGGTAATAACATCTGGTCACATTCACTGTCTCCAACCAGCGGAATCACATCATGCCTAACATCGATCTTCTTGACACTGCTCAGGTGTCCTCGGTCGTGAAAAGACACAAGGTTGTAGGAATGATAGGGAAAGAGAAGAAATGGGATATCGGAGTTTCTCCATCCGTGGTACGTACCATAACCTCCATCAATCCGTCAAACAACACTGTCTCTCAGCATTGTTTTTCTGTTTCCAACTTGGACCGTCTTCTCTCAAGTTAGAGTGGTCCCATAACCTAACCCCCAAGCCAAACTCCCGAAACCCAATCCGTACCACCCTGGAGCTCATCACCTCTCAGCCTCCCAATCCCATCAACGGTCCTACACGATCATTGATCAACCTCGGCTTAGGTGATCCAACTCATTATCCCCTTCATCCCCCTCCGGAGTGCGCGATCGATGCGATAACACGCACTCTCAAGTCGGGTAAAGCAAATGGCTATCTTCCTGGTGCTGGAAGCCTCCAGGCTAGATCAGTAGTGGTGGATTATCATGAACGATGGGATGGAGTGGCATATGGATTAGAGGATGTTGTTCTGGTATGTTTTTCCTTCCTCTCTTTCCATTGAGAAAACCTACTAATACAGCAGACTCACGGTGTCGGGCAAGGTCTTGATCTGATCTTCTCCGTGCTCATACCACACCAAACTGTCCAGAAATGTAACGTCCTACTGCCTCGTCCAGGGTTTGCACAGTATGCTACATTGCTAGCCAATCTTGGAACGGACGTCAGATACTATGATCTGCTCGAAGAGCAAGGATGGGAAATTGATTTGTCCTCTTTGGAGGATTCCATTGATGGGGGAACAAAGGCAATCATCCTTGTGAGTTTTTTTCCTGTCCATCCAAACCCCTTTTCTCTCCATAAGATTGGCATCACCTCTCTCTCTCTGCTCATGTTCCTACATGATATTGTAAAATACGGTCGTGACAGAGTCAGTGGAGCTGGGCGTCATTCACTGACACTGCAGACGAATCCTAGCAACCCATGTGGTAGCAACTACTCCCGATCCCATCTTCAAGCACTCCTTGATATCGCCGAGCAACACAAAGTCCCCATCATATCGGATGAGATTTATGGTCATATGGTGAGTATTTCTCTCTCTTCCTACCTGCCATCCTCACTGCTACTACACAGAACTCCTGCCCAATTCATTATGGCCGACGCTGATCTCAGACTTGGGACAAACCATTCGTACCGCTGGCCAGTCTGTCCCGGAGTGTACCCATCATTACACTGGCAGGTTTGTCCAAACGTTTCCTAGTTCCTGGCTGGAGATTCGGTTGGGTATGTTTACATGACCCCCTTTGTCTGGCAACGAAAGTTCGAGAAGGGATGCACGTGTGGGCGAATCGCTTCATGGGACCGAACAGTTTGGTACAGGCTGCACTGCCTGATATTCTTGCAACACCGGGGAGTTGGTTCAAGGTAGTCATGGACAAGATACAAGTGGGTTTCTCTTGCGTTTCTCAAATAAGTCTACCTCCTTCCCGACCGCACAATCTCTGGTTGAGTACACCTAGATGATGGTCTGATTGTGGGGATAAAATATGTTAGAGACTTACTCCCAGCTGAACGCTCATATCTTGACCACAGCAATCAACACCATCCCAGGACTATCCTGTGCAGCACCCAGCGGGGCATTATATATGCTTGTCAAAATTGACTCATCTCGTCTCCACATGTCCGACATCGATTTCTGTACCTCACTCTACAGGGAAGAAGCCCTGTTCGTGCTACCTGGCATATGCTTTGAGGCTCCCGGATACTTCCGAGCGGTCCTCAGTACTCCAGCTGATGTCATGCAGGACGTTGCTCTTCGCTTGAGGGCGTTCTGCCATAGACATGGTGGAAAGGTATGCATCTGAAGCGAATGGGTATTCTTGTGAGAGAAATACTAAACCCCTTGATTGACGTTTATCGAACAGTGAAGTGGGAACGAGGTGAAACGGAGATCACCAAGATACGTTCTCACGGAAATACAAGTTGTCTGTCATAGGTCAGCTGACTCGCATACAGGGAATACTGTCTGAAACTCACTATCGCCAACCACATTACCCTGAATGTTAGCTAGACATAACACGGAAGATTTTCGGATGGACTTACCGCAGGATCATATTCACATGTCGCCTTGAAACTCGTCTGCGATCAGCCCACCGTCTGAAACCTCGAAGAAGTGTAGTTTTGAGGGAGAACTCACCCCGTATTTCTCATCGAACAACACCCCAGGGGAACAAGTAGCGATATAACACCCAATTGTCGTTGAAGCTTTCCAGACAACTTGGGTGAAATGACCCGTGGCTTCGGTGAAACCGGGGTTAGACTGGTCATATTGAGCTGGAAATGTCAGTCAGGATCCCACCCGTTCGCTGACCTTGGCGTGGGGGCTGGAAAGATGTGAGAAGAAAACACTGACAAACTTCATTAACCCACATGTCGATCGCTTGTTGCGGTGTGATCCCACCGGATTGACTCGCCATGTTCTCTCCTGAATTCCTAACTTGTCAGCTCATCCTCTGACAAGGGGTCTTCAAACTTCCAACCTCTATACGCAATGATTATGACACTTGCTGGACAAACATAGGGTATATGCCTAACAAGAGAGTAGTAATTCCGACAAGACCGACAACTCACGTATGTAACCCAGCATTGCAATTTTCCGCGTTAGCTTTCGCTCGTTGGACCAACGAATCACTCCATGTCACATTACCCGCTCCATATTTCGTTCTTGCGATATTATGTCCATCCAAGAATGCTTGTGCTTGTTGATCTAACCCCTGAGTTTGTCCCCCGCCGCCGCCGGGGCTGGAAGCGGAAGGGTTTGCGCCGGCGGAATCGGTAGCAGTTTCGGGAGGAGCGACGACAATGGTAGAAGTGACAACGATGACTTGGACCACTCCTGAGGGTTTTGGGATTGTCCTCGATATCGAAGATGAAGATGGGGCAGAGGAAGAAAACATTAAGGAAGAAGAAGTCGAGGTCGAATTGTCGCCTTCTTCATCACAATCCTCTAACAAGATTATATCTGCTGGTGGTTCTTCTTCACAATCTCCAGTCGTCAACCACATTCCTGTTACTCGTCGTTTATGCATTCTCCCATCTTGGTCATATTCTTCAACCTCGTACTCTTCAATCTCGTACTCTTCATCGTAGTAATAATCCTCATCATCGTCAATCTCAATGAAATCGTATTCGTATTCCAGCCAATCGTCTTCGTCGAACCAAGATTCACCATCAGTGTTCAAGTGGGCATCCGCGGCTAGTGCGTGTTGTAGGACAGGTACGAACGTTTCTACAGGTCGGGAGGGTAATGTCTTCGAAGGGCTGGAGATTTTATGGGTGGACAAGGTGACGGGATCGGGTGGTCGGTGATTCACAGGGATATGAAGAGATAGACTTAAAGGGAGGAAAAAGAAGAAAGTAATGACCAGCATCACGACTTTTCCTATCGTTTTCTTTATAAATCGTAATGACCGTCTTGTATTAAACTCCTAATACACCAATCATGCGCAGCACATAGTGAACACGAATATCAAGATCTCTTCCGAACCAGAGCGGTATAGGAATGAAACCATACATTGGGTCAAATCGAACTGGCAAAGGGGATGTCGGTTGCGGCACGTAAGAGACGAGTCCGATCCTTTGACTTGTCCTCGGGTGAGTATCCTCCTTTTGCTGGTCGACGGGAGAGGGAGAATCAATGGATGCACGTTTCTGTTTCAACACGACATCACATCATTGTGTTTCGAAGATTGTATTGCAAGCCCAACTTAAAGCAAGACTTGCAGAATTTGCATAGGGGTAAATCCATCATACACTTGGTTCATCTAGCAAACAGGTTGTAAATCACCCAACATCTCAACACTGATCGTATATCTGACAATTTTTTGTTATCTACATACACAGTCGGAAGAAATCATCAATCTTTGAGATCTGTCTTACTACTTCCTGCTGATTCTTCAATGCCCACTTCCCGTTTTGTTTCCATGGCGTAAGTCGGACTGCCTGCCAATTCGCGTGCTTTGGCCGCGGCCAGACCGATTTCTTTGATGTTGAGATTGCGCATCAACAGGGCCGAGAGGATACACATGCAGCCTGAGGCGAGACAGTACCACCAGACGTTATTGATGGATTTGGAGTAAATATCAAGCACGGCGGGACGGACAGAGTCGGGAATGGCGGACCAGATAGATTCGGGAGCGGCAGAGATTTCAGCTATGAGTGAGACAGGGAGATCAGTCAGACCCTTGAGCCCTTGACCGAGCTACATTGATCAGTCTAGTTCGTTGGTGTAAATTTCCTCAGAATACAAACCACCCGAAAGGCTGGCAAGGCCTGGACGAGGAAATTAAAGGAGAATACAGGAAAGATCAAGCTGGAATGTCACTGAAGTGAGGCGGAGCAACTCACCTTGTTTTGGAATACAGATGTGGCCGTGTTCATAGCAACAATACGACCCAAGAAACCAGCAAAGTTGATTGTATTGGTGGCATGAGGGATCATGTGAGGTTCACTCAGATAGTCGGCTTGTACGAGCACGACAACTACACATTAGCTCGTCTTTTCTCTTGACTTCATCATGATGAGTGACACACTGATATTGAGAGCACAACCAAACCCGATACCACTGATGACTTCGAAAACTATAATTTTTGTTAACCCTGAGCCAGGAGAGATTGTGGTGAGTAAGCCCGAGGCGACGGCGATCAAACCTCCCCCGACGACGACGGTATATTTGGCAATACCCGTTCTCTGTGCGAGCATCAGCCAGTTGACCCTCACAGATATGATAGCTTTTCAAGGATGAGAAAGGGAGAAATGAGAAGGCCACGAGGACATACCTCGGCAAGCTTTCCAGCTATGATCAGGAAGGGACTCATTGACAACTGTACCCCCAGCAAGAGGACCCCAGCACGGACGGCGCTTTTACCATCGATCGCTTCGAAATGTAATGGGAGGTAGTATAGGTAGACCACGACTGCTCCGAAAGCAAAAAAGTTTGCCCAAGCGCCGGCTCTGGACATATGAGCACCTCATTCGATAGTTCGATAGCTAACAGAAGACTCACGATATATGTCTACGTCTCAGAAGACTTGGTGGAAGCATTGCTTTGTCTCCGAGGAACAAACTCCAGCCGATGATTAGGATCACGAACGCCCCAGCGAGAGCCAGGTTCTGATACGGTGTCAGCTTCAGTAGGGCGGCAGACAACATGGTTCACTCACCACTACGACCCCCACGTCATTCCAAGCCTTGGTCACGCCGCCCCATTGGGTCCCAATTCCGAGACAAGTGACAAAGCCAATCGTGAAGAGGGTCGACACCCAGTCGAGGGTTAGAAGACGAACGAACCGACTACGGCCATCAGGTTTACCGTCGTATCGTGGGAATAAGCGGACTTTGGGTAAAGTCAGGGCCAGTAGAGCAAGGGCGACACCGCCAATCCTGCGCGTTAGCGAAACCCGTTTTGAGAATAAGGGATGACGCACGGCAGATTGATGTAGAAACACCATCTCCAGCCTTCAGCCCCGATGTCGGTGAATGCACCTGCGCATCAGTTGTGTCCCTACAAGATATCATGGGACTAACCGCCAACCAGTGGTCCCATCACAGATGCTACTATAAAGCTCTACGCTGTTGGCTCAATCTTCACGCTTGAAATGATCACTCACGACTCCAAAGAGACTGAAATATCCGGCGCGTTTTTCGAAAGGGATCAGTTCACCGCCGATGAGGTATGAAGCGCTGCGCGACGATCAGCGATGTTATACCTTATTCACAGGATTGTAGACTCACTTCCATAGACCTGCACCACCTAGACCTGCCACTGCTCTTCCCACGATAAGCATGTTCATCGATTGTGCGGCACCCTGCAGATATGAGCGAAATCGGCGAGGCAGATTGAACTCACGCAGATTGCTGATCCAATCTCAAAGACGACCACCGCTCCCAGGTAGATCCATTTTGGGGAGAATACTGTCATGATCTACATTCCGTTAGCCACTACACGGAGAGCAAAGTAAGGAAACTAACTTGGGAATATATAAGAATACATCCGGCGCAAGGTATGAAGAATCTGTGTGTAAGTTAGAAACTCTACCCGGACAGTGTACAAAAGTGCTTACGCCGTGTTGAGCCATTCCACTGATCATGTCAGCTGACTTCATGTGCACAGGAACGGAAAGAACGTACCCTTATCCAGAGAATCGAACTGGCTCACTATACGTGGGACAGCTACTACTATGATAAAGGCATCCAAGCCAAAGGTGAGGACGTTTATGCTATGATATCAGTTTCTCTTCCATACCCACAGCTCTGTGAAAAGCAAAGTTCGATCGAGGGACACTCACCACATTGCTAAGAAACATATTTTGAATTTTGTGGTGCGAAAAAAGCTGTAGTCTGCTTTAACGGTATCGACGCCCAAGTCGCTATCTTGAAGCCCCGACATGATGTGATTTGTCGACGAAAACGAAGTTGGAGATCCCAAACCGCCTCGACGAAGACTGGGTACAACAGATGCCATGATTTTCGACGACGGTAGGTTTTATTCTCTCTGTGAAGCCGCTGCTGAGCTACCGCCAATCTGTGAACCGTCTCCCCCAAAGGACAAAGGATGTTAACGAATCCGTTGCAGACCTGGGAAGGATGACGAATTGCAGAAGACGGGGGAGTGTTGTATCCGCCAACAGATCGTCGCTATTTGACCGCTTTTCCAACCTGACAGCGAACAAAGATGGTCTTGATGCGCCGAGTGAAATGATGAAGATCCGCTCGTTGTGATCACACAAGGACTTGTGGGTGAACTAGTACGATCTTGAGACATCTTTTCAGTGATCAGGAAAAATCTAGCGATGCCGGTCGGCGAGATAAAGTCGCACTATTTCAAGCGATCAAAGGTGTCCGTGATCACGACGGGGGTTGTGAGCTTGGTCCAAAGGCAGGAAGCCTCAAGCCGGGACCGGTCGAGGAGGAAGGGGGGTCGCCATGTGACCGACGGGCGGATTGCCTACAGTACAAAAGCGGGCTAGGTAACCAAGGTTGGAGCCAAAAGGCCTTGATGGCTTGATCCATCAACCAAGGGGAAACCATCGATTCAAGGACCCAAAAGGACCTCGGAATGGTAACAAAGGACGGTTTTGAACGAGTGCGAGATTTCCGGATCAGGTGGACCTTGTTTCGAGGGGTTCCCATCTTCAACATGAAGCGCATTGAGAGGATGCCTGTCAAGTGAGCACTCAGTCACTAGTCTGCAAGTAGTTGGAAGGGTATGTATACTCAGTAGTGGTTGAGATGAATCCTATCCCCTTCAAAGTCAGCTGGAGGAAACATCATGGGGGGGTGTTGGTGCAATCAAAGGCCACGCCATTCCTTGACACAGATGTGTATGAAGAGGACAAGCCAGCGCTATTGTTGTAGCTAGTAGCTACGGTAGATGGAGTAGAGTACGGGTAGTGCATTGTTACTTATGTATCAAGACCACACGGTGAGTGATGGCTTGGCGTACTTACCTAGTTACCTCAGGTACTCGCACCAGTGCCCACATCACGTGACACCTCTCTTCCCCACACTTTACTTTTGTCGCCCAAGCCTCATGCACCTACATCATCACACCAAGCTTCTGTATACATGGCACCCACCCTCCACCCAGCTCTGATATCGCTCGTCCACCCCACGGCCCCTCACTCCTCATTGTATTTTTACCGTTGATGATGGAGGCCGCATCGCCGCCCCTCTCGCATTATGACAATGATGCATATCACTTGACACACCCAAACGTCCTCAAGGTCTGTCTCTTCTACCACTCAGGCTGACCCTTCCAGCTTGGCGTAGTACTCTGTCATGTTAGCCGTTACTCATCTGCCTCGACCTCACAAACTCACTCTCAGCCTCATTGATGCATGTTATGTTGGCACCAAGCTTGTTGATCGTCTCATAGTATTCATCCTCTTCCACGCTGTCAAAGACGATACCGCCACCTTGGGTGTTAGTTATCAGCCCTGGCGTATGCTACAAAGACCCACCTGCCTGCAAATACACCATTCCATCCTTGTAGGTCATGGTTCGAAGGGCGATGCACGTGTCGAGCTCGTCACGATCGAAATCAAATCTACCAACGGCGCCGGCGTAAACCCCACGCCGCTCCTTCTCTAAACCAGATACGAGCTGGATAGCCTTGACCTTGGGAGCACCAGACACTGTTCCCGCGGGAAAAATGGATCGGAAAGCGTCGAATCTGCGGCATCAGAAGGTCTGCGATGCGGAGAGTAGCGACCTACCTCGATTGGTCGTCCCGCAGACTACCACTGATCTGACTTGTGAGATGGATGACATGACTGAACTTTTCCACTCTCATCAAATCGTCCACGTTGACAGTCTCAGGCTTGCAGACGCGATTGACATCGTTCCGTGCCAAGTCAACCAGCATGATGTGCTCGGCTCGGTCCTTTTCCGACGCTTGCAAACCTTTACCTAGTACTTCGTCCTCTACATACATCAGCTCCGCTTAAAATGTGCAGATCGACTGACCAGCAGCCGTCTTGCCTCTTCTCACCGTGCCGGCAATGGCGTGATTGTACACTTTCCTTGCTTCCACCTTGCACAGGGTCTCCGGACTGGCCCCAATGAGTTGGACGTCTCCACAGTTAAGATAGAACATGTACGGTGATGGATTGACCCTCCGTAGGTGTCTGTATATGTTGAAGGGATGCAGTGAGGTAGGCCGAGATAGACGTTGACTGGGAACAGCTTGAATGATGTCACCCTTGACGATATGCTCCTTGAGCTTTGTCACAAATGCTTCGTATCCTTCCTTTCCTACGTTGCTCTTGGCCTCATATCCGAGCTTGATGGAACCTTGTTTCGGCAGTGGTACTTCAGGTGATGCCAACTGATTGCGCAAAGTCTCCAGACGACCGACGCATTCTTCGTACAAAGCGGGTATACGTGAAGGTGGACTTCCATCGGGGAGGTAGACGTGTGAGACCAGTTTGACAGTTTGAAAGATGTGATCGAAGATGATGAGGGTAGAAGTGAGCATGAAGAACGCTTCGGGAAGACCTGGAATGGGGTTGACGAGTGGTTGATTAGGCTTGGTGACGGGCTCAAAGTGGGCAATAGAGTCGTATGTGATGAATCCAACAGCACCTCCTGAGAGCTGTCAGACTAGTAACGTGTCGGATGACGTTTGACTCACCGGTAAAGGTGGGCACCGAGGGCAATTTGACATGACGATACGGCTCAAGCTCCTTCTCCAACGCTTGCAGAGGATCGCCGCTTACATCGAAGCCTTCTCCTGTTCTGATGACTTTGAAAGGGTCTATATGTTTAGCAGTGTACGTCTCTTTGAAAAGATGACTGACCTGCACCTACAAAACTGAATCGAGCCAGGTTTTCTCCTCCGACGACACTTTCGAGTAGAAAACTGTAATTACTCTGATTGGCGATCTTGAGATAGGCAGCCACAGGAGTTGTCAAGTCTGCAGGTAGCTCGATGTAGACGGGGATCAGATTAGGCCTAAGAGATGGATTGGATTTGTCAATCTGAGGAGGGACAGAAAGTGGAGGATAGGTGGAGGAGGAAGGAGGGGATAAAGTAGTGGGAGTGTAAGAAGCGGAAGCGAAGAGTGAGATGAGATCGGGTAGGGATGGGACAGGCTCTCCTGACTGAAACGATTAGCTGAAGACTTCTGATGGGATCAAGACACTGACCGAGCGACTCATGATGAAGAGATAGGGATGGTGATGAAAGTATATATATACTCTGTTTAGGAATGTAACGAGTAAGAAGTTGTAAATTGATCTAAAGTCACGTGACAATGCGATGGCTCATGGCCCAGCAAGCCTAGCCGCAAGCCTAACAACCACATTGCAGCAAGAGAGAGGTCATGGCGGCAAATCACTACTACTACTGGACTACTAACTAAGTACTACTCCGACCGCTCACCTCACCGTACTCCAACCACCACCACCACCACCCCCACCACCCCTCTAGCTACTAGCTACTCCTATCCCTCCCTTCACGACTCCCTGCCAGGTCATGGCATCAGGGCCACAGTCCATATCAGTATCACCTCCTGCACCTTTACCTCAACGTGGGGCTCAAACATACGACCCTTACATCTCCTCCCGTTCAGATTCCATCCCTTCAGCCTCTCCCGGAGACCTGTCTTCTCAACCCGCCAGCGAGTCAGATCGTACTTCTTTGGCTGTTAGGAGTCATAGTCTGAGGAATACTGCCCCCAACGGTGAGTAGGGCATGACTCACTCACCCCTCCCTGTCACCGTGCGACCCCATGTGCCTTCCACCTTCCCCTCGTCGTGATGGGCCAGTCTCATACCCTGACCTCTGCCCCGTGGTCGTCTTTGTCTACTTCCACGACTTGTACCAGTCATAACCATATCAGCTGATGCACATCTTCCCACAGCTCAATCCGCTCAACCACCTCTCCCTTCCTACAACGCCGTCATGGCTTCCCAACCTGGACTAGCTCTTGTCAAACCCTCTCAGCCATACAACAACAACGCCGGCCATCCATCTCACGTCCGTGTTCCTAGCCTAGAGCAACCGTCTTATCCCCCTGTAGACTACGGTCTGCCCACATCCCAATATCCTCCGACCCACGATCCCAATTATTCTTCCCGGCGACCCATATCAGACCCCAACGAACTGAACTTTTCACAGCTGTCCATGTCGTCGAACCCCCCTCCCGCTAGACACAACACGGCACCAGCTCAACCACCTTCACACCGTGATCAAAACCCATATCGGTCACGAGTAGGAGGAGGTGGTTATCCCACTGTGGCAGACGGAGACGCCTCTGCCAGCGTTTACAGCTTGGATTCTGGTTTGGGAGCTTATGCGGCTGGACCTTCGGATCAAATGGCAGGAAACATGTACGCCCCGCATGGTCATGGCCATGCGGCTCCAGGATGGGACCCGTATGGCAGCGGCGGCTATCCACCGCAGGAATACAACCCTTATTACTCTGCGGCAAGCGAGTTTCTCAATCCTCCACCCACCGCCTTTCCACAGAACACTTCCGGCAACCTCATTCCATCACGTCAAGAAAGCATCTCATCCCTAGCACGTACCAACACATCCGCTTCTGCCCTCTCTTCAGCATCCTCGATCTCTCTTGCCCGGAAACCCACCGAAGTCGTGGGTGCCTCATCGACACGTCGACGAGGTGGGCAAGCAGCGATCGACATGAACAAACCACCTTACACCAAGCAGTACGTGGACGATTATCGGAAACGTATGAAAGATGATCCCGACCCGGAAGCTCAATTCGCATTCTCCAAGTACTTGATCGAAGCCGCCAAGAAACTCGGGGACGAGATCAGTCAAACAGAGCCAAAACTCGGTCGAAAATATCGAGATACACTATTGCAGGAGAGCTTGAGAAATATCAAAAAACTCGCAGAAGCCAAACAACCGTATCCCGATGCTCAATTTTTCCTCGCCAACCTATACGGTACCGGTCAGTTGGGTTTGCAGGTGGACCATGAGAAGGCATATTATCTGTATCTGATGGCCAGCAAGCTCAATCACGCCGCTGCCACATACCGAGCCGCCGTGTGCAATGAAATCGGTGCTGGCACCAAGAAGGACTACAACCGCGCTGTGCTGTTCTACCGCAAAGCAGCTGCTTTGGCCGATACCGCCGCCATGTACAAGCTCGGGATGATTCTCCTCGGTGGATTGTTGGGACAGGCGAGAAACTCCCGTGAAGCAATCGTGTGGCTACGTCGAGCTGCGGCTCAGGCTGACGAGGACAACCCACACGCTCTGCACGAGCTGGCTTTACTGCATGAACGAGCCAACAACGGAGGCGTGGTACCTCATGATCCCCTCATGGCTCGTGAGCTGTTCAACCAAGCCGCTCAGCTAGGGTATGCACCTGCGCAGTTCAAGCTTGGCAGTTGTCACGAATTTGGGACGTTGGGGTGTCCGATAGATCCGAGACGGAGTATCGCTTGGTACACCAAGGCGGCAGAAAAAGGTGACAGTGAGGCAGAGTTGGCATTGAGCGGATGGTATCTCACAGGAAGCGGTGAGTCAGACCATGTACTCCGGTGAGAAGTGGCTGACATGGCACAGAAGGTGTGCTGAAGCAATCCGATACAGAGGCATACCTATGGGGAAGAAAGGCAGCCAACAAAGGCTTGGCAAAGGCAGAGTATGCCGTCGGATGTGAGTCGACGCCAAGGTCTGGTAATCTTGCTGACCATGTGCAGACTATAGCGAGCTGGGTATTGGAGTCAAGCAGGATATGGATCAAGCCAAGCGATGGTACATGCGTGCAGCAGGTCAGTGGTGTCGTCCATTCTGATATTCTCATAGAAAATGACTAACAGCCTAGCCCAACAACACAAACGAGCGATGCAACGGTTAACGGAATTGAACAGCGCCAAAGGTGCCAAGGGCAAAAAGGCGGTCAGACCGACCCGAGACGAAGCGGAACACGAGTGTATCATAATGTAATTGCGCCGAGTCATCTTGACCAAAGCATATATGCATCGGGGTCATGGGTTCCTGACCGGTCGTCGCTCGAATGCCACACACTTGAGAAGATTGTTTACAAGATTAAGACAAAACGCATTCACCAAGAAACACCAAATGATATAAACGTGTAGCGTATGAGAAGGATCGTGTCGTTGCTGAAAAATCACTGGATGACCCCTTGCGCTTTCAACATTCTCGCCCATCTATCCTTTGTCAGCCCCTCTTCTCATATTGATTCTCGATTAACGCTCCAACACTCACTGTTCCCGTTTCATATTTGCCTCCTGTAATTCCCTTTTCAATTTCTTATTCTCCAGGTCAAGCTCATTACGTTTCGTCGTGGCATCCTCGAGATCCCTCCTGAGAGCCGCGAATGCCTCGTCTGGGGGCAACGCGGCATCGTTGAACATTCCATCCAATTCCGTGTTGAAAGCCTCGTAAATGACATCCACCTCCAACTGAACCTCCGAAAGTTGCTGCCGTAGCAAGTCTTGATATTCTTTGGCTCTCAAAACCTGCGCTTTCAGTCGCTCAACTTCCGCCGACTTTTGAGAGTTTTCCAACGACACTTCCTTCGCAAGATTGGCGGCCTTGTTCATGTCGGCTATCGCGGAACGCAAGGCGCTCTCCAGCTTTTCGACCGTAGCTCCCATATTACGAGCAGTCTCATCTGTCACACCGTCGTGTCCGATACGAGGAGAGTAGTCTGAGATGACGTTGATGTCTACCAATCGCTGCCGGTCAGCACCTGCTTCACCTCTGACATTGGACCTACCTTGATATCACGTCGGTGTGGAGACCGTGGAAGAGAGGGGGTCCTGTCCATGCGTCCGTTCGTTATCTTCCGCAAAGACTGAACATCCGCCTTCAGTCGCTTGACAACGGCGTGAGACTCTGCTACCCTTTGCCTCGCAGCCTCTATGGCAGCTGACGTGTCCATATACTCTGTCTCCGAAGCAACAGTCGATCCCGAGATAAGTCGAGGTGTAGTGAGAGGACCAGCGCTGCGTGGACCTGAACTTCGTCGATGACTATTCAGAACTCCGACACGAGGAGAGTTCTCCTTCGATGCAAGTGGAGTGCGTGGAGGTGACCGTTTTCGGGGCTGGAGTTGATCTTCGGAATGTTGGCGCTTAGGTACAGCATGGACAGGAACTGTGGCAAGAGGGGTTTCGTCTTTGAGTGGCATTGTCTCGCGTCCTGGCGACACTCGTCGGCCGTTCCCGGAAACGACGCGGAGCTTCGTGTGTCCAGAACCAAGACCAGGAGTTCGAACTGGGTCCAACATCGGCAATATCTTGGGGTGTGGTTGAGTTGAGCTTCCGGCCGCGTTGCTACGTAACGGATTCGGAGTCCGTGGTCCTCGTGGAGGTGGGCTACGTGGACCGGCTAGAGGAGACAAGGGTCTGTGAGCAGCTGCAGGCGGACTCGCCAATCTCGGTGATGTGAAGACATCTCCTGCAGGTGTTCTCAAAGGTCTGGTAGGTGAGGGAGTCTTGTTGCGTATCCGAAGCGGTGCCGTCACCGGCAGAGGTTCCGGAGAGCCAGTTCGATCTGGCATGAGCTCAATCTTGTACACACCATGGCTGACCTACCAAGCGTTCGCACTAGACCCGCTCTTGTCTCCGCTTCACGTGCTTCGATCTGCTGCCGAAGTAGCTCGACGAACCCGGTGCTTGCTGGACCAGCAGTATCCGAGGTAGGTTCCACGCTAAGCGGAGAGGTGTCACGTTCTAGAGGTCGTCCACGTTCAGCCTCCATGGGGGACGTCGTCAACAAAGGCTCAGCATTCTCGAGCTCGCCGGTCCATTGCCTGCCCTCGACCGAGATACGCTTCTTGGCAGCCTCACGGGTGGCCATAACGCCAGGATCCGCAAGCGTTGCCATCGACCGACTGTTGTTTCTTGCTAGGTTGAGTCGGGCCTCGAGATCAACCTCGCTCGGGTTGGTGTGAAGCTGATATGGCCCGTTCGAGACCACGTCGTCATTTCCTGCAACACGCCTCGAGAAGCTTGACCGATCCGACGATCGACTTGTCGAGGAAGACTTTGTCCGCCTTGTACTATTAGTCCCGAATGGGTCTTTGGTTAAGGCACCGCTTCCAAACAGATTGCGCGAAATGGTGTCGAGGTTGAGCAGGGAGGGACGTAATCGATGTGAACCAGAGGAAGGAGTTGCCGGTGCTGATGTCGATGAAGTCCTGAATTTGAAGATTCCGTATCGATGGACTGCTGTCAGCATCGTCAAAGGGGTGGGATTCCACTCACTTGTTGTAAGGACACGCTCAAGAGCCTCAGAGCAGTCCACCACGGTTCTCCCTTCATCACCAGCAACGTTGACATGATAGATGCGGCACATACCGCCTGGGAGGGGCTGCAAATGGAAGACCAGCAGTGACTCCCCCAAAGCAAGCATTTCCGGACTCTCACTCTCATCGACAAAGCACACGACTTTGGGAGTAGGTCGAGAGGGATCGTCGGTGATGCTCCACATGCATTTGGCCCGACTGAAAGATTCGATCGGCTCAAGTGAGATCTCTCGACTGACCAAGACTCTACTCGAGGAGGACCGTAATCTGGCCTGGGCAGCCCACAGGTTCTCGACGAAGCGCATCTTGTCCCGACGGATGGCGTTTGCGTCGAGAGCACCGAATGGAGGATGCACAGTCGTGAAGCACCTGAGCGGCCGACTCCAACGGTCTGATTGATCCGTCGGGGGCCGGGGCAGAAACATTTGGAAGTCTGGCGATCAGTACCCTCACACGAGGGATTGCTAACACTCACCACCATTCCCCACGTCGGTCACAATGATATCCCCGATGTCGACCAGTCCCCTGAAGAAGAGCTTATCCTTCTTCCCTCCGCTTTTGTCGAGCACAGCCACGCCCCCTCCAGATTTGACAAGACGAGAAACATCATCCAGCCCTGTCACTTTGGGCCCGGAGATAGTGGAGGAGTGCCTCTTCACTATCATGAGCTTGTCGTTGAAGAGGAAAAGAGTACAATGTGCACCGCTAGTTGATGCAAGATGTTGTTGTGGGGAAGTGGACCCGGACGTTGAAAGGGAGTTGATGGAGTTCGCAGTAGATACGGAGGCGCGATCGAGGTCATCCACGTCGAGGGAGTCGATAAAGGTCCTCTGATTGCTGAAAAGTGTCGCCTTGCCTGTCAGCGACTTTCTCATGTTTGTGACTCACGGGGAATCCATCCACATTCCTTTCCAAACAATACATCACCGTCGCTCGGACAGTCTGCTCGTCTGGCTCACAGCGGGCAATTTTTGAAGCCAGCGTAACGCTGCTGACAAGTGCAGCTCTCTGAGCCGAGCTGGGATGCATGCATCGAATCATCGCTGGAGGTGAGCTAGGCACAGTTTCCGATCTGAGAACCCACTTTGCCACAACAAAGTGTATCTGGGAATACGCTGCACAGGTTCCATGAGAAGTTCTCGGAGACCGATGTTGCCAATGCCGGTTGTTGAATACTTTGTCCTCTCGATGAAAGACGCGAAGCCAGGATACTTCTTGAAAACTTCGTTGAGGGTCTTCTGTGACGCCTCTTGATTACTGAGATAGGTCCTATACGGATCAAACGTCTTGGCTTCGAGCTGAGGAAATCAATACAACTCATGTCGCAGCTGCCACTCACGTGTCGCAAGCAGATACTTCCCACGTCCTCCGGCGTCGCCTCTTCCAAGTCGGACAGGAATGTCTCTGAAGCCGACACCACGAGCTCGATGTTGGAGAAGAGGCTTTTGATCTCGTACAGCGGGATTATCATTTCTGCAGCATTCTTGGCGAATAGGCGCAGCGGAATGGCGTATCGCTGCCATGAGCACAATCATCGGCTACGGGTCTGCACTCACATCCCTCAATGCTTTGATCCTCTGCAAGTAGCTTTTTTCCGTCCGTACAAGTTCCTCCAGCAGTCCTGCCAGGCGTCCCTGTGAAGTTGGAGAGTATTCTGATCCGACGTCAACTCGAGGAGGCGTATTGTCACTGGATACGGGGGCAAGCGGCGATCCCAGCTCCTCGAGCAGGTGGGTAGTGTCTGGCATCAGCGAGCGTGTCCAAATCAAAGGACTTACCATCACCATGTGATTTCAAGATGAGATCACAATGAAAAGCTCTCCGGACTATCTTAGCACCAGTCTCCCTGTCGGTCGAGCGTGTAGAGCTATTGAGATCTATGGCTTTTGGAGGGGGCGGAGGGGGTAAGGGGGAAGTCGACTGGGGCTTGTGGGGGGAGATCATGGTGTCATATGAGAAGGGGGCGGTTGGACTGACACCTGCCCGATTGTGTGAGGGTTGAGTTTGATACGAGACGCTGTGGGAGGGAGATGAGATAGTATGAATGATATAGGGAGTATGATAGGAGGATGTATATGCAGTAGTGGTGGTAGTAGTGGTGAGTGGTATGACAAGTTGAATGATACCTTTTGGTGAAAGAAAGAGAGAGACGGCTTTTCCGCTGTTTAGGTTTTTCCAAAGAAATCAGTCGCCCGTTAGATTACGTAATCACGCGGCTTCTTTGTGCGGTTCACTCCTCCTCCTTACTGCTACAACCAACTACTACTACTTTGTGGTCCACAACCACATACTTTACCACTGTACAATGGTCATCACATCGTCACACAAGTCATGAGCTACGCAAATCCACAACGTCAAGCATCTGCTTCTTCCGCTTCTTCCGGCAGAACCGTCAGAGCCGAATCCAAAGCTAGCGGTCGACGTTCTAGTATTCTCGCTCGTCTCACCGGTCGACCCTCTCCTTCCAACGGTCACTTTGACTCTGACCAAGATGAACCCGACTCGGATGTCGACGAGGTCGCACAAGCTGGTCCCAGTGACTACTACCGTCGCAGTCCATCCCCCATACCTATTTGTGGCGACGCATGGAGGCAGCCCAGCACGGAGCCACCCCCCGTCGACCTCGAAGGTGGACTCGATGACGAGTGGAGAGGTTCAGAGGCGAGGTGGAGCGATTCGGACGATCAATGGAGTACGGCTTCCCCTGTGCCAGCCATGAGTGACGCGAAAGAGTACCAGAAACGTCTTCGAGATGTCTTCAGCGAACAATTGAACGAAACTCCCCCTTTGACCCCGGTCCACTCCCCTCCGTCGTTCATTGAGAAAGTCGCCATCGAAGACGCAGACTCTGGTATCCTCACCTCTCTATCCCCAGGCTCATCATCATACGCCAATACCCCCTTAAAACGTTCCGCCATCAATCCACTCTTTTCGCGATTACGATCCCACGGTAATTCACCCATTCCTCAGCATGTCCGCCGCCCTTCACACTTCTCCCATTCTCGAACCGTATCAACCCTTTCACTCCCTCGACATATCAATCCTGCCTTCACACTTCACCCCTTACGTCGACTGTCTACACATCTCTTCGCCGAAGTACCCACCGTCATGGATGTAAACGGAATGATCGCCATTGGTACGGCCTCTGGCCGAACGCACATCTATACTTTCAATCAAGACCTGCGCGCTGTACTAGGAGAGGGCTCACCTGTCACTGCGCTGCGCATATCTCCGGACCAGACGTACGTGGCTGTTGGTCACTCAGACGGTGCTATCAAGCTCTATGATCTCAGTACACCCGCCAAACCTGCACGAGTCGTACAACCTCTGACCTTGCAGCAAGTGCAGAGCGGCCGTCGGGAGGGGCATTTAGTCAATAGCCGAATACTGCACCTTGGTTTTGTTGGTACGAGGCATACCTGCATCGTTTCTGGTGACGAGTATGGGCGGGCATTTTGGTGGTCTTTGGGTAGAATCATGGGAGTGGATTCCAATGATGTGGTGCGGATGCTGGGAACATACGGATCTCGGAAACCCTCGACACTATTTGCTGTATTACCTCTGCAACCGGGATCGCACCCTTCGGACTCATTGGAACTTTGTGCTCTTCTCACACCTTCAAAACTCATCATGTCGGCATGAAGCCCATTGCGAAGACGTTGTTTCGGCGAATGCGAGATACGGACGGGATGGGAAATGCGTGCTGGCTGAGAGCTGGAGAACTGGATCAGGGATCTGACCCTGTGTTGGCTTACAGCTGGGGCCGCACCCTTCGATTCCTGCGAGTCAAAGACGGTGACACCCCGACATTTGTGGACGGTCAAAGATGGGACGCACCCGACGATATCCGTGCACTCCAATGGTACGATGCGAATCACTTATTGGTCCATGCCATGTCCCTCATCCTGCTCGACGTGCGGACCATGACACAGGTGGAGACAATGCCGCTGGACACGCAGCTCGTATCGTTTCCTTCCATTCGAGGCTTGTGCGTATCAAACAGTCTGCGTACATACAGAGGCAAATTAGTTCTCCTCGTAAGTGATCTCATCGGAGCGATCATGAAAGCTGACCACAGTCTCACTCACAACTTCTGGTCGGGACTCTCTCACACTGGAACGATCGAGTCCTCGCAAAAGTTCATCAAGGTGATTTTCTTGGCGCTATCCATCTCGCCGTCGATTACTTCGAGGGGCGCTCGACTGGGAATCGTATCGGACTTCCGGGCTCAGAAGATGCCGCCAAGAAGGTTGTCTCCTCCAGGATTCGAGAACTCATTCATGCTTCCCTGGCGTGGGCTTTTTCCGAGGAGCGTATGCACGATGATACCCACTTCAGCCCCGATGGCAGAGGTGTCGACCTCACTTCCCTCTTCGAATCCCTCGCTATAGCTTGCATTGATGCTTGTCTGTCTATCGGTGATCGGAATACGCTGTTCAATCTAGCTTACGAACGTTATGCGGAAGCAGGCATCCATGGGATCTTCCTCCGTCAGCTGGAACCATACATCCTCGATGGACGGCTTATTCACGCTCCACCCGAGGTCGTCAAAAATTTGGTCAGCCTTCATGCCGAAGCCTTCGAATGGGAGCAAGCGGAAGCGATCATTTGGCACGTAGACCCACATTCTCTCGACATCGATCAGGCAATCACGATCTGCGAGGAGCACCAACTGTGGGACGCTCTCGTTCACGTGTACACCAGAGCTCTCCATGACTATATTGCACCACTGCAAAAGCTTGCGCCGGAGCAGCTATTCGAATACATCGAGTATACCTTATGCGGTTGTTCATACCCTGACGGGGCACAGCTACCAGCAGATGAGTCTGATGCAGCAAGAAAGTCGGTCTATGAGTGGATCTCCAGCAATCTGCCCCAACTCTTACACCTGGACACCGAAGCTTTCCTTCACACTCTGGACATCGCCTTCGAGGATTCATATCTCGATGACTCGTCAGACATCACTCGACAGACGTTGATCAACCAAATGCTGGATGTGATGGACTCGAGCGATTTCAATGTCAACGACGTCACTCTATTACATATTTTCGTCGCTCGTAATCTTCCCAAATACTCTCAATTCCTTTTGTTCCCTCCATCTGTCTTACAGCGTATTCTCTTCGCGTTGTGTACCGACAACGAGCCCGAGTCTCGGGAAGATCGACAGCTAGCTGCCGAGTTTCTCCTCTCGGCCTTCACTCCTCAGAACGCCGATGCCATGCTCCAACTCTACGAGTCAGCCGGCTTCTATCGTATTCTGGCTATCATATATCGACGGGAGCAGAGATGGGGGGACCTCATTGCTACAATTGTCAAATTGCACCCTGAAGACATCTTCGCCGAATTGGATAGTTTGGTCGAGAAAAGCCCAACCACCGTCGAGAAAGTGATACCTGATCTGCTGAATGTGAGCATCACGTCGACGGCGACTCTTCTGCAAAAAGTGCCTCAACTTCATCCCATCGCCCTGTCTGTGCTTCCCCCCCACAAACAAATAGCCTATCTGTCGAGTCTCGATCAGCTGAAACTTCCCCTACGTCACCAGTACATAAATCTGTTAACGGTCCACGAGCCCTCCTCCGTAATCGGCTACATGGATTCTCACGGAAAGGATAAGTTTGATCTTTTCCAACTGAATCAAGATTTCCAGACCGCTCGATTTCCAGAGGGTCAAGCGTGGGCGTTGGACAGGCAGGGTAAGCCCGGTGAGGCTTTGACTGTGATCGAGAGTGTTCTTAGGGAGGAGGGTATGGATATTGGGCAAGCTGTGGTGTCGGGAGATCTGGGAACGGTCCACATGGCCTTACAGTCAATCACGTCTGCATGTGTCATGGGGACCCGTTTGTGCCGGGAGCGGTCTTCGGAAGCTCAAGCCGAGGATATGTGGTTTGGGATTCTCAACGAGATGGTGGAGCTGGTGCAATCGTTGAGCTCTTTGAGCGTGCGAGCGTCGGAAGGAGGAAGCATTGCTGTGGATACCTTGCGACAACTCATTCAGGATACTCTGTCAGCCTTGGTTTCATCCCGCTCCCCGTCATTGTCTTTTCCACGACTCTTCAAACGACTCGTAGATTCGACACCTACTACCAAACGATCGTATGCCGAATTTCGTTCTATTCTGAGTGGCATGTTGGACTCGTATCGAACCGAAGGAGAGATGTTGACGATGACGACTCGGTTATTGGAGGGTGACCTGTTTGTTTCGGTACATGAATTGGTGGTCAAGCGTCAGGCGGGATGGAGGCCTTTTGACGGGTTCTGTGACGAGTGTGGGCTCAAGTTGGAAGGGGATGTGATGCTCAGTCCCGAGAGGGCGTATCATCGGTCGTGTCAAAAGATCACAATACCATCATAGCATGTTCAATATCTGCACTATGTCATCTCTATTTGACAATTGTGCGAGCTGCAGAGGAGTCTGATCGTCCTCATCCTGTGTATCAGTCATTGCTGCATGCTGCTGACCGCACTGGTGCTCACTTTGACATGACGATCTGCCCCATTGGCCAAGAGCAATCTGACCATATCTGTCAGACCTCGATCTGCTGCCAGATGAAGTGGAGTGTAACCCTGAAGGCATGAGCTATCTTCATACATGGCCAGAGCGACGTTGTTTTCTCGACTCACAAATTCTCCCACTTGACTGACCAGATCAGGTTGATTGACCAATTCTCGAACTTTATCGAGATCATTATCAATGACAGCATCGTGTATAGTACCTGATGGACCGGCAACTGGTTCGTCTTCCACAGTCATCACGCTGACATTTCTCCAACCAGCTGATACTTTTGCACCATCCCATCCGAGTCCCTTGGCCAACTCGATATATCGCACACGGGCATCATCGGGGATTTCATATTTGGTAGACTGAGCGAGCCATGCGTCATGCTTCGCCCTAGGTGCGGGAGAGAATATCGAGGGTCTGGAGCCCGTCCTGAGAGTATACTCAGCCAGTGACGTCCGGGGACAAGGATGAAAGAGAGAACTGACGGACCATCACCAGTGGTAGCATATTTGTACAACCCGTATATCTAAGATATCAGTCAGTGAGGAGAAGCGTAGGCACTTGAGTGGTTTACCTCTAACTTGGTCTCGTTGGACAATTTAGCAGCCTCGGGATTGGTAGAGAGCCAATTTGCGGCGTTGTCGAAATCGTCATGGGCATCATCTTGCATGATATGAAGAGTTCAAGGTGTGGGGAGGCCTAGAGTAAGCAGTAGGTAGTGATAGTAGTACAGTAAGTAGTAGGAAGGTGAAGTTGGCGAAGAGGAGGTTAGCGATGACCATGTGGTTAAGGCATGGCGTCATCATCCAAGTTAGTTATGTGTCGAAACTGCACTACTTTCTTGATTCCTCTCTCTCTGCTTTCACTCATCAAGTAAGAGTGATACCTCGATCCCTGTTCAGGCATCGTGAGTACGAGTACCCCCGCTTGCTCCTCTTCTCAAGGTGTCCGAATGGTGGCTGCTATATGCCATACTTACCTCCAGCCAGCCAGCGACATGAGCTCACCATGATTGCTGACATTTCAGGTCAAAATGACCGACCAATCTCGCAAAGCTTGGGTAACTCTCTTGACCAACCCAAGCTATCTCGCAGGTGAGTCAATCTTCTTCGTAACTGGTTCATGGTCCACATGTCCCCTCGTTTCTGAGCTGAAGATGACACCATCTAGGGGCCGTCATCTTGTATCGAACGCTTCGAGCCGTTTCCCAATACCCCCTCATCATCATGGCAACGGATGCCCTTCCAGATTCAAGCATAGCTTTGCTTGAATACTACGGCCTCCAAGTTCTCAAAGTGCCTCATCTCACACCCGCTGATGGGCAACATCCCGGTTTCGATCCTACTTTCGTACGTTTGAACGACGCCTGGACCAAATTACAAGTCTTCGGGTTAACCTCTTACGACCGCCTCATTCTCATCGATTGCGACATGGTCTTTCTTCGTTCCATGGATGAAGTCTTTGACATGGAGCTTCCCGGTCCAGATTGGATTGCAGCTGCTCCAGCATGCGTGTGCAACCCTTTCAAGATTGCGCATTATCCGGCCGACTGGTGAGCAATCGTTTTGGATCAATCCTGCTCCGCTGACGAGCACAGGATTCCAGCAAACTGCTCGTTGACAAAGCAGATCCCAAAGACACCTCTGTACTCGCCGACCATCCCATCGCTGGACGGTCCACGTACTAGTCACTTGCTTAACTCGGGAATGGTCCTTTTGACTCCCTCCTCGTCCACGATGGCGGCTATTCAACATTTCCTCGATACCTCCCCCACAGTCGCGAAAGCTTCATTTGCGGATCAAGATGTGATTGCCGAGTTCTTCAAAGGCCGCTGGCGACCGTTGCCTTGGTGGGCAAATGCCCTCAAGCCTCAACGTGCTGTCCATGCAGACCTCTGGGAAGATACTGAAGCCCGTTTGGTTCATTACATGTAAATTTCTCTCAATAAGGCTCTATCAACGCTGACTAAAAAGCCTCGACAAGCCATGGAAGAAACGCCCTGCATACTTGAAAGATTTAGTGGGACCACCGATCCCGACAGCTACGACCGAACTTCCCAAGCGCTTGGTTGAGCTTGTGCCCAAGACACCACCTCAGACTAGTCTCACGGACTACGATGCCATACACGGCTGGTGGTGGGTCGTGTTCGACGATGTGGTGAGCAGCTTGAATGCGGATGGGCAAGAAGGTTTGGTGACAGAGTTGAGGGCGTTCGTAGACAGAAGCTGAGTAGCCATGTCTTGGTGTTCCTGGGATCTCGATAGAAACAAGAAGATTAAGTAGAGTCAATAGTCGTGTACACATGCGCACATGCAAATGCAAATGAGTAGAGCAGAGGGACTCAGGTCGTGTCGCTGATCGAGGTCGAGAAACACGGAAAGTTGACCAGAATAGTAGTGGTGCACCTCCACCTGACGGCGTTAGGCTAAGTTACTACAACTTGACATTCCACACGTCTATCCTTGTTCTCTTCACTTCTCTTCTTCTATCCATCTATACCTCCTTCTCCACATACCTCATTCATTCCATGGCCTCTAGTTCCACGTTCAAGGCTCCAAACGGCAATAATCAGGCATCTCATGTGATGAATGGAGGGATGAATTCCGGTCTCACTGTCAATCTGTGAGTAGTCAGTCATGTCTCAACAGATGAAATGCATCTGACAGCTGCTAGCCATCCCCTCCCCATACTCAACATCTCTGAGCACTGGAATCGAGCACGATCAAGTTCCGATCCCAGGCCCAAAGGTGACTGTCATTCTTGACTGAAGTGTACATCCCGCTCAAAACAGTTCTCGGCGCTCTTCTAGGAACCCAGACCGGTCGAGAGGTGTCCGTTACCAACTCTTTCGAGCTCGTACATCTCGCGTCACCCGTCTCAGCTGGTGGGCCTACCGATCTGACTTTCCTTGATCAAGAATTCCTCAGTACCAGAAAGGAGCAGTGTGAGCGGTCCACCTTTTCTCCGTTATCGGCCAAAGCTGACCGACAGTCAAGCAGGTATTTCCGACATTGGATCTTGTCGGATGGTACACAATCGGACAGGAGCCGTCAGCCCACGATATGCACGTTCACAAGCAAGTGAGTGTTTGTAGCGTGATAGACAAGCCCTGATACATTCAGCTGGCTGACACTATCGAAACATGCGTGTTTTTGCTGTTTCATCCCGAAATACCCCCTAGCTCGCAAAGTCTTCCCATCAAGGTTTACGAGAGCGCTTTCACAGAAGACGGAAGGACAGAGGGGGGGCTCGTGCCGCTAGACTATGGCGTGGAGACCGGAGAAGCGGAGAGGATTGCCGTAGACGGAGTCGCTCGAGGGACAACAGATGAAAGTCTAGGTGCGAGAATGATGATCATGACTGAGCGTGTTGGCTAACCCTCAGTTGTCGGCAACCTCATCACTCAACGTAACGCTGTCAAAATGCTCTATGATCGGATACGTGTGCTCGTCCAGTACGTCTCCGCCACTGTAGACAGTGCGTGAGATCCAGCTGCAGTCGTCAAGATTTAAGGCTGACCATAGAAACCATTCCTGTGGACCATACCATCCTACGCCAGATCTCCGCTGTCCTATCTTCACTCCCTGTTATGAGCACCCCGGAGTTCACGTCCGAGCTGAAAACCGTGAGTGACACCAGGTATCAAACGCAATGGGAGCTGAAGTGCGCAGGAGCACGAGGATGTTCAGCTAACCTCGTATCTGACAGACGTGATAAGACAGCTGGACGCGCTCAACGAGGTGAGGCCCAGAGATCCCCCGGCCTGAGAAGACAGACGAACAGCGCTGACTGAACAGTATGCAGAGAAACACCACCAGGTCACTAGATCGACTGGAGAAGGACTAGAGGGGCATGGACGGACAAGAGGGCCTATGAATGATTGGGCCGGTCGGAGATGGTGAAAATTGTAAATCATGTAGCATGGTTTAGTAAATCTTTAGTAATCGATTAGTAACGTTTGTATATGCCGCTATACGCTACCAATCCGCCATTAGACACGGAACCTAATCTAATTCACTCGGGGCAAAAATCATAACACCCTTCCGTCCCTCCCCTTCCCTTCCCTTCCCTTGGCTCCATCCCCCTCCCTAAACACCTTGATCAAGTACATCTCTTCCTCCATAAAGTATCAATCAAAAGTCTACTGTATCCCATATACCTTCCTCTCGCACATGCTCTCCGAATATTCCTAGGGCTTTTACCTGAAAGCGCAGCACCCTCGTTGAACCCACCCTTCTTTCCTTCCGATCAGTTCTCACCCATTCTCCTCCCGTCATGGGCGATTCGCGACAACGAGCGCCCTTTCCTCATACATCCTCCTCGGCCGACCTCACTTCCCCAGAGCTTGGTTCGCAGACACATCTACGACCTTTTCCAGCGGCTCAGCAGCCTGTGGTAGGCCGTCAACCTTGGTCCTCTGCTACCCCGGCCGTCGAGGATGGTCCCAATGGTTTCGCCTACTTCGAACATCACAGCCCCCCTACATCGCGGCATCACCAACATGGCCATCATCCTTTGACTTCTGTAGCCAACATGTGGTCATCTCAGCCCATGTCCAAGAGAGATAGTAACGAGCTGAACCATCTCAACGGAAACGGCGTTCACGATCGTATCATCGGGAACCCTTATCTGGCGCCGGAAGATCCCCGTCATGTCGCACCGATATACTCCCTCGACACCCCTTCCCCGTATTATCGCTCATTGTCACCTTCTCCTGGCCGTGTTCCCTCACCAAACGTCTTTGCACTTCCTTCCCTCTCTCTTCCTAGTCTATCGACCATAAGGTTCATATCTCTCTGCTTCCTCTGGTACTCGTCTTCCGCCCTGTCGTCCAACACCGGCAAAGTCATCCTTAACAACTTCAGATACCCCGTCACTCTCACTATCGTTCAATTCTTCTTCGTCGCTGCATACTGCTACATATGTAGTCGACCAGTGTTAGGGTGGGCTGGGAGGCTGCGCTCGCCTTCAAAGGCCATCCTTCGAGGCACTCTACCCATGGCTGCATTTCAGGTTGGAGGCCACATTTTCAGCTCCCTGGCCATCAGTCGTGTACCAGTCAGTACGGTGCACACCATCAAAGTGAGTTGATCATTCATCCTCATGTAGTATCGTGACTGATTGGATAGGCGCTGTCTCCTCTGTTCACCGTATTCGCCTACGCCCTCCTCTTCTCCGTATCCTACTCCCCTGCCACGTACTTGTCGCTGCTTCCCCTCACGCTTGGCGTCATGCTCGCTTGTTCTTTCGATATGTCCCTGTCCAATGTATTTGGCATAATTTGTGCCTTCGGCTCCACTCTTGTCTTTGTCTCGCAAAACATATTCTTCAAGAAAATCATGCCGACCAACTCGGAATCTACGACAGGATCTGGTATTCCTTCAAGATTAGACAAGATAAACCTCCTATATTTTTCGAGCGGCACTGCATTTCTTCTCATGATACCTCTGTGGCTGTATTCGGACGCCCGACGCATAGTTGATGGCTGGCTCCATCCCGCGCTGTCCTTGTCGCCTGGTCCTTCTGTCCCTCTCTATTTCTTTCTCAACGGCACAGTTCACTTCGCTCAGAACCTTCTTGCGTTCGCCATCCTCTCCTCAACATCTCCTGTCACTTACTCGATTGCGTCACTGGTCAAGCGAATCGCCGTCATTTGCATGGCCATCGTTTGGTTCAAGCAAACGGTGCACCCCATTCAGGCACTGGGGATTGCCCTCACGGGCGTTGGACTGTGGATGTATAATAACGCCAAGAGGGACGTAGAAAAGGGAGAAAAGAAGTTCCGCCAAGCCGAGGCAGTGCGGGACGGGGTCTTACCCCTCAACAAGACGGATCAGCGAGTCCTCGAAGGACGATCCGAGGTCCTGTTTACCAAGGAAGTTCACAGCTCGCCCCGCCCCATGTATCCTCCCAACTTCCAGCACATGTCCAAGTCATCGGCTGTGCGTCCCACTGCCTTCGCTCTTCCCCCGCCTGTGATTCCCGTGCCCAGCAAACAAGGTGTTTCTGATCGGTCCTTGCACATCATCCCTCAAGAACCACCTTACCCTTCTCCGCCAGCCTCCACTGCATCCTCTCCGCCTGCCCCTCCAATCATGGAATCGCATACCAGACAACGCAACATGTCGATCGATCGACAGGACTCTGATTTTCACCTACCTTCTGCTGTCACCCGATCCGAAAATATAGAAGAGGAAACACACTCAAAATCTCACATCCTCTCTCCTCCCATCATCTCTGCAGGTGCTTAACACGGACATTAGATCTTATCTTGACAGTGTATGTGTACATGACAGATCTTGCGCCTAGTAGACCATAGACCACATGCATATAACAATTACCATCCAATGTCCCAAATGTCGTCTGATTGACCAGGTCGAAACCTGCTTTGTAGCGACCTCCATCGTGATCGCCAATCATCAGCGCTGACGTAGGCGCCGCACATTCTTCTCTTGCCCGTGAATGAGGATCTCCCGTGCATGACTCGCCAGTTGTCGATGACCGCGATCGTCAGTGCAGATTCTGGCCAGGCGGATGAAGCAAACTCACCAACAACGGTGCCAGGTGTCAGCTGTGCCCAGTACTCGGCATCCTCGCTCCTACTTAGCTGTTCAAACTGTCGCGCGGCCTTGTACCAATCTCTGACATCCTCTGCCGACCAGCCATCACCTATGATACCCCTGTCTTCGTTGTTCCATCGAACCTGTGCCAACTGACCTCTTTCGTCGTGGCTGAACGTCGGCTGACTGATCACTGGCCGCAGCGAAACACCGGGGGTTCCTGAGGCGTGGTGAGGAATGCGTAGCTGAGAGAGGTGGGAATATGCCGTGGGATTCAACGCTAAAAGGATGGAAGCGGTGTAAAAGGCATCGACGAGTAATGTCGTTCCCCCTCTTCCGTTCTCGTGAGACAGCAGGTGGAAAATTTGCAGACCGGCGGGGTCATTCAGATACGTGGTATCTGTGTGAGCTGGAAGGGCCTCGCTGCTGTACGCCAAGTCACCATGAGACATGTCCGACGTAAAGTCCCAGAAGCCGCCATCTAGTTACTCGTTAGCGATACCTCGTATCCTGAATGTTGATCCGACAAGAACTCACAATGCGTCTCCTTGATGTTACCTATTCGACGTATCAGTGCCACTGTACCGTGGACCGTAGTCGGAACACCCGATACGAAACAAAATCCAAAATCGTGCTGCGCGAGTCGGTCAGGATTCTGTGTAGCCAGAAATACGACTGACCACTTTGGCGAGGCACTCCAAGACACCTCTTTCAGCTACCTCCTCTCCAGAAAGATCCGGCATCAGTGACGTATATGTGACAGTCGGGGGATCATTCGCAATTTTCGAGTTCCAGAGTATGCGTCTCCTCGTCAGATGAACTACATTTCTCTAGAAAATGAACGTACTTCTGTAGCTGAAGGTCGCGGGGCTGCAGAGGTGGGTCGTAAGAGGCTCTGTGAAGAAAATGGTAGGGGAAGAAAGATATGTGTTCCTGCCCTGCCCATTCGACATGAAGTCCGGTTCGGGTCGCTTTGACGGCAGAGACGTGTGTCTCAGGAGAGGTCTACAGAGCATGAGTGATGGGCTTTATCTCTGCTTAGACTCACATCTGACAGAAGCCGTAAGCGCTGTTTGGTCTGAGCATGTAGACATGAAGAACAGCGGCAGTGGTCGAGGAGATATTGATTGTCGCTGGAAGTCAGTACAGTCTGTACCATGTTTAAGCAGTAAGGAGACTCACAATCGAGTCTGATGGCCGCCAGGAAGCGAGAGATAGATGTGCGACTCTGTACAAGATGCGTCGGGAATACGGTGTTCGATATGTTGACCGCTTGACTGAGGTGAAAGTATGTCGTTTGAACCGGTCGTCGAAATGGCAGGGGACCGAGAGCTTGATGATGATGACCAAGGTGCACGAGTCACGGCCACAACAGAACTGTACCGAGTCGGCCGACGTGTGAGAAGAGACCCTAACCTATTCAGAGACAACATGGGGCAAGTACGAGTGGAGTGAAAGTGAGAGTAGTATAAGAGTAGAATAGGTGGACAAAGCTGTTTGAGTGGTTGGAATGACCCGGTAGTGCAGTAGCCGACGGTCACCGGTTACAGTTAACAATTCATCTTTTTCGAGCCATGCTCATGTCCATGCTATCAATGCTAACGATACAAACACAGAATGACTGATCATTGGTATCACCCACGTCCACCTAGCTCCAGCCAAGAAGCACGCCCAGGCCGTAGCGTTCAGCATCCCTCGACCACATCGCCAAATCCTGCCCATTGTCAGTCACGCGGCTTCTTCTCGGACACATTTCTCACATTGGTATAGAAGTCAACTTTCTTTCCGTCCATCTGGCCTGCACCAGCATGACAATCGGTATAATGGGTAGGACATTGTGAGTAGAAGGGAAAGGGTTCCCAGCCCACATGTTCCGTGCCCACACTGCCAATGTTGCCCCGTTAAACGGTAGCAGTAGGGTCATGAAGAGCAGAACACAATGGTTGAACTTTGCTTGAGGGGACTACGCTTCAGCACAAAGTCAACATTTATGAAATACTGTCACATGAACAGGACCGACCTGCACATCCACTGAAGCCGATCGCAACGATGTCACCAGGTGTAAGAGGTACAACACGACAAAAGCCAATTCCTTCGGGATGAAGATCCAAACGGAGGTCACAATCACCGCGGCGGGCACAACTTTTGACGCCAGACTGGTGGACTCGCTGACATCGGCTGACTTCCCCTCTCTCCATCAAGAGTACTCACATGGTATCCTTCTTGTCTCTGTCGACCTCGAATCCGCGCCTAAGGACAACAAGACCAGAGAAGATGGTTGCAAGTATCATTGTCGCCACACAGAAAAGAGCAAACGTGAAGCTGGCAAACAACGGTACCAATAGCCAGAATCGAACTTCGGTGGTTCCCAGCAGCAGGAAAGGTACGACCGGTACTCTCTGTGCTGCGGTCTGTAACATGACCAGGACGACCAAGATTCCAATGGCAGATATGACGGGACGTCTGGCAAATGACTCTATGATATCTGCGAAAAGACTCGGTTTTGTCGAGGCTAAACTTCAGCGGGATCGTAAATGGGAGGGATGTAAACTCACTATTCACTGAACCTATCATCTTACCTACGACCGCCACCGTCCATCCGCAGATCCACGCGAAAAGTGCCATCCGGTAGCGGATCACTATTTTGGACAGACTGAGGTAAGGATTGAGGGTCAACGCAAACCTCTCCGTAGTACATCCCGCTTGTTCGAACATATCAAGTGTCCAGCGATGGCCCGGAGGTGAGATTGGAACGAAGGGCGCAGACACAAGGTGTGAGTGTAGCCCCATAGACCTATTTGATATTGGGTAGAATCGGCATTCTGTCAGCCCATGTTGAGTGTCGAACATGCAGGCTCGTACCAACGGATGTCGACCTTGGATCATCATCTTTTCCCACTTCAGAGACCGATGGGATTTTACCCACCAACACAACGTTCCGACAGTGTGATTTCCAAGTCATGTATCAACAGAGCTGATGTCATGCTGCTTGTTGGCACGATTGTACGATGAATAGAAGGTGACATGTCCGTGACTTCTGTGAGATCAGAGGTGTCTAGTCGTACTAAGGCATGGCTCACGGAAAATGTGACCTAACGTAGTGAGATGTGGGCCCCTAGAAACCTCGACATTAGAACGTGTACCCAATCGCAGTGTACCGACAATCTCAGGTAGACCAACCGTGACCACCCAAGCCACGTCGCCGGGTTGACACCCTTCCCCAGGAAGAGGGAAAGGAGCAGAATCGTCGGCCGGGAAGGGGATGGCTTCCCAGCGATGGGGAATGGGTTGACAGACGGAATCTGTGGGACACCATTCGACATTCGAGACAGGACTTCCGTCGTTCCAGTCGAAGCCCTTGGGTTGGGCGGTGACAGTCATGTTTTGCGATGTGACGATGAAAGTATGGATCACGTCGGAGTTTGATATCGGATGTGGAGTGAATGGCAAGCTCTGATCGCCTACAAGCCATCGTTGGGCGACAAGCAGCTTCTCCGACCTGGAGGTGGAGTTGCCCATGTACAGTAGTGTTCGAGCGATGCGCCAGCGGACCTGATGACACCAGACCATAGCTTGATGTTCGACTGGTGTCCACACTCCAGGCATACTGGTTGTAAAGACGGTGACACCGACGCCGGCAGACGTATATTGTGGAGGAAGACTGCAAGCATCGGAAACGATTTGGGTGTCAGCGACGCCCCCACAAATAGAGACCAGAACGGGTGTCACCGCATTGACTTGTTGCGAGTTTATCAAGTTATAGATAGCCTCCATGTCGTATTCAAGGGGTGCAGGAGGAAATAAATGAGGTGTAGACATGGTGATGACGACGTCGACGAGTTTGGGGTCTTGCATGGTGAGCGCAAGTCTGGCGACGATTCCCCCCATGGAGTGTCCTATGAGGCTGATCTGGGTCGGTCGATGTTGAAAGGGCAAGTGATCATATTCGCCAAGGATTCGGTGGATGGCTCCCACAACGAAAGTAGCTTGCTCTCGCAGAGTTTGGGAATGCCAAGCGGAAAGTTCTTCATTAAAGTCAGCTGGTGACGTGAGCAAAAGAGCATTCCCACGACAGGTTTGAACACACCTGTGAAGACATCAACTCCTTTCAAAGTCTGCAATTCATGGTTGAGCTGACCAGAATGATCCATCCGCTGACGTATGACGGAAGAAGCGATGGATCTCGCCTGCTTGTAATGGCCGGCGTTGCCAGGAATGAAGAGGACAGGTTGACCTGAAGGCTGTAACGTCAACCAGGACATCAATCCAGGTGCAGGGAGGGCTGCAGGCGGTGAGAGAAGAAAAGACCTACGTTGATTGTATCCCATCCGACTTCTCTGTAGAGGAACAAGCTATACTTTGCGATGGGAGAATCGGACCATTCCATCTTGAGATAAGAAGGAGTCATCCAGCTCATCTCGCAACCCCAGCTGCCCGACTGTGTCTGATCCAAGTTGAATGACCGGTAGACGAAGCAAGATAGGAGTACGCCCAGGAGAGACCAGACGTATGTAGCTGAACGCAGTGACCATGACTTGTCGTGCATGGCATCGTTTATGGCGTCTTGGGGTTATCAGGCAAGAAGAGTGAATAGTGTCAATGAGAGCAAAGCGACTCGAGAGGAGGGGGAACAGGCAAGTACTTTAGTGAAACTTAACTACCTAACTTAGCGTTCGGATATCTCAACAATCACGGGTACATATTTCTCGTGCAACATGCGATGCTTGCCTCATAAAGTCATTCATAGTCGTGCAATCACTTCTCATCGGGAGGCAGTAGTATGGCAAAGTTGTTCCGTCTCCCCGTGTCCCGTTGTACACTACTCTTTCGAGTCCATTGGCTTGTCCCGACGTTTGTCTCTACTTGACGCCACGCCCATAACCAGTATCCTACTTTTCCGCCAGGTTTCCATCTCTCCGCAGCCAGCTCGAATCCTATCGTCTTCATAAGCGATCGCAAAGACGACACGGTTGTGTATCGAGAGTTGAAGAGGCAGGGCAGAGGCAAGACGAGAAAGAGCAGAGAACTGGGGTCGGGCCGAAGATGTCGATGGCAGAGCTGCAGCATCCGGCCTGCCCGTCAGCCGTCACATTTTGCATCGGAAACGTCTAGCACACCTCGCTGTATAGGACTGGTAACGAAATTCAGGACAAGACTGCAACTGATAATGTCGAACCACTCGTCGCTGCCTTTGACCGGTACTGGGCGATGGAAAAAGTCTTGTTGGAGGATGAGGGGGTGTTGAGACTGAAGGTCGATTGGGTGGTTGTCTATCCAGGACGAGCATTCAGCCATATTATCGGGCAACAGAGCGCCTATTTCGAGCATACTGCTGGCTCAGTTGAGACGGTTCATGATGACGGTCCAGACCTACTCACCGCAAACGACCGGGATGCTGTCCAGGACCTGTACGATCACGTCGCTCCTTCAACCAAGGTATCAAAACCCGTGAACTATCACCTCCCCGTACTGTCGACTGCCCCATTATACTCGCTTGCTGATAAGCGTCCAGACCCCCTAGAGCCTCTATCTCAGCCTCAACCTGCTTCAACTCGGGCGACGAACGAGATCCCCCCTGTGAGCGACGACGAACAAGGAGCCGGTCGCGCTTCTTGAGCAGGACGTGATAGGCTGATATCGTGGCCTGTGCCGCTTTGCTGGAGAGGGGAGGTTTGGTTATGTGACGAGTGATAACTTGAGTGATTGGCCCCTTACGAGCACGCCTCGGACGAGTCATGATGTGCGATGTATGAAACAAGATGAAGGATAGAAGGGAGATAAGTTAAGTAGAACTTACCGTAGTCACGTCATTGCGAGTAAGTATTTACCCATCATAAGTACCCATCTTAGACTCGCTCGTTGTCTAGCCTACTCTACTAAGTTTACTCTATCACTTGCTCATTCTGATCACAGTCTGTCATCGTTCCCCTCCCTCCATGCTAGCATAGGGAATAGTGAACAGCCCACACGTTGAACCTGTTGGACTATACAGTCCTGGCACTATGGACCGACCACAGACTAATAATCAACCTGCCGACGGCTCCCTTTCGCAACCTCGTCCACCATCTGATGATTTCGGAGCCTTCTCTTCTGCACCTGTTCCGGGCGGCTTACTACAAGCTGGTGATCTTCTCGGTTCATTCGAGGACAAGCAAGTGAAAGAAAAGTCTCATCCCATCGCTCATCCGTCACAGACCGCTCCGCATACTCCACCCAACAAGGATATCAAACCTCCAGATTTGCTGGGCGACATCCACGATCCCTGGGCGACCGATCTAGGTGGACACCAGGGACACCCTTCACCACTACCTTCGAATCCTCATGCTGAGCATGCTCAACTCTACAACTCCAGCTCCCTGCCCATACACGTCAAGCTCCCTCCGCGGCCATTCGAAATCTCACCCGAATATGTTCCTCCCCTACGTTGCCCTCGTCAACTGTCCCAGCACTTTTACTCCCCCGGACCCGGACCGGGCTCCCCTCCACTCGTCTCCAACATCGGCAACGATATAGTTTTCCATCCTCCGCACGAGTCCGAACGGCCCATCGCTTCTTCGTCATCCACGTCTTCCGGCTCACGTTTACGACGCCTTAGCGACACTTGGCTTGGACTCGATTCCCTGGAACATGACCCGTTTAGTCCCACCCAGTCCAGACTGCTGAATACCCTGGCCACCACGACCAAAGTGGCCTCGAAATGGAAGTCTGTACTCGATCCTCATTCTTTCCCTCACGCCGACGATCCGGCCCTCCCGAAGAAGCCATCGGTGCCCCCCAGCGCTACCGCGTTACCCATAGGTATCACACATACCACACCTTTTGCGACACCCGAGGAGCTCTCTGGTAGCTACATCGCACCCACCGGAGCTCCCGCGTTCAATCGGCGTGTGAACGACCATACTAGTCGGCCTGAAGACTCAAGTAAAGAGTGGGTGGGTGTGCGCCTGACTGGAAGGAGGGAAGGCACCCATCAGCTTCTCAACCAAACAATAGCTGACAAAGTGGGTTTCATCGCTCCACTTGCATCGTCTGACCACTGATCAAATCCAGTTGCGAGCTTGTTTGCCCCCACGACAACGCCTGGCATCCCAATGGCAATTATTGTGTGAGTGAATCATATCCTCTGTCTTCGTGCTCGACTGATGAACTCAGTCTCTTTGGATCAGCATGGTGCTTCGCTATCTTCCCTGTATAGGCTAGTCACGACTCACATACCTAATAATCCTTCCTCCACAAATCTTCTATTGGTGCGGGACGGGGACAATCACGTCTTCGGCGTTTACATTGCGGAACATATACAAAAAAAAGAAGGCACATACTACGGTAGCGGTGAATGGTAAGCTGCTCCTCATTGACTAACAAAATTGACGGGTACCAGTTTCCTCTTCAAGTTCCGCGATGACGACTCTGCTCCTTGCGTGTTTCGGTGGACAGGCCGCAATCAGTATTTCGCACTTTGCGAGACGAATTATGTGTCCTTCGGAGGCGGGTGAGTGTTTCACTCTCCCCACATCGCAAATATGACTAAATCGAAAAGCAACGGTACATATGGGCTGCTGCTCGATTCCACGTTCACTCGCAACTCCACTGCGACATGTCCTACTTTCGATAACGAGGTACTTTGTCATGATGGCATCGTTTACTCTGAAAAGCCGACCAGCTTTGATTGTCTAGGAGTTGAGGTATGGGCTATATAGGCATCCAACCACCCATGTCCTCTCTCATGCATCCCGTCACGACCAAACCTGGAAGACTTGTGGCATAGTCCCTTAGTGTAGGTGCTCTGATTTCATCTGATTGCTTCCACTCTTCTTTGGAATTGAACAGAGCTTTCTGCCTTCAGGTATGCTCTCACGGTCCTCTAGATTCCATAGAGTTTGAGGCCGGGATGGATCCGCGGCTACGAAATCCAGATAAGTACAATACTATGTACAGTCACTATTAAAGGTCTCTCTGTACAATCCGTGCAAATATCACTTGTTGGTGACCCACACATCACGAGGAATCAAAACTCATCTTCACTTGTCCAACATCAAGTAACGTGTCTCACCTACAATCGGGACACCCCCCCCTTCGGGACACTTTTCAAGAATCCAACTCATGCAGACATGCCCAACACGTAAGAGTTGGGCCAGATTCTTTTTGTCTTTTCCATGAGGATTTCTCTCGGCCGTTTCTGGACACTTATTCGACTTGTGGCCTGGTTTGAGACAAGTAGAGCACTTTGGGAGAGGTTTCTCAACACCCCAGGCCCGTTCACCTGCAGAAGCAATTCTACCGGTCTTATGTACCTTGGGACAACCTGAAGGAAGTTTACCTGCATGTTTAGCCTTCTCCTGAGCTCTCGTAGTCTTCAATGGTGGGTTCCTGAGCCTTGGTTCTTCAGAGAACTCTTCAACGTCCACTTCAAGCTGAACAACCAAAGGATTTTCACCATTTTTGCTGAACTGTTCATCAATTGCAGTTTTCAAGCTCGCCATGTGACTCATTGAGGTTAGTTTCCACTGGTGGTGAAGGTCTTCTGGTTTAAGAGGACGATCCTGACAAAGCAGAGAGAGAATTCTATGAGAACAAGGGATCCCAAGGGCCGAAGTGGTGGTACCTAAGCAGGGGACACAGGGAGGAGGATTTTCACTTTGGCCACTTTTGATAGCTTGATCTGCAATTTTTTTTTGATGTGAAACCATTTTCAGAGCTCTGTCAGAGATAATACCATTCACCTGCACTCTAGCAACATTCAGCTAAAGTCCGGACAGAAGACAAGGAAGGAGAAAGACAGGAGACGTACCAAAGACATGAGAGGACCTGTCTTAGTAGCCTTTTTTGTCATTTCCAACTCCATGGCCATTGTGTTTGTGGCCCATTGATCATTAAAATACTGCTGAAGATCATCCACCACATAATACATGTCTCTCCATCGACGGTCCAGGTATGTCTTGGCCAGGTTATGTCTTCCTTCAATGGGAGAAGTCAAACAAACCCCAAAATGACATAACAAAAATGCTCCTTGTGATTGTCCAATAAAGTCATGACGTGATCCACTGCAGGGCAAAACTTTTCAGAGTACTCTTCCTGTAACATCATTATCCCGTCCTCCATTGCTTCAACCGTCCTGGCCTGCACAGTGTGGACTGTGCTGGCCCTCACAAACTCAAGAAACTTTGGCTTCCACTCTTCTAGATGATGAAAATGTTTTCCAATATTGCGCTCGAGGTTTTCCTTCATGTGCCAGAAGCAATAAACAACTTTGATGTTGGGATATGAGTGTTTGAGACCTCTGTGCAGAGCAGCTTGCTGATTTACCACTGCTACCTTGAACCTTTTCACCATCTCTCCTAATAATTCATCCAAAGCTTTAACAGCTACCTTGTACCAAGCTGTTGTTTCACAAGATATGAATACAACTCCTGCAGTAAATGTTTTTCCTGTGGCTGTAAATCCAACCATACAAAGCATTGGTAGTTTATACCTATTGGTTTTATAGGCTGCATCGAAGTAAAACAGATAAGGAAATCGACGGGCCAGAGCTCTGGCTCTGGGGGTGGTAAAGGCAAGGCCACAGAGCTGATTGTCTTTGTCCTTGAAGGCTTTGAAAAGACTGTTGGTACCCTCAAGCTTCTTGATACACGCCTCTGCAGCAGTGTGTCCTGCACAAGCTTCTTGGCAAGTACGAAAAGGCAGGTTACTGATGTCTTTGGGGATGATGGTGAGACCGAACTTCTTGGCAACTTCAGCACAGATTGTTCGCTGTTTACAACCTTTGGCTGACTCTTCTTCAATGAGTTTGCAAGCTTCAGGAGAGAGACGGCGAAGTAACTTTAAGGAGACGTCTTTTATTGGTGGGTGGTTAGGAGTACCATTTCTAACCTCTGCAGACCAATCCCATGTGTCATTTTCCTCCAAGATCTTTGTACCACACGCCCACACATGGTACCCACACCCTGTCTTGATTGATTTACAGTTTCTCAAAGGTTGAAGTGGTGGATGGGCCCAAATGGCAGCTGAGTCAGGAAGTGGTAGCTTTGGGACATCGTTTTCAGCCTTTCCTCGAGGGGGACGATATTCCCCGTGACAAACACATTGAAAATCGATGACACGACAAGTAGGGCTTGTGTACTTTGAGTGGGTGATAACGAGAGCGCAGTTGTGGTCTGCATGAAAGACGTACCGGTCACAAAGCATGACTCCCTCTGAGTACCAGCTCATGTATTCGGGTGAGGGGTGGCTGAGTAGTTTGAGGGGATCTACTGCGTTGAAATCATGATCTGAGGAGGCCTGTGAGCTTTGGTGGTGAAGCCCAAGAAGACTGGGAGGCTCGGTATGAGCAGGAGAGGAAGAAGGGGGGGGGATGATACATGTCTTGGTTTGGTGGAGAAGGAAGAGTGATAGGATGTCCTTCTCGTTTAGCAGTTTTGACGTCATTGATGAGTTGCAGGAGATCCCAGTAAGGGAGTTCTTCATCGTAATCATCAATCTGGAAAGGAAAGATAGGCTCAGACATCTTGAAAAAAGGTGGGGAGACGTCTAGAAACATGTCAGCATATGGCGTTGACTGAAGTTCAAAAACTTTAAGGAGGAAAGTCGTATGAGATCAAGAGACACTCTTACATGATGTTTCTAGTATCAACAGAAAGCTAGAGAGCAGGAGACTTGATGGGTGAAGACAGCAGAGTGAAATGAATACACAGTGCTGTTTTGAGAGGTTTGGCGTATAGGTGAAATGAGCCGAGATACAAGTCAAAATGATGTACGCGTTGAGTGGCATGTGTGATGTGTAATTTCGAACCACGTAGTGGTTGAAGGTACTCAAAACATATGACAGGAAAAGGGCAATTTCAGGCAATCAGGAAATTAAAATTGGCCAAACATAGCCAAAGAAGGAGTTTTTGAGGAGTGCCTGCTCAAAGGAGACCAATACCCTATGATTGACCCTGAATGGTGTGTGTAAACGAGATTCATGGTGTGCGCATAGTAGGGATCGAAAGGGGGGGGGGTCCCGATTGTAGGTGAGACAAGTTACAGGTGGTCATACTTATCACCCTCGTGTATCAACCCTGTCATCTGCAACACTATCCAACAACATATTTTGTTACAACCTGGTTAACCAGCACCAGGCCATACACTGGCCATGCAAGTGACATCTTATGCCACTGCGCTAAAAGGCACAATATCACAATCAACCCTATGATTGTGATCCGGTTATAACCTGATGTCACAACTGAGGTTGCAGGGTCGTGACTCGACCTGGTAAACCAGCTTGCAACTGTCACGGGGGTGGGCTTGTCATGGACGACAACAGAATACAGGACTGTATCCTGAGAATGGGACTGTGACCCAATGAAGTCTCTGGCCTGATGAGAGATTAACAGAGATGACAGAAATGTTGGGGATGAGAGTTACATCTAAAGCTATGAAGAGACGTCTACAAGAGTTTCAGGGTTCTTACGTGATGTGTAACTTGGTACTGATTATCACTATCTAACACTCCCCTTAATCCGTACTAAGTTGCTTTCATAGGATTTGTCACAATCGTCGTTTCTTCTCCTCTACTGACCGACGGTCGACAAACCTCGGCTAACTACATCGTAGTGGGGTGTCGGTGTCTCACTAGGACAGGGTACTCGTCGGGGGAACTACGGCTAACTTCGCCGTAGTAATACGTCAAGCGGTAAATGATACAGTGATCGTTGATGAACTGCGGCTAACTTGGCCGTGGTACGTTGAACTGCTCGGTGGTAGCTCTCCTTAACTCGAAGGTTGTAGCTACTGAATATATCGCTCGCTACTGACAACAATCAAGGATCGCTGAAGAAGTTCAGCGATCTGTAAACTATCTATACTACTCCTCTCTCCTCGTAGAACGTCCCTCAACTCCTGCACTGCCTCACGCTCAGTCCTCTTCGTTCAACTTCGCCGTACCTCGCCATATCCCCGATGTCCTACTCCGCTCACTTCGACTAACTTCACCTAACTTCCCCTGTTCTGCTCTCCCTCGGTTCCCTTCCCCTAACTTCGCCGTAGTTCTCCGCTCGACGGGGTTATCGTGACAATTACCCTCTTGGTTCTCGTAACTTCGCCGTAGTTGGTCTCAGTGGTTCTAGTGGAGGTTGGTGATGGTGAAAGGAAGGTCGGTGATGGTGAAAGGAGGGTTGGTGATGGTGGTTGTCAGGGATGTTACGACGTAGTTCGTGACAGGATTGAAGAAAGATTACCAAAGACTATGGGTTCTGGCGACTCGTCTCTCATGACATTGACTTGATGTTTTGATTGGTATTCTTTAATGGCTTCCTGTCATGAATAGTGATAAGGAATTCTGACTCATGCTCAGAATAGTGATAAGGAGATATGACTCATTCTAAGAACTGTGATAAGGATTGAAGGAAAATATGAGTCATGGTATTTAGCAGTTCAGCAGTGAGGCATTTACGTGATTGGCTGAAGCCTGGAAGGTTCAGCAGTTTAGCAGTGAGGCATTTATGTGATTGGCTAGAAAATCCCTCACACGCTTTTTATTTAGTACACCTACTTTAGTTTTGAAGGGTATAAAAGGAGCACATCTCCCCCCTCTTTCTTCAGCAATGTATCTTCATCTTGAAGTTGAACTTCATCTTTGAAAGTCACCTAGTTGGTTCTAACCCAACACCTCAGTACCCTCAGTACCTAAGGCAGTCATCAAGCTCTACGAGCCAGAGACTAAAACCCTTCAGTACCCAAGGCAGTACTTTGCAACCGCAGTCTACCCGTAGGCGTGACACTTCCTGTAATTGACTCTTGGAAAGATCTCCGTGTTTATTAATGCAACAGTCTTCCACACTATGTCCGTATTTACCACACCAGTCACACTCTTTGTCTTCCTCACTATCACTCTCATCCTTCCCGTGTTTTCCTTCTTTCCTCGTCTGTCCTTGTCTCTTCTCCTTCGCCTTGTTACTTCCATGTTCACTACCAGCACCATTACCTCTGCCTTTTCCTACCCTACTACCTGATCTCCCTTCATCCGGCTTTATAGCATCTTTATTTGCGAGAACAGCACTGATGGCTTGTTGAGTGTGGTTCTCCATTTCTTGCTCAAGACGGCAAGTGTCAGCAACACTGTGGTACGCAGTTACAAGATGGTCCCAGCTGTTCTGTGTGTCTGGTTGGTGTTATGACACTGCATACAAGGAGGTATGGTTGGCATTGTAGAGTATGATAAGGAGCATGATGTGGAATAGGAGAATGGAGCTTATCAAGGTTAGACAGATATCAGAACATTAGAAGACTTGGTATGGATTGGTCAGCACATGATATCATATGATGTCATGGCTTATTCTTCGTATACTTGAATTATGGAGAAAAATGTGCCTGGGCATTTGCCCTGAGCTAAGGAGAATTTGGGAGGCCGCGGAGCGGACGACCGGCGTGTCTGGTTCAGCATGGGGATTGGTCATTGCTGGTTCAGCATGGGGATTAGTTGTGCTTACTCAGCTGCTTGATCAGCAATGACATCATTGCTTGATAAGCTGCTTACTCAGATGCTTATCAATCATGACATCATTGATGATTCAGCAAGGTGGAGGTAGCTGGTTTAGTTTGTAGTTTGGTAGAAACAGAGGTCTATATAAGAGCGCTGAAATTGCTCTTTTCCCTCTGTCGATGAATTCTCATAAGTTACTCTCATAAAACTTTGCCACTCACTCTACTCATCCCTTGTTATCTTAGTGACTTACGCCATAATGTGTTCACCACTGAGGTGCTTGTCATCATTGTCCAATCCACTCTACGCTATCACTTTGTCTTCCGTCGCTGTCGTCCACTGAAGTTAGGTCTGGTCACTGCCTAGCTCTCAGTTGTAACAGTTGGAGGTCCCACTGTTGACGAAGTGGAGCAAAGTCGCGACCAAGGGAGAGAAGAAATCTTTTGGTACAATCACCATCATCTATATGGGCACCTGCACCAAGAGCCTCGGCTACTAGCTCCCTAAAGGTCTCGAGGTGAGCATGCATGGTTGTCACGAACTACGTCGTAACATCCCTGACAACCACCATCACTGACCCTCCTTTCACCATCACCGACCTTCCTTTCACCACCACCAACCTCCACTCGAACCACTGAGACCAACTACGGCGAAGTTACGAGAACCAAGAGTGTATTTGTCACGATAACCCCGTCTAGCGGAGAACTACGGCGAAGTTAGGGGAAGGGAACCGAGGGAGAGCAGAACAGGGGAAGTTAGGCGAAGTTAGTCGAAGTGAGCGGAGTAGGATATCGGGGATACGGCGAGGTACGGCAAGGTTGAACGAAGAGGACTGAGCGTGAGGCAGTGCAGGAGTTGAGGGACGTTCTATGAGAAGAGAGGAGTAGTATAGATAGTTTACAGATCGCTGAACTTCTTCAGCGATCCTTGATTGTTGTCAGTAGTAAAAGACAAATAGAGATAGCTATACATCGGGATACATCGCCATCAATAGAACAAAGCCTTAGTTAGAGTAACTACGCCGAAGTACGCCGTAGTTACACTCCTTTCGACGTCTGCGCCCTCCTGGTTGGGTGAGACATCGACTCAGAAGCGTGAAGTTAGCCGAGGTTCGTCGACCGTCGGTCTATTAGGAAGAAGTTGCTCGACGGCCGTGACAATGGTGTCAAAGTTTGTATTTTCAACTAGACGGAGGAGGGAAATACGTTGGTTGAGATCATTACACCTTGCAGTTGTTTTAACTTGATGCTGCACAGTAATACACGCCCAGAGTTCTTGGGCTGACCAGAGGTCCTCAACGTGGGCGGCTAGTCCCGGAGAGATTGAGAAAACAAGTGTCAAACGAGCTTTACACTCTTTGTTGGCCCAATCTAGCCAGGTGGTATGCTGAGTAGCTGTCAAAGCTACGGCTGTTGTCAAGTTTGTGGCATCTGGGGGAGCCTCTCCTGCAATGGTATTGGGGGGAGAGACAACGGAATGATCTGTTGGCACTGCCGGATTTACAAGTTGTCTGAAAGGCTCAGGCTCATGGCCGCTGACATGACCTTGAGCACCTTTGTTGAAGAGGTACTTACGTACACCTTGGCGCCAATGAACAAAGGTCTCTGTCCCTGTTAAAGTCGGGATTAACTTGGAAAGAGCAGAGAGGTTGTCGTTACTTGACATCATGCAAGGTCGCTGCAGCGGTAATTAATTAAACGTGCTTGTGCAAGATATGTGTTGCCTCAGAGGTGTTCACACTTGCTTTGGCGGATGGAGGCGCTGCAGAGGTGTTTAAACGTGCTTGTGCACAGAGGAATGTGGTATGGAGAGTCGAGCGGATGTCTCGGAACCTACACAGCGGGTAGGCTTTGCAGCGTCAAGAGTGTTACCAAATTTACTCTGTAAAAGACAGGGCATGGAGCAATGAGTGATGTATGGTAAAGGAATGTGATGAGGTGGCAAGAGGCTCGTGCGTTGATGGATACTTGAAGGTGTGTATTGAGACTCAAAGGTGTTGAGACTCACAGCCGGAAAGTGTCCAAGAAATGGACCTAGCAAGGATTGACTAGGAAGGGGATCCGTGATGACTCTGTGGTTATGTGTACGTGAGGGGAAAAGATGATGTGAGATAAAGCGTATGAGGAAAGTGATGATGGAGCAGAGGAGGATTTTATCAAAGGGATGTGTGTTGTCAAGGCTTCCAAGCGTCAACTGTGTACTCACGGTCATCTCAATAAACCCGTGTATGTCTGAAATCCAGTGATCTGTGATCTAATGTCCAAACGTCTAAATCCAGCGTTCCAAACAATATCTAACGTTTCTAAATCCAGCGCTTCTGATGTTTCCAGCGTTCCGACCACCAATATATAACGTTAGTAATTGTGCGGCCAAGAGGGAACCCAAGAGGGGCCGTGTTGCTAGGTATATGTCAAGCGTGTGATTTATTGATAGAGGGTGGATTGGTGAACTCTCAATATGTTTTGTGAGAGGAGAATGCTACCCTGACTGTGAATCTGTTGGGGATGAGAGTTGCATCTAATGTCAGATGTAGAAATTAGAATGCATAAGAGAAACTACAATATCGACAGAGGTCAGATATGAGACGAGTGAATACGCGGAAACAGCGATTGCGCTCCAATGTAGCAGTTAGCCGATTGTACCATTTCCGACACCCCCACTCAAGCGGATCTGCCACATACCCCAAATAACTCCCTCAGTCTATCAAATGTATCTGAAGGAAGAGCCTTTGTCAACAAGTCAGCCATGTTCCCTGCTGAGGGAATATGTGACAGAGAGACAGTGTTGTCTTCAACTTTCTCCCGAATATAATGATGTCGCACGTCAATATGTTTTGTCTTGTTATGATGAACCGGATTCTTTGCAAGAGCTATAGTTCCCACATTGTCATTAGCAAGATCAGGTTGAGTGATGGTTGAAGCATAAAGAATAGCCCCCACTGCTTGGGCATATGGGTAGTGTTTTGCTTCATTATGTTCTTTATCTGTTGCGGGGATTGGATGAAATCCAGAAGGTAGAGGAGTTTTTGCAGGATTGCAATCTTTCAAGTCAAACCGTTCAAGAAGTGACTCAAAGTAATGTTCTTGAGACATAAACAGTTTGTGATTTGTTCTATCACGATGAATGTTGAAACCAAGAAAGTATCCAACTGGACCAGAGTCTGAACACTCAAACTCTGAGTTTTAAAGCGCCGCTTTGAAGTTGTCCAACATAGTTCAGTTGTTACATGCAATGAGCTGATCGTCAACATGTACAGAGCACATAAGAATGTTAGCTCCTTCACGCTTTGAATAGAAACAAGGATCCGCTTTTGTAGGAAGTAAACCTTGAGATTGTAACCACTTGTCAAGTGTGTCGGAAATGGTACAATCGGCTAACTGCCACATTGGAGTGTTATCCCTATTTCCGCGTATTCCCTCGTCTCTTTCGCCTCTGTCAAAATTGTAGTTTCTCTTTATGCATTCTACTTTCTACATCTGACAGGTTATGAGTCTGAAAGATCGCTCTTAAGCAAACTCTAACTGCTCCCGACACCCCTGTGGTCCCTCCAGCATTAGAATCAAGTAGAACTATCAGTAGAATCATCAACCCACTTCAAAATTTTCGCTTTTGCTCCAAATCACGTTTTGCTTCAAACCACGTTTCTCACTCTCACTCTATCTCCTCCAATACTGCTCTGAATCTCATTATCTCTTCAGATCTGAACAGAGCGTCACTGTCACCACCATCACTGAAAGGAGCAGACCGACAGCAGTAATGAATAGCAAGATAGAATGAAAGTGAAATTTTTCGACTCCATTGAATGTCCTCCCTCAATTAACCAACAAGATCGCGTTTTCAACACCACGCAGTCAATCCTAAACGAGATACATCGCTCTCTAGTTCATTAGAAGCAGGAGAGTAGGGGGTACCTCGAACAGGAAAGAGATTGACGTTCGGAAAAGCGGTTGGGGCAGTAAGTCATTTACAAAGTCGGAATTTTTGTCAGCAACAATAAGACAGCTTCCACGTTGGATTTTGATCCTCATCACCTCAATTCTGCACCAATTCCATTGCTCTTAACAACTCCTGAATTACCTCACTGTGCTCTCTCTAGATCTTAACCAGATTCAATCTCGGTTGAACGGTTGAACCAGCAGACCAAAGTTTTGAAATCAAAATTCCAAAACTCACCATTTGAATCTCAAATTCAATTTTTGTTCTCATTTCCACAATTCTCCACCGGTCCTATTGCGCTCTGTCATTCCTATATTGCTCCACCGCGCTCTATCTATATCTGCAGTCAGATTGTGAATCAGAGCAGTGCTTGAAGCAGGAGACCGAAAATTCAAAATCAAAAACTCGGTTTTTCCATTAGTCCCTCATCACCTTTTATAAATCATTGCTTTCTTATTCCTCAAACCCACGCTTTACACCAAGCCTCTGGTATCAACGCTCTCGGCTGGGAGTGAAGGCAAGTCCTGCAGAAGCGCAGGTGAAAAGACAAAATCCCTTCCACACTTTTTGTTTGTTTCCCCTCATTACTCCTCTCTATTCCCAAAACGAGACCTGCTTTACTCAGGAAAGGTCTTAATTACGCCTTTTCTAACGTTTTTGGACTTACTTACACCCATTTCAAAAAAAGGACTTTATTACACCTCCCTTCCTGGACCCCCAATGCATGCTTTGCATGCATTAAAAACACTCTCCTCCACCCCTGACCACCTCACCCCCTAACCCCCTAACGTCGTTATGTATGGTCAATACCCCCCCTAACTTGGTGCTCATAGTCCACCCTAACTGGGGGGCAGTAAAAAGGACCCTTCCCCCAGCCAAAGAACGTAGTTAAGACCCAGATCTCGGAAAAGGCGTATTTAAGTCCAAAAACGTTCCGAAAAGCGTAATTAAGACCTTTCCTCCTGCTTTACTGTGGGAGGTGCTCCGTGTATTCCATGTTGAATACAGCGGTGTGGACAAATCTGGACGCCCCAGTGGCGCACCTCTGAGTCCTAGGACATATCAAGCGCGCCTCGCAATCAGCTGAGTCACTCTGAGAGTCTATTCTTTGCTGTTTGAACTGTTGCTGATTTTACATTTCGCAAAATATCACTTTTTCCATTATCTCAATCAGTGGTTCCACTTTTGGCCTCTTCTCTACACACATATCCGCTATCACTGTGTCTATAATCAACGTCAATCTCAGCACATAGCTTCTGTTGTTTTCAAAGTTATCTGGATTTTGTAAATTTGACACCACAATCTGGTTTTAAAAGCGCAGAAATTGTCTTTCTCATTTTACTTAGTCCTCTTCGAACCGACTGGGCTGAATCTTACTACACGTGTAGGAACACATTGCGTCTACCATCACAAACAATTTTGTCACATTCCGATCACTCCTTCCAAAGTTATTCGCGCTTTTTACAATGTCTGATTCATCCAACACAGAAGTAAAAGTCAAAATCGTAAAATTGAGAGGAAGCAAAAATTATGCGCAATGGGAAGCTCATATCGCTATCACACTTATGGGCAAGGGATCACTACCGTATATCGAGACCGAATCGCCATCTCAAGACTTGAAAGATAAGGAAAACATCAAGGAACCTCTCAAACTTGCCAAAGCGTACTCAATAATTTTCCAGTCCCTTTCAGAAACAATTTCCTCCGCACTTCCTACCGCCGTCAAGGGCTGGAAATTGCCAAATCCAAAATCGCTTAGGGACGAGATCAAGAAATAGTACTCTGCGGGTGTTGGAGCTAGACAAGCTGCCTTATTTCAAGAAATGGCTTGAAAAACAATTTTAGAAGGGGAGGATTCAATGCTAGCACTTGCTGCGCAATGTCAGATGTAGAAAGTAGAATGCATAAAGAGAGACTACAGACAGAGGTGAGAAATGAGACGAGGGAATACGCGGAAATAGCGATATCGCTCCAATGTGGCAGTTACCGATTGCACCATTTCCGACACGCAACGCAGTGCACATGCACAGTTGAATTTGGCAGGAGAAAATCTTCAGACAAGATGTTGGCCTACGCTATGACATTGGCGCTCACAGAATTGTTCACAACATTTAAACAGACGCTTTGGCTTAGGGAATCACTATCTTCAAGGAAGGTACAGGCTGGAGTTCAAGCAGAATGGAGTAGGAGGAAAACTGAGGGAGAAAGCGCAACTGGGATGCTTGCAAAATCAAAATTTTGCTCTAAATCATCGTTCAACGCTTTCAACAACTCTAAGAAACAGTTTGATCAATCTCCACCAGCAGATCATTCGAAATACTGCTCTATTCATCAAAAACTAGTCATTCTACCGAAAACTGTTTCAAAAACAAGGGGAAAACTTTGAAAAGTGCTAATATCGCTTCAACAGAATCTAAATCATTAAAAGAACCACAAAATACCTCAAAAGCGACAGCTGATATTGCTTATCTTTCCGATGTGCGCGCTTTTCTCACTGCTGTTGCTACTGCAGATGACCCCATTGCTTTAGCTGCCAAAAATACAAAGTGTATATTTGTAGTGGACTCTGGCGCTTCACACCACATGTGTAACACCAAAAACTCGCTTTTGTCAATTCATTCAATCCCTCCAACTCGTGTGAAATTCGGAAATTCAGCTATTCTGCCATGTACACAAGCTGGTACACTAGTCATGAATGGTGTAGAATTTCCAAACACACTTTTAGTCCCTGGTTTGGATCGAAATTTGCTGTCTGTAGGCGCATCGGAAGATGGGGGAGATTCAGAATGGCGCTTCAGAAAGGGAATTGCGACTTTCTGCAAGAATCACCAAGTTCTTCTCTCTGCGCAAAAACATAATTGTCTTCATCTTCTACAAGCAAGTACTCCTACTGCAAATATTGCGACCACAACTGACCTACAAGACTGGCACGAGCGCCTCGGACACCTTAATGTTGGCGCTTTAATCAATTTGTCAAAGTCAGGACGGTTAGAATGTGAATTTACAAACTCTCATGCAAAAGATTTCCAGTGCAGAAGTTGTGTAGTTGGAAAAGGGAGGAATTTACCATCAATTCCAAGCAAGATTCGTGCTACTGAACCACTACAAGTCATTCATCTGGATCTGTGGGGACCTGCACGAACTCCGTCTCTTAGTGTCACGTCGCTGCAACCTCAGTCGTGACATCAGGTTATAACCGGATCACAATCATAGGGCTGATTGCGATACTGTGCCTTTTAGCGCAGTGGCATAAGATGTCACATGCATGGCCAGTGTATGGCCTGGTGCTGGTTAACCAGGTCGTAACACTTAGTGGAGCGTGTTATTTCTTATCTTGTTACGATGACTTCACCTGAAAAGTACATCTTTACTTTCTCAAACACAAATCAGATGCTTTTGCGCAATTACAACATCATATTGCTAAAGTAGAAAGACAACTTGATATCAAAGTCAAAACACTTCGCTCTGATAGTGGTGGAGAGTCTAGTTCTATGGCAATGAGGAACTTTTGTGCAACACACGGTATTCAACACATTCAAGTACCTCCAGATGCGCAGACACAAAATGGACGTGCAGAACAACTTCATCTTACAATTCTCAATGGAGTTCGCACAGTCCTGGCACATTCTGGGCTTCCTGCTAATTACTGGGCAGAAGCAGCAAATTACATTGCTTATACTCGCAATCGGTGTCCTGGTGGTCCAAAGCGACAAGTTCCAGTAGACATTTGGTACGAAAGCGAAAAGCGACTTTCTCATCTCCAACCATTTGGGTGTAAAGTCTACCACCGTGACCACTAACAAAGCAACAAACTTGCGCAACGCTATTGCGAGGGCCAACTGCTTGGCTACCAAGAGGGTACGAACAACTTCCGCATTTTGGACAATGTCATACAAAAGATTTGGATCACAAGAGATGTCATTTTCGCTACAAAATCAGATTTCTCTGAAATTCCTGAAGTTCCAGACCTAGAACTTGCACCACATATTATTGGTAGTGGCCCGGATACTCACCGCGGAAATCAGTCAGATCCGTCTTACAGGGACTTAGATAATCAAAAAGCAAAATCAAAATCCACAACAATCTCAATTGGAGTTGAAAAAATTCAAAATGACTTTGCGCAAGACCCGCAAGTCGAGCTCAACCAAAATGAAGCTCAGCCACTAGGGCGTATACGAACTCTCTTTGAGCAACTTGAGGAGCAAAGAAACGCACAGAATCAAGAGTTTTTACAAAATCTTGAACGTGATCCCAGACGTCAAAATGTAATTGTGCAACGACAATTTGCACAAAACATGCAAGATGTAGAATCCTCTTCCTCCTCTGAAAGTTCCGATGAACTCAACCTCCATGATGATGATACATCATTCAGTCTTGCAGCTCATGCACTTGCAGCCACAAATCTACCCAACTCCTATCGAGAAGCGCAAAATACAGGTTGATGGGAATGTTGAAGAAAAAGCATGGATGAAGAACTTGCAAAAATGTCAAAGTACAAAGTCTGGGAAGTTGTGGACTTGGATCCAAAAATGCGCATTTTGAAGGGAAGATGGGTGTATACTCGCAAGATAGATGGAGAAACTGGTCTGCCATCTACCTACAAAGCGCGCTTTGTTGCAAAAGGTTACAATCAAGTGGAAGGACTGGACTACAATGAACTCTTTGCTGCTGTTGCGCACAAAGATTCAATTCGAGTGTTTCTAGCAATTGTCAACCACTTTGATCTTGAATGCAATCAAGTTGATATCAAAGCCGCATTCCTGAATGGGGAATTAAAAGAAACAATCTACATGCAACCACCAGAAGGATCCAACATCCCAGCAAACAAAGTACTCTGGTTGCGCAAATCACTTTATGGTTTGAAACAATCACCAAGATGTTTCAACAAAGCACTTGACAAGTGGTTACAATCTCAAGGATTACTTCCTACAAAAGCGGATCCTTGTTTCCATACAAAGCGTGAAGGAGATAACATCCTCATGCTCTCTGTCCATGTTGATGATCAACTCATCGCATGTAACAATCGAACTATGTTGGACAACTTCAAAGCGGCGCTTGACTCGGAATTTGAGTGTTCAGACTCTGGTCCAGTTGGATATTTTCTTGGTTTCAACATCCATCGTGATAGAACAAATCACAAACTGTTTATGTCTCAAGAACATTACTTTGAATCACTTCTTGAACGATTTGACTTGAAAGATAGCAATCCTGCAAAAACTCCTCTACCTTCTGGATTTCGTCCGATCCCCGCAACAGATACAGAACATGATGAAGCAAGACACTACCCATATGCCCAAGCAGTGGGGGCTATTCTTTATGCTTCAACCATCACTCGACCTGATCTTGCTTTTCCAGCAAGTCTGTTATCTAGATTCCTTAGTAAATGGAATGACTCACATTGGAAAGCGGTCAAACACCTACTTTGTTATATCCGTGGTACTTCTGATCTTTGTCTCACCTTCAACAAAGAGAATAGCAATCGCATTGCTTTGGGTTATGCAGATGCAGATTGGGGAGGAGATTTGGACACTAGAAGATCAACCACTGGATATGTCTTCAAAGTTTATGGTGGAGTTGTTGCCTGGAAGAGTAGGAGGCAACCTACAGTTGCACTTTCAACAACAGAAGCGGAATACATGGCGGCTTCAGATGCTACACGCCAAGCTGTATGGTTAAGACAACTTTTGGATGATTTGGTGTGAGCAACAATAAATGTCAGATGTAGTAGAAGTAGAATGCATAAAGAGAAAACTACAATATTGACAGAGGTTAGATATGAGACAAGGGAATACGCGGAAATAGCGATAGCGCTCCAATGTGGCAGTTACCGATTGCACCATTTCCGACACCCCCACTCAAGCGGATCTGCCACATACCCCTAATAACTCCCTCAGTCTATCAAATGTATCTGAAGGAAGAGCCTTTGTCAACAAGTCAGCCATATTCTCTGCCGAGGGAATATGTGACAGAGAGACAGTGTTATCTTCAACTTTCTCCCGAATATAATGATGTCGCAGGTCAATATGTTTTGTCTTGTTATGATGAACCGGATTCTTGGCAAGAGCTATAGTTCCCGCATTATCATTGAGAAGTTTCAAAGGTTCTTGACCAAGTCCAAGTCCCAAATCATCCAGAAGTTGTCTTAACCATACAGCTTGGCGTGTAGCATCTGATGCTGCCATGTATTCCGCTTCTGTTGTTGAAAGCGCAACTGTAGGCTGTCTCCTACTTTTCCAAGCAACAACTCCACCATAAACTTTAAAGACATATCCAGTGGTTGATCTTCTAGTGTCCAAATCTCCTCCCCAATCTGCATCTGCATAACCTAATGCAATACGATTGCTATTCTCTTTGTTGAAGGTGAGACAAAGATCAGAAGTACCACGGATATAACGGAGTAGGTGTTTGACCGCTTTCCAATGTGAGTCATTCCATTTACTAAGGAATCTAGATAAGAGACTTGCTGGGAAAGCAAGATCAGGTCGAGTTATGGTTGAAGCATAGAGAATAGCCCCCACTGCTTGGGCATATGGGTAGTGTTTTGCTTCTTCATGTTCTTCATCTGTTGCAGGGATTGGACGAAATCCAGAAGGTAGAGGAGTTTTTGCAGGATTGCAATCTTTCAAGTCAAACCTTTCAAGAAGTGATTCAAAGTAATGTTCTTGAGACATAAACAGTTTGTGATTTGTTCTATCACGGTGAATGTTGAAACCAAGAAAGTATCCAACTGGACCAGAGTCTGAACACTCAAATTCTGAATTAAGTGCCGCTTTGAAGT